TATTAGAAGGGGAGATGTGTCGAGAGAGTTCTGGGGGTTCGGCAGTGACGGTAACGCCTCCACCAACAAGGAGACCGCCAGGGAGGCCGCCGAAGAAGAAAACTCCTGCGGAAGAAGTGATGAAGCGGCAGCTGCAATGTAGTAGGTGCAAGGGACTTGGTCACAACAAGTCAACTTGTAAAGACTATCTTCTTGAATGTTAGTTTTTTGGATTTCTCTCCACTTTGTTTTTTTTTTTTTTAACTAACTTATTTTTCTTTTCAACTTTTGTCAACCTTTTTTTTTTAAGTGATCAAATCTGTAAGAAAGAAGTTTTTTTTCATTCAACATTTCCTTGTGGGATTTTTAATTCATAGAAAATAAATCTTGATTTTAACCATAAGAAAAAATAGTAGTAATAATTCTTGAGCTGTTGTGCAACACAATGGCCAGAAAAGACAAAACAAAAAGTCTTTCTTCCATTGTTTAGGTTCTCTGTTCCTTCAAACTGAGCCATTTTGCTTTTGTGTTCGACTCACACAGTGGATCGGTATTTCTCGTCTGCTTCTTCTATAGATACATGATATGGTACAATGAGACAGAAAACACCAAACTCTCTTGAAAAAATAATCTTTGTTGGCTTATACAATATCATAACCCCCACAAATGATTCACTCTCTCTACTCATACAACAAACAAAGGGTTACTAAATTTTCAGATTTGAGATATGATAATAATAATAATAATAATAATACAGAGAAGGAAGAGAGAAGAGATGAAATTCTCAGACTGCTTTGCTCTAGTTTCCGTGTTTGCAGGTAACAGCAGAACAAATCACAAACCGAGCCACGGACATTGCTTCCTTGCATGTTCTGGAACTAACTTCGCCACCATCTCCACAGGCACACCTTTAAGCTCTGTTTCACACAACAAATTAACATGAGAGTTTAAGTCACTTATCTTATGATACTTTGAGCTGCTTAGCTACTTTTTGAATAAAGGAAGGTGTGTTAGTACCATGAGGCTTAAAGTTGAAGAGCGGTGGAAGGAAACGTCCGTTGGGTAATCGCGCATTCGGATCTCTTAGCTCGTCAAAGAATGGGTGGACCAATGAATCAAGCTAGTTGGCAAGATTGACACAATTCAACCAATTAAGGCAAATAAACAAAAGATTTTGCAGAATGAATAAATGTGAGATGACTTGCAAATACTCACAGCAGCACAACGGAGATTGGGAGAGTATTGAAGAAGCCTTGAGACCAAATCAACAGCTTCCGGAGGCATTCTCTTGTGGAAAATCTGGATTATGATGAAAAGTATTTCACTTAACAGCTAATTAAAGAAGACATGGAACAGTTTATACTTCTATGTATATATGAACGAACATACAAACCTTATGCCATGGATGAGCTTTTATCTGAGGAAATTTGAACTCTGTGTAATTTGGGTTCATGCATTTGATTTCTTCTCTTGTTGGTGTTCCCAAAACCTGCTCAGTTCATCAATACAGTAAAGTACATAGTTAGACATTGAGTCGGTGTAACCTGGCACAGTTGTTAAAGTGAAATCAGTACAACGACGGTAGTACCTTTATAATCTCTACAAGTTGATCAACACCGCTCTCACCAGGGAACAATGGCTGGTATGAACAAACAGAACAGATTGGTCAACTACGAAATTACGTTTCAATCAGAACAAAAGATGTTTAATTTGAGAATTTACAAAAGTTTTTACCTGCCCGAGAAGAAGCTCGGCGAGAACACATCCTGCAGACCAGACATCAATGGCTGTAGTATACTCGGTGGCTCCAAAAATGAGCTCAGGTGCTCTGTAATACCTTGAGCAAATATATGAAATGTTTGGCTCTCCTTTTACCTGTTTCAAGAACCACCATTGATCAATAAATGGTTAAACCTCTCTGCTACAAATTGTTCCCCAAAAGAGAGATTCATCAAACTCACCAATACTTTCGCACTTCCAAAATCGCATAGTTTCACTTGATGAGTGTGTGGATTTACCAACAAGTTTTGAGGTTTTATGTCACGATGACACACGCCGATACATCGGTGAATGTAGGATAAGGACCTAAAAATCTGCCAAACATAGACAACTCTTTAAAAAGATCACCAATAAGAGATGTAAATTGTATGCACACTTCGTGGATATTAATCTACCTGATATGTGTAAAGTTTGACGTAAACGAGAGGCATTCGTTGGTTAAGTTTGTTGTAGTGTTTGATGACGCGATGCACAGTTTCCGGAACGTATTCCAGAACCAAGTTAAGATAAAGCTCGTCTTTTTCGGTTGTAGAGAAGAAGCAATGTTTTAAAGACACAACATTTGGATGGTCAAGTAGCCTCATTGTTTGAAGCTCACGGTTCTTGTACCTCCGATCTTGAAGAACTTTCTTTATCGCAACAGTTTCTCCAGTTTCCAAGCATTTCGCCTGAAAGAAGAAGAAAGATCCGGTCAGACAAAGTTTCATAGAAAAGGGACTCAAAGAAAGAACAAGAACCAAAACTCACCTGAAACACAACACCAAAGGAGCCGTGTCCAACAACTCGCTCCGCCATGTAACTGATTGTCTGCAATATCACCATACAAGGAAATTCACTTAGTTTATCGAAAATCCTAAACTCAAACTAATCAAGGATCGGATTAGCACACCACAAACCTGTTTTGGCTGGCCATTTCTTCCTCCTATAGTAGTTACTATTATGTGGCCAGTCTCAGTGACATTGCCATTAACAATTGTAGCTTCCATTTCCTAGTGATGATTAATCAAGTCAGTGAGAAAAATCAAAATCACTAAAGCAGCAGAAACAGCATAAGAATCCTAAAAAAAAAAAAAAACATACTTTATCATCTTGAATTTTCATGTCCTTCATCTCCTCAGGTAATCTATCAACATCAGTAACGTTTCCAGTAGAATCTCTAACCGCGGCACTAGGCTCTATGCCCACCGAGGCCATCCCAAGATACAAACAGAAGAATTTGTAAAAAAAAAAAAGATTCTTCCTTTGTCACTCTTCAAATCTCAATCAGATTAAAAGAAAAACTCAACCCTGCAGCAAAATAACCATAAGCAAAGTGATCGTTAGCTCTTGATTCATAAACCATACATATCTAATGACAATTACTTGGTTGTTAATTTTAATAAAGTAACTAATCAAACACAAGACGTAGAGTTTAATTGAGGCAATTACACAGATTTGAAACTCAACTAAGGTGATCCAAAGACTCATCTTAGAGGTATCAACATGCAAAGTTTGGAAAAACGATTATCACGAAAACAGGAGATAGCCACAAAAAAATAATATTTATAGCATCCTAATAGGAAAAAAATCATGGAACAATCCATAAATAAAAAGGATAGCAAATATCAACTCAAACAAGAAAAGCTAAGAGATGTTAAAAACGCAGACCATAGAAATATATCTCATCTTGGCCAAAAACCAAATCTACGCCGATCTAAACAGAGGAAAAAATCTACCATGGAATCGGATATGGAACTAAAACACCAAAAAGAAACAATTTTTGAATGGAAATTGCAAAACTTTGAAGGACCCAAAAAGAGAATTTGAAACATACCGGGGAAGCCCAGAAAAAAAGAGATGGAAGAGATTAATAATGGAGGAAGAAGAATCAAGATATGAGTAGATCCATAATGAAGGATTGATGATGATGAATCCCCTTCTCTTTATCTCTTGTTCTCTCTCTCTTCCTTTTTGTTGTTGGTCTGATGAATAATTTTGTAAGAATAAAAAAAAATGTGGAAGCTAATGTATGTGGCTCTGCTTTTTGATTGCTATAATGCGCTGGTGACAGTCATATCGTAAAATTAAATCTGAAAAAAAAAAAAAAGGATAGTCTTGGGAGTTAGTAAATTGGAGTTTGAAAGTACATTGGGTTTGGTTTTTCCTCTTTTTGAGTTTGGACCATTCAAACTTCCCTCTTTATTTATTTACACCTAATTTAATCCAACCTACTAAAACGTTTATCTTCTCTGCTTTTTTTTTGTTTTCATCTCAACCTAGTTGTTGTTATAGGTTGGAGTGACATATTAATTAACCACAAATAATTTAGCAATTATGCGGATTTAATCCAAAGAATCGATCATTGAGTGGCACATTAAAAAAAATGATTCTCTTTTAGTAGCTACATTCTGAGAACCATTTTCTTCCCAACTTCTTAAATAAAGAAGTCAAAACTCATAATGTCAAAGTTGCTTAGCTAAATGGACTAAATTGAACTTTATTTCTTTTATTTTTTAATGATTACATCACATTTTGCAGTTTTTTTTTTCTTTATAATCTCTGCTTTTGTTAAAAGAACAACTTCTTACATTAAAAAAACAACTTCTTACATTAAAAAAAAACAACTTCTTACATAGGTCCAATAATTAGTTCCTAAATGTCATACAATTGTCTGCTATAAAATTATGAGTATCTAGTTCAACAACCAACAGCCATATATGTAATGACATTTCCAGCCAAATATAAGTAGTCAAGTACTATACTTTATAATAATAATTAGTTCTCAAATTAATCGAAACAAAGAACCGAATATTAATAATTAAAAAAGGGTGGGTCATTTTGAATATTTGGACAAAGCTGTGAGAAGTGGGGACAGTAATAAAAACGACAAAGTAGGGGCATATTTGTAATTCCATAATTATACTGGATATTATATTGGAATATTCCAAAGAGATTACAGGATGAACCGGGGCCACGTGTCTAACGTGTCGGAGATGCAAGGAAAAAAAAAAAAGTAAACATTTTGAAAATTTTCGCCGACCATTTATAAAGAATGCGAAATGTATCTACCGAGAAGAAAACGTTTTTACATGTTTGAATTGGCTCGTAATGGGCCTAGTGAGAAAACAAAAAAAATATGCTCCCGGCGGGGCTCGAACCCGCGACCTTCGGCTCATAAGACCAACGCTCTAACCAACTGAGCTACGGGAGCTTGTTGATATAACCTAACTATTCAATTAAATATATTAGCCGTGAAGACAACAGATATAACTTAACGGTTGTGTACCCAAGGACATGGCAGTTATGTAATGGAAGCTGTTTTCTAGAAGAGACTACAAATACACCTACCTACCAACTATTAATAAATGAGTTAGATTATCGTCACTATCTGCAACTAAATTTATACAATACACAAAAAAAAAAAAAAAAACACAAAGAGTCATCTCTTGGAGACTACCACTAACATCAACATAGACATTGACACAACGATCTTGAACCCTGAATTGTCCCAGAACTTCTGTTTATCCCAAGACTCATTGTTAAGCTGTTGTTTGTCCGATATCAGATCTCTTATCTCTTTGATCTCCATGTCCCTTCTTTCCCCTTTCTGTGTTCCATTCACCACAGACAACAACAATAAAACTGATAAGAACACTATTGATCCAAACAAGAAGCTACACGATTGTCAGACTTATGGATTTATACTTACCCTCTGCAGCTTTCTTGTCTGGCTTCTAGCTTCTTGTAGACAGAACTCTAGTTTCAGTACCTTCTTCTTCAAATCTTGATCAGTTCTTCTCTGTTTCTCCAGCTGTTAATTGTTTCAAAATAATGAAACTTTCGCTCAGAATTTAGACAAAACAAACACAAATGTGCAATGGTCTTTGTTCAAGAGGAAAAAGATGGTTGTACCTGAGATTCGAGTTCCTTAGTCTTGTGTTTCCAGTGACCAGACATTAACCTTATCTCATCTTTCAGTTTTGTAATCTCTTCGTCTTTTACTTCAACTAGCCTATTCATCCTCTCAAATTTCATTGGAGAGACATCTTCTAGAAGTTTCTGGAGCTCGCAGTCCATGCCATCTATCCCAGCTTTCGTAATGGACTCTGTTATCTCCCGCTCGATTCTCTTAACTTCTTCTCTGAGCTGCTTTTCTGAGCACTCTCTCAGGCTCAGACCTCTCTGTAGATCATCAAGCTGATGACCGAGCTGAGTCACACGGTCTTCGTGTTCTCTAAGAGAACGTGTTTTGTCGTCAAGTTGTTTCTTTAGCAGTGAGCATTGGATCTGTGTAGATTGAGCAGAATCAGCACTTGCCTCTGCGGTTTGCTTGGTTGCATCAAGCTTTGATCTAAATTCCTCCAACTCTTTGATAAACTGTGTTCTCAAAAACAAGATTATAAATTCAGTAAGAATAACCTAGAGTACATCATTACAAAAACATAAATTTGTTATGTAACAATGCATTCTATTAGAAAGTATGACAGATAAACCTCAAGCTTAGATCACTAATACATCAATGGATCGCCGCTTAAGTTGCATATTCTATCCTATAGTTCAAAATTGAATTCCAACAGACTCAGATTCGCGTACTCCATCGCAATAACAAATTTTAAAGAGCCATAAGATATTGTCTACTTGATCTAAATAGGATTCAAGAACCACATAAATAACTCTTTGAACTGATCAAGTATCAAGAAGTAAAGACAAAGACCATAAAAATGAAACCCTTGTAAAATTTAGTAAGATGATATAGTCTAATATAGATTGGAACATAGTAATGAAGAGACCCAAATTGGTGGGTGAGAATAAACCTTATCAGCAGCAGATGCAGAAGCTTCAAGCTGACAATTCCTTTCTTCCAATCTCTTCTGCAATTTACACATCTCCATTTCCATATTCTTTCCCCTTTTCTCTGCTTCCTGAATAAAACAAACAACAACCAAAAAGCCAAATCATTTCTATCTGTATCAATTAGTTTTAAAACTCATAAATCCAGCAACCAAAAAAGAAATTGACCCCACCCTTTAATTACATGAACAAAAAGGAAGAGAATCAATCAGAGAATAAATAAATGGGATTCATAAAAAAAAAAAGGACTTACTTTTCTAGTTATGGTTTCTTTAAGAAAGGATTGTTCTTGAATAACCAAACGGCCCCTCACTTGCTTCAGCTCCGCCGCCAAAGACACCACGTTTCGCCGGAAACTCTCTTTCTTCTCATCCAAATCTCTCAGAAGTGGATCCACCGTCGTTTTTTCAGGACAAGACATCTAGATTCTACTAATTTCTAAACCTAGATGATTTGTTTCAGCTCTTGCATGCACACAACCACAAATCTAAAAACTCTGAAAAAGAGAAGAAGAAAGGAAAAAAATTACTTTTTTTTTTTTTTTTATGGTAGTTGACCATTAATACAGGAAAAATTAAATGAAGAGTCTTTCCCAATTCAAATCTATAATAATAATCAAAACAAGATCGTGACTTTACATGAGCTATGACTTGAAGTTTTAAAAAGAAAGTTCTTCTAAGTTTTCAAAATCTTCAGAGAAAATCAGATCTCTCTGATTATGGCATGAATCTAAATTTAATATCTCATTTTCTATATAAGTATCTTACAAGAACATAGGAGAGAGAGGCAGAGAAATGAACTTGCTTATTTGGGCCAAAGAGAGAGAGAAAGCGACAACGAAAATCAGAAAAGTGAGTTTAAACTTCAAAAAATCAAAAATTTCCCTCCAAAAGCCTCGGCAAACACAACTAGGACGTGCAAAAGCATATATGATTTTAAGTAAAAATATTAATGCACTTATATGTGATATGCTCAAACTATATACTTAAAAGAGCATCATTATATTTATTTGGTTAAAAATGTTATAAACGTATTAGTTTAGTTTGTTATTTGGAATTGGCAGAGTTAAGCTTGTGATTAAGGGACATGTGTGGATGAGGAAAGAGACAAAAGAGAGGAGGAAGATGCAAGTGGGAAACTCATTTTAGGTTCGGAATCTCACGGGCTTTTACAAGTGGTCTCATCACGTTCGGATTTTGCTTCGGATCAGATAAAGACAAAAACCGAAGCCGTGATGTCTTGCCTTTTGACCGAAAAGCCGTAATGATCCGAGTGAATCGATGCTGTTTATCCGTTAGATCTCTACCACGTGTCGGCTACTACGTTGCATATAAAGTTACACATACGATGTATAAATACTTGATTAAAACTTGTACAGAAATAGGAATTTTTTAAAACGAAGTTTGGTGTATTAATAGAAACCATAATGCTTGATGCGATCAAATTAGCGGTAAACTAGTTCCAAATTCCACAAACATTCTCTTCCTAATACAGATTTTCCCATTTCAGGAATCACAAAAATTTTAGATAAATAACCAACACAAGAAAGCTTTTTGCAATCGTAGGTGTTGTATCCTGATTATGAATGCCATCACTTTTCTTGGAAATTCAACGATGATACCTTCACATTGCATTCTCCGAGCGTTTTCGAGAATCTCTCCATCTAAATACATCCGAGACACCGCGTTTCGATCCTATCCTTCTCGGTTCTCAAGCTGCAACAACCAATACAGGAATGCAGATTCAGATAGAATCATCAAACTGAGAAATGTTGTGCCATTTTGTACCGACAGGCAAAGCTCTGTTACAGCTCAGGTTGTTTCTGAGGCAAGAAGTCTCTCTGCATCGACGACCTGCGCAAATGACACGACCTTGGATCAAATATACACGAAGAACGGTTTAAATGTGAAACCTTTAGTTGTCGAGAGGTTAAAAGGACACGAGAAAGATGAAGAGGTGGTCAATGGAGATGACAAAAGCGTAAACAGAGATGGTTTCGAGGGTGTTAAGAGTAATGACTTAGAGGAAGAGGCATGGAGATTGCTGAGGGATTCAGTAGTGACATACTGCGATTCGCCTGTAGGAACGGTGGCTGCTAAAGATCCAACTGACACAATGCCATCAAACTACGATCAGGTCTTTATTAGGGATTTTGTACCTTCAGCTCTGGCTTTTCTGCTGAAGGGAGAAAGCGAAATTGTTCGAAACTTCCTTCTTCACACGCTGCAGTTGCAGGTATTGATGCCAATTCGCGATGTTATACACTTAAAGAAACACAAAGTGTTGTTTAAAAGCAAAGAGTTTGCATTTAAATGAAAGGACAACTTAGATTGTTGTTGTGTGTGTTGTGGTTCCAGAGTTGGGAGAAAACAGTTGATTGTTATAGTCCAGGACAAGGGTTAATGCCTGCGAGTTTCAAAGTCAGAACTTTACCGCTTGAAGAGGACAAGTTCGAAGAGGTTCTGGATCCAGATTTTGGCGAAGCAGCTATAGGTCGTGTTGCTCCCGTTGATTCTGGTCAGTACTTTGCTGCTTCTTCAATCTGCATTTTCCCATAAATAGAGTAAGAAAGGATTGTATAGTTGATTCGTGGTAACTAAGAATACATAATTGATAATTGTTGATTCTTTCAGCTTGGCAACATATAATTGAACAGTTTGATTCACACACATGCTGGTCTAAATAGAAAATTTTCAGGTTTATGGTGGATAATATTGTTGAGGGCATACGGGAAAATCACAGGGGATTACTCGCTTCAAGAGAGGATAGATGTTCAAACAGGGATAAAGATGATTGCAAACCTGTGTTTAGCAGATGGGTTTGATATGTTTCCCACACTGTTGGTCACTGATGGCTCTTGTATGATAGATCGACGTATGGGTATCCACGGCCACCCTCTTGAGATCCAAGTAACTCCCAAAATAAGGTTTTCTTGATTAGTATCTTCAAGAAGAAAAGTTTGACTAACATGCCATGATGATTCTGTTGATCTCACAGGCTTTGTTCTATTCCGCTCTGCGGTCTTCTCGTGAGATGATAACTGTAAATGACAGCTCCAAAAACATAATAAAGACAATCAGCAACAGACTCAGCGCATTATCATTTCACATCAGAGAAAATTATTGGGTTGACAAAAACAAAATTAATGAAATTTACCGTTACAAGACAGAGGAGTACTCCATGGACGCCACCAACAAGTTCAATATCTACCCGGAACAGGTTTCTCCATGGCTAATGGATTGGGTTCCTGAAAGTCCTGACTCGGGATTCCTGATAGGAAACCTCCAGCCTGCTCACATGGATTTCAGGTTCTTCACCTTGGGAAACCTCTGGTCAATCATCTCCTCACTAGGAACACCAAAACATAACCAAGCTATATTAAATTTGATTGAAGAGAAATGGGACGATCTTGTTGGTCATATGCCGCTTAAGATATGTTACCCGGCTTTGGAATCTTCAGAGTGGCATATAATCACCGGGAGTGACCCAAAGAACACGTGAGTTCTTCTCTCTTCCTCTATGATACTTTTGGCTGAAGTAGCTTAGAATGATGTTATCTGCATATACTTTTAAATGATGGACCAGACTTCTTATGTATGTTCTGTAGGCCTTGGTCTTACCACAATGGCGGGTCATGGCCAACACTTCTCTGGCAAGTAAGCATGAGTTTTTTAATCAGACGACATATATATTTGCATTACATTAATCCACATATATGTATTTAAAAATTCTGTTAGTTCACACTGGCATGCATCAAGATGGATAGACCAGAATTAGCAGAGAAAGCAGTTACCATGGCAGAGAAGAGGCTCCAAGCTGATCGGTGGCCAGAGTACTACGATACAAGAGACGGGAAGTTCATTGGAAAACAGTCCAGGCTTTACCAGACATGGACAATTGCTGGTTTCTTAACTTCAAAGCAATTGTTGCAGAATCCTGAAATAGCATCTTCCTTGTTCTGGGAAGAAGATCTTGAGCTTCTAGAGTCTTGCGTGTGCGTTCTGACGAAATCAGGCCGGAAGAAATGTTCACGAGCTGCAGCAAAGTCTCAGATTCTTATCTAAATTGTCCATAAAACAGACTTAGGATAACAATTTCCTGTTGAAACAAATGTGTTATACACAGGTTAACCAAATTTATACTACAAGTCGTCTGTATGTATATAGTAGTTGTTTTCTATAAATTATGTCACATCTCTCACTAACTTCCCAAGCAGATGAAACATAACACAACTAAATATCAGTTTTCCTTTTATTACTAACTTGAAAACCAAGCAAGAGTGCGTACTTTTAGTGCTGTGCACTTAATCTCTAACAAATTTTGTGTCTTATACCTAATGGCTAATGATAATCGAACGAGAAATAAGCAAAGTTTAGCTGGATTTATTAAACCAAGTCATAAATTTCAACAGAAACATACAACTAAAACTCCGCTTAGAGCTTTGTTTTCATCGAGTAGGAGAAAGCTTACTCTCATGGGCATTTCCTCGCAAGCAGATTCTGCCACCATTGTTTTTTCTTAGCAAACAACTAAATAAGGAATTTGACACCATAATACTTGTCTTGGAGATCGTCTCATATGCTTCCTCCACTTCATCCGCTTCAACACACAACTGAATCCCACACAGGAACTTTGCGGGCGTAAAAAAAAAAACAGAAGTTGTTTTCTCAAAAATGTAATGGGCTAGGCCCATTCAGAAATCTAATAATTGAGAACGACGTCGTAGTAAGAAGCCCCCTTAAGCGAAACCCAAACGGCCGAAACCCAGGTTTTGGCTCCGGCGATGGCGTGGACACGACTGATTCAGAGCGCGAGAGCAGCTCTAGGGACAACGCACTCGAGTTCGACTCTTGGCCTCCCCAGATTCTACTCCAAACCAGCTACTTATTTCGGTACTTGGTTTCGATTTGCTTAGGATTGGATTGCTTTGATTATATAAGGAGAACTTAGTAGTGATTTGGAATCCAAATCTGGTTCAAGGTTTGATTCTTGTATAATATGGTATTGCAGTGAAGGTTGGGATTCCAGAGTTTCTAGGCGGGATTGGCAGAGGAGCTGAGACTCACATTGCCAAAATTGAAACTGAGATTGGTGACCTTCATAAGCTGCTTGTGACGCGTACCCTCAGACTCAAGAAGCTTGGCATTCCTTGCAAACATGTAAGTTACCAAGTCCAACTGTTGCTTCGGCCATTTTCGTTAAAAACCATAGTTTTATTCTTAGGGGGTTAGATAGTCCATTATATTGGATTGGTTCATGGGTAAATGATTCAAGCTCTTCAACTTTGAAGGGATGATGGGCGAAAGACACTGATTCAGATATATCTATATTCTTATTTTCATCATCCAACTTTAGCTTGTTTTCCTGATCCAAAAAGCATGAAATGTTTCCATATACATTGTTCCGGCACATAAACATTGATAGTTTTATGGAACAAGAACAAGACCGCCTTTTACTTGTATATCTTCTGTTGGCTCAGTTATTCAAGTCTCCTATTTTACTACCTTATGGATTCCATACTTCTGAATCTTGGTTTGCAGAGGAAACTTATACTCAACTATGGCCAGAAATACAGGTTGGGGCTATGGAAACCTAGAGCTGACGCTATTAAGTCCTGATCAAGTCTCTATGTTGAACTGTGAGTCTCTCGACTGCTGGAATAAGCTGTAGTACTTAAATGGTCATTGTCAAACCATTTCAGTATTGGACAATATAGACTGTAGAAGTAATGTTGGTTTTTTATGTTTACGCAAGTTACTTAACAAACCTATTGAAAGTGTAGTAAGTGTGCTTTAATTTACCTTGAGGAACCTATAGGCGTAGTAACTTTTCTTTATATATATATGAAAGGGGCTTCTAATAAGCCTCCTCACTATTTAATTATGTTAACTTAGTAAACGCGATCACTCATGAACACTAAAATTTTAGATTTTGAAGGCACAACAAAGTCATCAACATGTGAAAAAGTTTCCCCACCAAAGTCATGGACCTTTAGCTCTATATAAGATATGTGACCATTGGATTAGAGAACTTGATCAGTCAACAATTTTGACTGTAGAAAGGTTGATATCTTGTCTTGTTGGTTGAAAAACCGTGAGACTTAAAACCCAAAAGGCAAAAGCCGTAACCGGATTGGTCGGCTGCGTCTGGGGTCCAATGGTAAACAAAGAGACAAATATCAGATCGTGGCCTAAAGCTCTGATGGGTCAATTCTTTCGGGTCAACGTGTTTAAACAGCAGCTCTGAGAATGACACTTACTAATTTGCCGATGCTATAAGAAAATGACTACTCCTCCATAACGTAGGGGCCATTTTTGGTAATTATATATGATAGTTCTTACTACAAACGGATCCCAAAAATGGCATAAATTCAAGGATTTTGTTTAGTTTTCTAGTTATCAAATTAGCCACAAGTAAAGATGTTTCGTAAGGGTAAAAAATCCGATGATCAACAATAAAATTGAAAAAAAATGAAAGCAGTTTTTCTTTTTTGTACCATAAAAAAAATATCTCAAGTGTTTTTGGCCAAATCCGAAAGTCCCAAGTTTTTCGGTCGAGTCCTATCATGTTGCATTGTGGAACCATCACTTTTTTGTTTTGTTCATCAATTTGTCTTCGTTTCATTTTGTTGTATGTGCACTAGATGAATATCTATCCACAAAATTAACTCTTATTTGGAGGAAAAAAAAAGAGCTGAATAATGTTGAACCATACCGAAATAAGACGCAACTACTTTGGTCTTTGGTATTGCATTTTCAGCGGAGGCTTGAGATTCACGAAAATATGTATAGTAGCATTTCGGATTCCAAACTGACTAATCCCTATGTAGTAGAAGATTATGGAAGCACGAGGATAATTATAAAAAAGAAGAGGAGGAGGAAGTGAGAAAGTGGTGGTGGGTGGTCCTTGAGCCTTGAAGGAATCAAAGAAGACATCTCACACTTGACACCAATTATTATGCCACCTTCTCTCTCACGTCTCCATCCATTTTCGTTGTCATCTCTTTTTTTTTCTTGAGGCTTTACTCTCCAAACGTGTCACCTCTTTAATGGCAAATCTTTCCTCTCTTTCATTTGTTTTTGTAATCCGTGAAATTATCGATAGTATTTTTACTGTCTTTTCTAACATGTTAATCTAGCATTACTTAGATTCTCGATAGTTTTTATCTCCTTTTATTGTCCCAAAAGACTAATACAATGGATTGTTGTTGGAGATCGTATATTAGATTTTATATATATCATGATATATTTATCGAAAATAATTTTGAAATCTAGCTATATAAAGCCGTATTTTTTGTCACTTAAAAATGATTTTTAAATGTTTTGCATAAAAACGAAATGGATACCACTTGACAGCCACATTTGGTTGCCTATATTGAATTTTTGCTCCAACCAATAACGTCGGCCGTGTCCTCGTTATTTGGACGTAGATTACCTACTAATTGAATAATGTCCTAATGTTGTTAGAGCATCTCCAATGGTCTTCTCTATATTTTCCTATATTTTAGAAGAACTCTATTTTAGAGGAGATTTTGTTGCAATGGATTACTCTAAAATAGAGTTTCCTCTAAAATAGAGGAGAAAGACAATGGATTACTCTATATATAGAGTACGTAATAACATTCACAGGTTATTACGTACTCTAAATATCTTAGGTTATGTGTTTTATTTTGTTGATAATTGACTTTTCTTTTGTTGATAATTGACTGGTAATTAACTTGGCAAAACGTGAATCATTTCTTCAAAAGCTAATTAACAAACATTCAACTTAAATTCATATCCTTAGAACTTCAAAAATGTTCTCCAATCAGCTAAATAACCACGTTCAGATTTATTTTAGTAATTAACGAACCATAATCCAAACTAAACTGGTTGGCTTTCGCCTAAATATTATTCATCATGTACGAATTTAGCTTATAACAAAAGATCATCCTGATCCATTTTTGTGAGGACAAAGTATGATATATGCACTCATTTTGTTTCACAAAGTTGGTTAAAATGAAGGACACACGAAAGTCGTTTTAACCTATTATCCTTTTTTATGAATATAATTTTCTTACAAATTAAAGAAATTTTTTAAAAAACTGTTCGGGAAGAAACTAAATTCAGATAAAGAGATCTCTCACATGCGACGCACTTTGAGCAAAAGAGTCGGACCGTAGGGTCGTCATGCACATGCCTCCTCGTCTATATTTATACTTTTATTAATATTATTTTCAATTTCTTTTTTTTTTTGGCATATAGCTTATAAATATCGAAATTAAATTTTCTTAAATATAGCTTTTGAAATTGTGTTAGGTGAATGAACAATTGATTTTAATATCCGATGCAACGGACCTATAATTTAGATACACATTTAGAGCGAAAATAAATGAGCTCTTGATTTTTTTATAAATATTCTCTAATGTTGATATTTAACTGGTCGAACCTAGATTCTTGAGGAATATCGAACTTTTCATCTCAATTTTTTTTTTTTTCAAATTCAAAATTTCGAGGGAAATTTTTTACTTACGGATTTCAAAGTTCAAAGTTGTCATGAGCATCAGCACATATGTGGACTCATGGGCGGACGTACGTTACGATTAAGGGGAGCACTTGACACGGGTAAATTTTTTAAAGTTGGTGTAATTTACAGGAATTTTTAATTATGCCCCTATTAAATACTCCCTCCGTATTTTGATAAGTGTCGTTTTAGGATTTTCTTTTTAAAAAAATTAGATGTCGTTTTCAAATTTCTATGCAAAATTTCTTACTTTTTAATGTTTTATGACGTCATAAAACATTAAAAAGTAATAAATTTTGCATAGAAATTTGAAAACGACGTCCAATTCAAAAAAATAAAAATTCTAAAACGACACTTATTAAAATACGGAGGGAGTACTTGTTTAATGCCCCCAATTATTCTGTTTTCTTCTTATACAAAAGTTTTGTGTTGTGTAATATTATTTTTTAAAGTCTATATAATTCAAACACAATACAAATCCTAATTTTATTTTTGTTTTCTTTGTAAGTAAGCTCATATTTCAATGATAAAATAACTTTAAATCACTTTTGTTAACTTGAAAAAATTAATCAAATGCTTTAACTTACTTAGAAGATTCATTTATGTTAATAAAATTAGAGTTTTTTTTATTTAATATTATTGCCCCGGATAAAATTAATTTCTGGATCCGCCACTGTATGGACTAAAGACAAATGGTTGGATTTAAAAGTTAATTTCTGGAATTATGCCTCTAGTAAATATTTTGAACACTTATTATATTCATTTTTTTCTTCTAGAAATTTCATTTTCTTAGAAAATATTTACAATTCAAACTTGTGAAACGACCACCAAAACATCCTATTACAAGCTTAAAAAAAACATAGTATTTTCGTCCAACTCGTGATGATTTTGACATTTTTTTTTTCAGGGCAAACAAATCATTAAAGACAAGAAAACATTCCCACGATAAAATCGTAAAAGAATTAATTGAAACAAATTTTACACACCATCGGCTTATGCACTCGGCTATAAAGCCGAGCCGAGTTTAGTAGACGGCTGAAACTCAGACAGAATCTTTGATAGAGCTGTCATGGCTCGGACTTGCATTTCCAACGCCGCTATGTAATCTGCTGTCTCATCCAAAAGCTCCGGTAAGGCCGTTCTCCGGCAACCCGGCACCAACCCACCCAAAACCCGGACCCGACTTCCCACCGCCGACACCTTCCTCCTCCTCCTCCCACCGCTTCCCCTGACCGCCGCTGCCATTGCCCACGCCGGTTTTGTATTCCTGCGCCGCCTCAGACTCGTCCCGAATCGACTCACCAATATGGCTCGGCTCCACCGAGTTACACCCCGAGCCGTCGTCGCAAGGACTTTGTCGGCCGTGTCCCGGACTGTTGCGCTGCGCCGCGATCGCTGAAGAGCATCGTAGAGCTTTAAGGAATATACCTTCTGCGCCGTTGTGGCTCTCCATCTACGACTAAGATGGATCGCCGGAGCTTCTTCCGAGCTTATCCTTGATCGACGGAGAGCCTCCATCAGCTTTGGAGCCAACACTCTTTGTGCTCTTTGCATTCTCCGGCGAAAAGGGATTGTTTTAGTCCCTTCTACCTCCGGCGACGTGGAAGAATTCGATCCATTTCCTTGTTCAGAAGACATTCACAAGACTTTTGTAGAACCACTTAAAGAACGTTCTGTTTCTTGTTCTCTTGGAAATTTTCCAAGAAAAATGATTTTTAGAGTTTGAAAACAATGTCGAGCTCTTTCTTATTTTGATAATAATTTAAAGTAATTGGAGGGGGTCTCTAATTCTCTATATATAAACATTTGGGGGAGATTGGAGAGGCCATTCTTAAACCTATTATTTTCTATATTTTATTTATTTTTCTTGTCTTTTTCGAATTGAATACCACAATTTAGATTTCTTTTCTTTAATAATGTACATCTAAATTCACATTGGCCAATTATGAGTGACCCTGTGAATGAAAAAATAAATCAGTTTAATTTTAATGCATTTTTTAGATTGGAAAATTAAAACGAACTAAAATATCTTTTCTTCTTTCGCCGTCGAACAAAAATATCTATCTTCGTTGCAAAATTAGATATTTAAATTGATATTTTAGCAGATATTTTACACATAGACTTAACTTGAAACTTTTTACATACCTATTTATGATGGTGAGCGGTGTAAATTACTAAATTTGTGTTATGACGTGGATTTATTTGATTTGTAGAGTTTTAATTGTGAAAAGAACAAAATTGGCGATGGAATGGAGGAGTTTGATGTAATAATGTGGAGGGCAATGATTGGTGGCAATATAACCAATAGATCGAACAAATAGCTATCAAACAAAATTTAACATAAAGAAACAAAAAACCTAATGAGTTTTTAAAGAAGGAACAAAAAAATAGGAAAAAGAGAAGATGCATGTGATGGTGTTTTATTCCACGACCTTCACACCTTAGGCTTAGTGTTGTTGTGGCTATTTATCATCCACATTTTTTAGCTCACAATCGCTCTATTTTTTCAAAAATAGATTTTCAGTATTTGGTGTTTTGTGAAACATATAACATGTTCTTTATACTTTTCTTCTTTTTTGGAAAATAATAATTTGATTTAGTTTATGTTTTTCGAAAAGCATGGAATTGGGTTTTGGTTTAATTGGAAATAATAATTTAATTTAATTTGATTTAGTTTATGTTTTTTTTTATAACATATATTAATGTTTCTAAATGGAAAGCCCCTATTTATATACCATGTCAATTCATGTTTTCCTTAAAATTTATATTTTTATACCATGTCAAGAATTAACTAATCTAACATGTATCCGTCAGAGTTACTTAATATATAGCGAGTGGGTTGGGGAAACTCTCGAGTTCATAAAATGTTACATTGAAACGCATGTTTCGTAGTATTTGTTTAGGCTAGTAAGAATACAAAAAAAATAAGACAAACTATTACAAAACAAAATAATTTTTATGCAAAAAACTAAGAATATTTATACAAACATATGTAGTATTTTAATTGAAGCTGCTGTTATATAGTAGGAAATTAAGAAAGAAAAGTATCTAATTAGCAAAGAAAAACAATGTAAATGTGGGGTTTTAAGCAATAAACGTGAGTCATGACAGAGAGATTTGCCTCCTGGCGTCAGACACGCTTTGATATCCTCTTCTTAATTTATTTTCCTTTTCTGTTTGTTTATTATTCCCAAATCAAATGATTAGTTGTTATCCTCATTGATTATTTTTGTTATCCCAATTCAGGACAATAATACTAATAATGTTGACAATGATTTGTTTGCTAAAGAAAATATTAGGTATGTGTGCACTTAAATTTTTTTCCATCTTTTTTTTTTCTTTCTTAAAGACAAATCTTTCTAAATTTTCTGTCAAAAACATTGATATATGTTATAAAAAAAAACTTATGAATTATTAAACGGAGCCGTACATTGCATAATCCACAGAGCAGGGGATGCTTAATCTATCGTTAAGTCTCTTCCATGTCAATGGAAAGTATTTGTCTGGTTAGAACTTAGAACCAGACTTAGAACATTTGCTTAATCTTTTTTTTTGTTTTGACATCAAAACATTTGCTCAATTTGTTGTATCAAACCGGTTCAATTTCACTGTAACCATAAACAAATTCCTCGAAAATTCTAAAGAAGAAAGATAAATTTAATAATAAAAGCCCAGGACCAAGATAAAGTTTATTACTTCGGCCCAAAATTTAAGCTAACGAGAGGAATTTTTTTCAAACCGGTCCCGGTTTGGTTTTAGACAAGTTACTACTGCAATGAAACGACATCGTTTGAGGCAGTGGAATATGTCCTTTTCCCATAAATACGTTTTCCTAATAATTCTTGGGAAGGGGTTTATGAAGGGCTTTTGACACCAGTCATCGTCTACGTTCTTCACTTTCGTACGGTTTCTTGCCTATTAGGCTAAGCTTAACCCTAAATTCCCAAATTTGCTACTCCAAGATCTTCCTCTCCCGTCATGCTGAAGCTTCTCACTCCGACCGCTTCCCATCACGTGACTCCGGCTATTCGATTCCGGTCTACCCCGGTTAAGAGTCTATTGTTTAAGCAACTGACTCTGCTAACCGGATGGAACCGGACTTCCTACGAATTGGGTCGTCGTGCTTTTTCCTCCGAGTTGGATTCCGACGCGAAATCCTCAGCAACGACGACTGTCTCAACTAAACCTCACCTCGACGATTGTCTAACGGTTTGTACAAATTTTATTCAAAGTTCACTTTTTTTCTTTTGTATTTTTTTTTTCTTTCCGACCCATGGGGAATTTTATGATGATGGGGAATGTAGGATTTCAAGAACCAACTGAGCTGCATTTAACTTCATATTCTTTGATTTTTCTTAGATCATGGAGAAATCAGTTCAATTGGCAAACTTTTCTTTATGGTTCTAGCGATTGGAAAGTTAAAGCTAGAACCTTTATAGCATTGGTTGGGAAATTAGTAAATTTTGAAGACATTTAGTGTGTTTATGGTATATATTGATCTTCTTATAAACGCAAATTTGGATGGATGATTCCTAGGTTCATAGTCAGGCAAAGCTAGAACCTTTTATAGCAAAACCATGTCCTCGAGCTTTGTTTGGTACGATTGTTTCCATTGAGCTTTATGTTGTTTTATTGCAGGTTATAGCATTGCCATTGCCTCACAAGCCTCTTATTCCTGGCTTTTACATGCCAATCTATGTCAAGGTATGTAATCCAATATCCCTTTTTGCTGTCTCAGCTTGCGTTTATCTGACCTGTTAGAGTTTTTTTTTGTGTAGGATCCTAAAGTTCTTGCAGCTTTACAAGAGAGCAGAAGACAACAAGCTTTATATGCGGGGGCTTTCCTTTTCAAGGATGACGCGTCAACTGACTCATCTTCTAGCTCTGAAACAGAGAATATTCTAGAGAAGTTGAAAGGAAAAGAGTTGCTTAACCGGATTCATGAAGTTGGCACACTTGCTAAGGTACTAGTCTCTTGCCGCACGTTAGCACTGTGTTTTCCCTTCTCTTTGTCTGAAAGAGATAACCATTGCTAGTTTTCCAGATTTCAAGTATCCAAGGTGAGCAAGTCATCCTCATTGGCCGCAGACGACTTCGAATAACAGAGATGGTAAGTTAATGGAAATATATCTTTTTAAAGGCTCAAAGTTCATGAAAATTAAAGACTTTAAAGTTCAGAAGCTGTGTGTATACCTTCCACATGTGTCTTCTGCTTATCAAGTAATGGTTCTCTCAGTGTGAAAACCATGTGCTTTGTTTCTGTTCAGGTGAGTGAAGATCCTCTAACCGTCAAAGTTGACCATCTAAAGGTGTGTTTCTGTTTTCAAGCCTTTCCTTATATGATACAAGCATGGGAGCAGGTTTCTGTTTCCTTTTGAAATGCTGAAATCTATAACCCTTGTCACGTGTTTCTTTGCAGGATAAGCCATATGACAAGGACGATGATGTCATCAAGGCAACATACTTTCAAGTTATGTCGACACTTAGGGATGTTTTAAAGACAACTTCACTCTGGAGAGATCAAGTTCGGACATATACCCAGGCATGTTCTCTTCATATCTGGCACAGCTTGCGAGTACAAATATTTCAGAATATCAGTATCTTAGTAAATTTATCTTGAATAGCATATAGGTGAATTCAATTATCCAAGGTTAGCCGATTTTGGAGCCGGGATCTCTGGCGCTAACAAACATCAAAATCAGGGGGTTCTTGAAGAACTGGATGTAAGTAATTAGCTATTAGTCTATTACTGTCACGCTTTGATGCTGACATTACCTCAAACAGGATAATATTCCATTCTTAGACAGCTTCTCATAGTTTTTCTTCGATCCAGGTTCATAAACGTCTGGAGTTGACGCTGGAATTGGTGAAAAAAGAAGTTGAAATTAACAAGATTCAAGTACTTCATGCCTTCACTTTTCCCCACTTTCCAGCTGACTCGTGCTACTAGATTTTTGTGAATGATTATTTTATATAGACTGAATCCTCATCTCTTTAAATTCGTGTTTAGGAATCCATAGCAAAAGCTGTTGAAGAAAAATTTAGTGGCGACAGACGTCGTATCATACTAAAGGAGCAGATCAATGCTATAAAAAAGGTTTTCAGTTCGCCTCTAAATTTACAGCTGCTATTTTATGGGTGTGTCTGATGTATAGTATTGTTCGTTGATCACTATTAAATGTACCAATGCAGGAGCTTGGCGTGGAGACAGACAACAAATCTGCACTTTCTGGTTAGTACTACTAGTCTACTACTACAGGATTATTTTCTATTCTATTGTTTTTATTTGATATTATTTAGAGAGATTCAAACTTTGAGATTGCACCATTGTGAACTCATGACGCCAAATTATTTATAGTTTGAGTTCCGAGAGCTGTGCATCAATGAGTGTAAAACAACTGAAGCTAAAGTCTGTTTTTTTCCGCAGAAAAGTTTAGGGGGAGGGTTGACCCTATTAAAGACAAGATTCCAGAACATGTACTAAAAGTCATAGAAGAAGAGCTTAAAAAACTGCAGCTGTTAGAAACCAGTTCCAGCGAATACGATGTGACCTATAACTACCTTGATTGGTTGACCGTGCTGCCTTGGGGAAAATTCAGGTTTGCCATTAGCTTCATTCTTATGTCTTGAAGAGAGTTATAGCAGCATTTGTAATTGATTTTTTTGTGCACTGATTGAGAAGTCTCATTTACTATCATATTAATTTGGTTTGCAGTGATGAGAATTTTGATGTCCTACGGGCAGAAAAGATTCTTGACGAGGATCATTACGGATTATCTGATGTAAAAGAAAGAATACTAGAGTTTATTGCTGTGGGAAGACTTAGAGGCACTTCACAAGGTCGTATCTTTGCCTTTCCAGTTCAATCTTCTTTTGTCCTCATTATTTTATAAGTTCTGAAGGTGAAAATTTGTAAAATGTGTCAACAGGGAAGATCATTTGTCTCTCTGGCCCACCTGGAGTAGGTAAAACTAGCATTGGGCGTTCCATTGCACGTGCTCTTGACCGCAAGTTCTTCCGGTTCTCTGTTGGAGGACTATCCGATGTTGCTGAGATTAAGGTAAAACATGACAAAACTAAAATTCAAATTTGTTGATGAGATATTTATAAATAACAATCTATTATCTTATACATTGTTTAGGGGCATCGTCGAACATATATTGGTGCCATGCCTGGAAAGATGGTGCAATGTCTAAAGAATGTGGGAACAGAAAATCCTCTTGTTCTGATCGATGAGATTGATAAGGTAGCTAGCCTTTTAGTATTTGTTTTGGAGTTTGTATATTCAAAATGTAATAGTTTCGTTTCTTTGTTAAAGCTTTCTTTGCAATAATTGTCTATGGTTCCTTGGCAGCTTGGAGTTAGGTGCCACGATGGCGACCCAGCCAGTGCAATGTTGGAGCTTTTGGATCCAGAGCAAAATGCAAACTTTCTAGACCACTATCTCAATGTTACTATTGACTTATCCAAGGTTTTCATGGCCATTTTTTCTTCTCTTTACATTTTTTCATTTGCAATTTTCTTTCTTTGGATCCACCAAATTGAAGAAAAACTGGAATCCATTGACCCGATCTACGTATTGGTTTCATAATAGGAAGTTTGTTTTCAAACTTAGGTCTAATCAAATTTATTGCAGGTTTTATTTGTATGCACAGCAAACGTGACAGATACCATTCCGAGTCCCCTGCTAGACAGAATGGAGGTGATTACTCTCTCAGGGTACATTACTGATGAGAAAATGCATATTGCTAGAGACTATTTGGTGAAAACTGCACGCAGAGATTGTGGCATTAAGCCTGAACAGGTCTCATTCACAACCATTAGCTGTTTTCTTTATTTTATTATTGTTTGAACAAACATAAAAGATTTTGCTCAAGTTGTTTGTACTCTTCCCAGGTTGATGTGAGCGATGCAGCTCTTCTTTCCTTGATAGAAAATTACTGCAGAGAAGCAGGAGTTAGAAATCTCCAGAAGCAGATAGAGAAGGTTTTTCGTAAGGTAAGTTTACAAGTTCACTGACCATTCCAAACTTCTTGCTCGGACCCCAAAGATCTGAAATGATTGATTTTCTTACAGATTGCTCTTAAACTTGTGCGCAAAGGGGCAGCATCAGCCGAAGTGCCTGCAATTTCTGATGATGTTACTACTGACAATGGAGATACTAAATCTTTGGCCAAGACTGATTTGGAATCCCCAGAGACCTCTGCAGACGGATCCACCGTGTTGACAGATGAGTTGGCAACTGGTGACACAAAAGAATCAAAGACTGAGCAGAGCGGAGAGGTAGATGAAACGGTTGAAAAGTTAATGATTGATGAATCGAACCTTTCAGAAGGATCCACTGTGTTGACAGATGATTTGGCAACTGGGGATTTAACAGAATCAACGACTGAGCAGAGCGGAGAGGTAGCTGAAAAGTTTATGATTGATGAATCAAACCTTTCAGATTATATAGGCAAGCCAGTATTCCAGGCAGAGAAAATATACAAACAGACACCAGTCGGGGTTGTAATGGGTCTAGCTTGGACATCCATGGGGGGCTCAACATTGTACATAGAGACAACCTTTGTAGAAGAAGGAGAAGGCAAAGGTGGTCTTCATATAACGGGTCGGCTTGGGGATGTGATGAAAGAAAGCGCAGAGATTGCTCACACAGTCGCCAGAAGAATAATGCTGGAGAAAAAACCGGAGAACAAGTTCTTTGCGAATTCCAAGCTTCATTTACATGTACCTGCAGGAGCCACTCCAAAAGACGGTCCAAGCGCAGGCTGCACCATGATAACTTCATTGCTATCACTTGCCTCGAAGAAGCCAGTAAGGAAGGATCTTGCAATGACCGGAGAAGTCACTTTGACGGGTAGAATTCTTGCAATTGGCGGCGTAAGTAAAACAAAACACAATTACTCTGTTTTAGCTTTTTAGTTACCACTTTCTTGTACTAATACACAAAATATATATCTCTCTCTCTATCTCTTTGTCAGGTGAAAGAGAAGACAATAGCTGCAAAACGGAGTCAAGTGAAGGTGATAATATTCCCGGAGGCTAACCGGCGAGATTTTGATGAGCTGGCGGAAAACGTGAAAGAAGGGCTCGAAGTTCATTTCGTGAATGAATATGAGCAGATTTTCGAGCTAGCCTTTGGCTATGACCATTAGAGAAGTCTTTAGGCTGATTTTCTATATCTCTTCTTGGTTGATTTCACCATTATTAATTATGTATTATGTTCTTTCTGTTAACTAGTGTAATTTATATATATGCGGTTGGATTTCAGGTTTTGTTGTAAAATCTAAACTCCTCTTTTCTTTACTTTATAACTGGCTTCTGTGAATCTTTGAAATGTAAACATTCGAAGAAAGAGACACTTTGGACCTTTTTTAAAAAAGATTTATGTACCGAAATCCATAAAGCTGATAATATTAGACAAATCTAAACTCCAAAATCTTCCATTATCCAGAACAAAAAAGACAAGTCCAAATTCTTTATTTTCTACTAATTAGTAATTCAGCTACCCTTCAGAATTTTCTTATTTACAGGTTACAAAAAACATTTTTTCAAAAAATTTAATATTTGTTTATTTTCCTGTTTTATATAGGATAATATAGAAATTCTTAAGTAAATCTCTTCGCATATAAATACAGCTACTTGTCTGTAGAATAAAACTCAAAAATACAACACAGAAATTATTATATGCAAATCTCGTAAGACTTGTCGACTATAATAATGATGATAAACGAAGGTATTTATAGCAGCTAATCCTCTTGTGTGATTATAAACACAAAGATGCTTTTTTGTTTTACTTAATTTGTTTTGTCAATCAACAATGATTAACAGAGAAGTGGACCAGAAAATTTTGGGAGTAATTTTTTAAGTTAATAAATATTTTAATGACATCAATTTTACTATTTTTGGAAGGGTTTAAGAACGGATTTGACACGAGTCTTGTTCATCTTCGTCGTCTACCTTCGTACGACGGTTTATTGCATCTTAGGCGGCAAAGCTTAAACCTAAATTCTCGCGTTTTCTACGGTGCCCGTCATGTGACTCCTCCGGCTATTCGGGTCGGATCCATCCCGGTTCAGAGTCTACTCTTCAGGGCACCGACTCAGCTAACCGGATGGACCCGGAGTTGGGGTCATCGTGTTTCTTTCTCCCATCGCAGTGACGGTCTCGATCTCTTATCTTCTTCACCGATTGTCTCAACTAACCCTACCCTCGACGATTGTCTAACGGTTTGTACAAATTTTATTCAAAATTCACTTTTTTTTTTTTTAAAGTTTATTTTGAAGATAATGTAGGACTCGATTAATTCCATTGGCAAAAGTTTCAGTATGATTTAGCGATTGGGAAGTTGAAAAATTCTTGTTCTGAGCTATGTGATCAAACCTTGCTCTTGTTTAATTTCAGGTTATAGCATTGCCATTGCCTCACAAGCCTCTTATTCCTGGCTTTTACATGCCAATCTATGTCAAGGTATGTTAGTGAAACTTAGCTACTCGTAATCTTAGTGAAAGAATGGATTTTGTTATCTTGTGTTCTCTGACCTGTATGAGCTTTTATTTGTCTAGGATCCTAAAGTTCTTGCAGCTTTACAAGAGAGCACAAGACAACAATCTCCATATGTTGGGGCTTTCCTTTTGAAGGATGGCGCTTCTACTGATTCATCTTCTTGCTCTGAAACAAATAATGTTGTCCACAAGTTTAAAGGCAAAGGGAAACCAAAAAAGAAAAGAAGAAAAGAGTTGCTTAACCGTATTTACCAAGTGGGCACTCTTGCTCAGGTACCCTCTTTCTGCACGTTAGCACTGTCTTTTCCTTTTGTATCTCTATCTGAAAAGACTTAAACCATTGCCAATTTTTCAGATTTCAAGTATCCAAGGTGAGCAAGTCATCCTTGTTGGTCGCAGACGACTTCGAATAAAAGAGATGGTATGTTAATGGAGAAACAGGCTTCGATTATCTCTCTACTAAAAGGATATGTGTCTTCTGTTTTATCAAGTTATGGTTCTCTCATTGAGAAAACCATGTTTTGTTTTTCTACAGGTGAGTGAAGATCCTCTAACCGTCAACGTTTACCATTTAAAGGTTTGTTTCTGTTTTTAAGACTTTCCTTTTATGAAATGTGGTTTCTATTTCCTTATGAAATTCTGGAATCTATAACCCTTGACCCTTGACACGTTTGTTATATGCAGGATAAGCCATATGACAAGGACAATGCTGTCATCAAGGCAAGCTACGTTGAAGTTATCTCGATGCTTAGGGATGTCTTAAAGATAAATTCACTCTGGAGAGATCAAGTTCAGACATATACCCAGGCATGTTTGCTTCATATTTGACACTGCTTGCGAGTGCAAAATATGCCAACATTTCAGTATCTAAATAGATTTCTTTTGAATTTCTGAAGGATATAGGTGACTTCAGTTATCAACATTTAGCTGATTTTGGAGCCGGGATCTCTGGCGCTAACAAACATCAAAATCAGGGGGTTCTTATAGAACTGGATGTAAGCAGTTTAACGATTAGTCTATTACTGTTACGTTTTAATGCTGAAATCACCTCAAACAGGATGATATTCCATTCTTAGTCAGCTTCTCATGTTGGTTTCTTCGATCCAGGTTCATAAACGTCTAGAGTTGACGTTGGAATTGGTGAAAAAACAAGCAGAAATTAACAAGATTAAAGTACGTCATTCCTTCATTTTTGTAAATAATTCTTTTATATATATTAAGTGTATTAATTAAGTGTCCCATTGCAGGAGACAGATGACGGATCTTCACTTTCTGGTTAGTACTACTAGTCCACTACTATAGGAATATTTTCAGATTGTCCAGTGAGATTCAAATTTTCAGATTGCACCTTTGTGAATTCATGACGCCTAAATTAGTAACTTGTTATAGTTCCAAGAGTTGTACGTCGATGACTGGAAAACAACTTGATGCTTATAAAGCCTGTTCTTTTCTTCTTTTCTGCAGCAAAGATAAGGGTAAGGATTGATACTAATAAAGAAAACATTCCAAAACATGTATTAAAAGTCATGGAAGAAGAGTTTTCAAAGCTGGAGATGTTAGAAGACAATTATAGCGACTTCGATTTGACCTATAACTACCTTGATTGGTTGACCGTACTGCCTTGGGGAAATTTCAGGTTTGTCATGCTTCATGCCCATGTCTTGAGGAGAGTTATAACACCATTTTAGATAATTTTCTTGTGCACTGATTGAGAAGTCTCATTTATAATCATATTAATTTGGTTTGCAGTTATGAGAATTTTGATGTCCTACGGGCAAAGAAGATTCTTGACGAGGATCATTACGGATTATCTGATGTAAAAGAAAGAATATTAGAGTTTATTGCTGTGGGAAGACTTAGAGGCACTTCACAAGGTCGTATCTTTGCCTTTCTAATTCAGTCTTCTTTGCTAGAACCTTATGTCCTCATTTATAAGTTCTGAAGGTGAGAATTTGTAAAATGTGTCAACAGGGAAAATCATTTGTCTATCTGGCCCACCTGGAGTAGGTAAAACTAGCATTGGGCGTTCAATTGCACGTGCTCTTGACCGCAAGTTCTTCCGGTTCGCTGTTGGAGGACTATCTGATGTTGGGGAGATAAAGGTATACTATACATGGCAAAACTATAATTCAAATATTTATATATAATCATATATTCTCTTAAACACTATTTAGGGTCATTGTCAAACATATGTTGGTGCCATGCCTGGAAAGATGGTGCAATGTCTAAAGAGTGTGGGAACAGAAAATCCTCTTATTCTGATCGATGAGATTGATAAGGTAGCTAGCTTTTTAGTATTTGAATTGGCTTTTTGGGTTTTCTATTCAAACATATTAGCTCCAGTTACGCTTTTGCAATAATTTGTCTGCTGTTCCTTGGCAGCTTGATAGGTGCCACACTGGCGACCCAGCCAGCGCGTTGTTGGAGGTTATGGATCCAGAGCAGAATGCAAATTTTCTAGACCACTTTCTCAATGTTACTATTGACTTATCAAAGGTTTTTACTCTTTTGCCATGACGGTTTTTTCTACTCTTTGCATTTTTCATTCTATTTGATCCATCAAGGTTAAGGAAAACTCTGTGTATTGATATTCATAATATGCAGTTTTGTGTTTGGCGTAAGGTCTAAACTAATTTATTGCAGGTTTTATTTGTATGCACTGCAAATGTGATAGAAATGATTCCGGGTCCTCTGCTAGACAGAATGGAGGTGATTGATCTTTCTGGGTATGTTACTGATGAGAAAATGCATATTGCTAGAGACTATTTGGTGAAAAAGACATGCAGAGATTGTGGCATTAAGCCTGAACAGGTCTCACTCGCAACCATTGATCCTCATTCTTCTGTTATTTCTGATGCCATTTGCTGTTTTTAGCTTACGAGAGATGCCATGTTCAGGTTGATTTGAGTGATGCAGCTCTTCTTTCCTTGATAGAAAATTACTGCAGAGAAGCAGGAGTTAGAAATCTCCAAAAGCAGATTGAGAAGATTTACCGTAAGGTAAGTTGCTACAAAGTCGCATGTTTCTTGTATCTCAAACTATTTACTAGAATCAACAGAATCTAAAATCATTTGTGACCTTCTTGGCAGGTTGCTCTTGAACTAGTACGCCAAGGAGCAGTTTCTTTTTATGTTACTGACACTAAAGATACTAAATCTTTGGCCAAGACCGATTCGGAGGTTAAGGGAATGAAAGTGGCTGATATTATGAAGATACTCGAATCAGCAACTGGGGATTCAACAGAATCAAAGACTAAGCAGAGCGGAGTGGTAGCTAAAACGTTTAAAAAGGTTATGATTGATGAATCAAACCTTGCAGATTATGTAGGCAAACCAGTATTCCAGGAAGAGAAGATCTATGAACAGACACCTGTTGGGGTTGTGATGGGTCTAGCTTGGACATCCATGGGTGGCTCAACGTTGTACATAGAGACAACCTTTGTAGAAGAAGGAGAGGGAAAAGGTGGTCTTCATATAACGGGTCAGCTTGGGGATGTGATGAAAGAAAGCGCAGAGATCGCTCACACAGTCGCTAGAAGAATAATGTTTGAGAAAGAACCGGAGAACCTCTTTTTTGCGAATTCCAAGCTTCATTTACATGTTCCTGAAGGAGCCACACCAAAAGACGGTCCAAGTGCAGGCTGCACCATGATCACTTCGTTCCTATCACTTGCCATGAAGAAGTTTGTAAGGAAGGATCTTGCAATGACCGGAGAAGTCACTCTAACTGGTAGAATTCTTCCAATTGGTGGCGTAAGTAACACACACTACAATTACTCTGTTTTAGCTTTGGAGTTAATGATTTCTTGGATTGAGTTCATTTTAATACACAAAATCTCTCTCTCGCTCAGGTTAAGGAGAAGACTATAGCTGCAAGACGGAGTCAGATCAAAACAATAATATTTCCGGAAGCAAATCGGAGAGACTTTGAGGAGCTTGCGGAAAACATGAAAGAAGGGCTTGATGTTCACTTCGTGGATGAATATGAGAAAATATTCGATCTAGCATTCAATTATGACCATTAGAATAAATTTGAGAAGATTCTCACTTGGGATCTTCCTCTGTTGTTGTTTTCATTTTATCATCGATTCTTAGTTCTTAGGCTGACCTTCTTCTTCTAACTCTTCTTACCACAAGAAGAAATGTAACATGAGCCATGGATTTTGTAATACGTTTCTACTAATTATGGTAATTTCTCTCTCTTTCTCTGAGTACAGAAATCAAAACCCTAATGATGAAACGTTTTGTTGTCATAACAAACTCCTTCAATCTAACTCCAAGATCTTCCATCATCCATCGTGTACCTTCAGCTACCCTCCAAATCTTCGTTATTTACAAAAAACACAACTGTCTTCTTACTGCTAAATATGTACATTTTAAATTAAAATTTGGCAATTTTCTTTTTTCTCGTATGTAGACTAGGAACTCTCTTCCATGAAAATAGTAAGTAGACGTATGTTGATCAATGCAAGAACAGACATAAAACATTCTATAGGTCTATATTGTTTTGTTTGACAACAATCTTCAAGTAATCCAATTTTTGCAGGAGCTTGGATTCGATTAAAAAGATGATAAATCTTGTTGTGGTAAGTACCATCGTAAGTGTATCTTGAATTAAGTTTATATCTTGATCGTAAGATATCTATAAACAATACTTCTCTCTGCAGCAAAAGTTTAGGGAAAGGATTGAGCCTAATAAGCTAAAAATCCCAAAACGTGTATTGCAAGTTATTGATGAAGAGCTTACGAAATTGGAGGTGTTTAAGACCGGTAACGACTTTACTATCGCCAGTAACTACCTTGAGTGGTTGACCGTATTTCCCTGGGGAAATTACAGGTTTTGCTGATTTGATTCAATTCATATATTATGCTCATGTACTTGAAAAAGTAGCATTATGGAAATTATTTGTAAAATTTGATTAATTTTGTTTGCAGTGGTGAGAATTGTGATGTCATGAGTGCAGAAAAGATTCTTGACGAGGATCATTATGGCTTATCTAATGTAAAAGAAAGAATAATAGAACACATTGCTGTTGAAAAACTTAGAGGCACTCCTCAAGGTTGGTCTCTATATATTGTTTCTTAATTTTATATAGAAAAATCATGTCCTTTATTTCGTATATATATTGTGTTACTCAGGGAAGATAATTTGTCTAGCGGGTCCTCCCGGGGTTGGTAAGACTAGCATTGCTCGTTCTATTGCACGTTCTCTTCACCGCAATTTCTTTCAATTCTCTGTTGGAGGGCTATGTACGGCTGCTAACATTAAGGGGATTCCTCGAACATTTTACTATGCCACACTGGGAAAGATGGTGCAATGTCTAAAAATTAAGTGTGGGAACAGAGAAATCACAAAACGTATTTTCGTTGGATTTATTTAAGTAGTATATATAGATTATAAAATCACAAACTGAAAACCCTCTTTTCACCTATATTTCACATTATCGTTATCATGTTTACAAATCGATGATGACGCAATCAATGAAATAAATGCCTTAAATTATTCTGAAGTCTGAACTATATATGTCGAAAATACGTTTTTTAAAAAACATTATCGGATATTTATTAAAATGACTTGATGAATCTGAATTCTGAAGTTTGAAGTCAAAACAAAATGTTAAAATTACTTCCTTTTTTTTTTCTTTTTTTTTCTTCTTAAATTAAGTGGATAAATCGACCTTCATTGTTTCGCTTTACCAAGGGTTTTGTGAAATCTTGAAGATGTGACATAAAATGGAGAAAAAACCAACTTAATTGGAGCATCAAGATTTACATCTTTAGATTACTTTTGTTTGGTTATAGATCTTTCGAGTACTTTATATCGAAATCCATCATTAGCACAAAATCTTATAACGATCACAAAAGCCTCATCACGCCATCTTAAAATCAATCAAATTCCAAATTCTTCACCTTATATATATTAGTAGTTGCAATTTTTAATTCGTTTTGAACGTATATATCATACACGAGTATATATCAAAAGGATATAGATATCACATATCTTGTGGTACGGTAGAGAATCTAGAGATGCATGAATCATACATAGCCTATAAGATGGAAAGAGTCACAATTATTTAATATTCCATAAATGGAAAGCCATAAGAAAAAGGCAATATAAACCGTACCCTACAAAGATTTGAGGCACACACATGCTCTATGCTTGCCTCATCCATATATGTACTTGTATCATAGACATAAGCGAAAATCACGTGCGAATTTGAGTGTTATATGGTAAAAATAAGAGAGAGTGTGTGTGTGTATTATAAAGTTGTACCAACCCCATCAAAGTGTGTGAAATGCCTAACAAGCCAAAAGATGTGACAGGCTGACGTTGATGGTGGAGTCGATCTTTCGCTTTATTTTTAGACTCATGAGTGGATAACCAATCGAAAATGTGTAGATAAACTATTCAAGCTAGTGAAGTAGTGGTCATAAATTTCACTAGGAACTTCAGACCATATATAAAATTATTTTGTAATTTTTGTTTCTATTTGGGCTGAATGAAGCTAATTTTTTTAATAGTAAAACCATTATAAGAACAAAAAAATGTTTCGTTTGAATGTTACTAGCTTTCTTTGATGATGCACACAGCACACCGTATTGGTGTTTATCTGAACCTAATGGACAAATTGCGTCGTATCACACATTTCAGATTTTCTGAGGTCATCCGCCTAAGCGAATATTTATAAAGGTGATTTTAGATTGATTATACAATCACATTAATCAAATTTATAATGATTGCATGGTCTTTTGTAGTGTAAAGTAAACAAAAAAAGTTGGAAATCTAAGTGATGCACGCGTGGTGATGGCTTGGAACAATATACTCTAATTGAGTTCTTTCTTTTAAAAGAAAATATAATATATGTAAGTTTTAAAAAACAAAATGAGAGAGATAGAGCACGTGGCGGATGAGGTAGCGGCTCTGCAAATTTGGCCTTGCCGGCCCCTGTTTTTTTTTTAATTTTCTCTGCTTTGATTTATGTTCTGTTATTGCTCTGTTTTTCCTCCAATTGTTACTACTGTTACCTTTCGTAGTTTGCAATATTAATTTGATCAGCGACAAAAAAAAAAAAAATGAGAAAAAGAAAAATATGATATGTTTTATTTCTTTCCTAAAATTATACTATGACTCAATTGGCTACAAAACGGGTTTCGGATAAGCCGCATGGGCAAATATATATGGATTACCACATCTAATTTTTTTTATAACTCATCTAATTTTTATTATTATTGTCGAAAAGTTAATTTAATACCATACATTAGTTAAAAATAATAATGTCATACCCTGATAAGATGATATATCATACGTTACCCATTTATTATCTGGACTTTGACGGGCCCTAATTGCACCTATAAAAACAATTAAAAACCCTAAACAGAATCAGCGTAAATAAAATAATTGTAACCCAGAAAAAACGTGCCTATATATATTCTTTTAGGGAGGCAAATCTGAATATGCAGTGATAAAGAAAAGCTAAAGCAACAAAGAGAAAATAGATAGGTATTTCCATGAAGAGATCACGAGAAGAATCTCAAGGTGGCCGCAATAATAACAGATTTGTTGATGAGGTATCGTCTACTTTACTCAATTCTCTCTGTTTTTCTGCATCGTACTCTTCTCGTGTTTTTTTTCTGTTGTCTCGTATTCTCTTCTTCGTTCTGTTTCATTCTCTGTTTTTGTTCTTTCTTTGGTAATTTTTTCAGATAGTTTAAGCCCGATCCTGAGAAGAATTAGGGTTTTAGGGTTTTAAGTTGTTAGAAAATATTCTCTAGATATATTTGGTTTTAAATCTAATTTATAATTTATTTCACAAAAAGAAAACATTTCTTTCTTCGTCATCTTCTTCTTCAATGTAGGATAGAGTGATAAAGAGATTTATGAAAGGAATAAGAAAAGAAGAGCAACTATATATGTAAACCGTTAAAAAAAATATTAATGTAATTTAAATTTTATATAGTTATTGTGTCACAAGTATAAAACGTTAACAAAGAGTTCGGTTCTTAAACAAAATACTAATAAATAATACTAAACAAAATCATCGTTGATTATATGTTTTGTTTTTCTTTGTGCCCTTTTGGCTATTGGAGTTTCGTCTTCGGTATCATCAAGGTTCTCATCTTTGTTAGTCATTTCTTCTTTAGATGTGATAACTCTTTTATTTGGTAAGCTCTTTCTCTTAACTGTTCGAATTTCTCCAGTGGATGTGTTATCTCTTTTCTTTGGTAATCTTTGCGTCTTTGATTTTGTTTCTTCATGATGATTAGTATTTGAGGAGTTGTCATCCTTTTTCCTATCTTCCTTTTTAGGGATCTTAAGTGTTTGTGCATCCTTATCGTTATTGGCATCTTGATCCTTGAATATAAATTAAAATGTGTAATGTTAGTTATTTTAACAAAATAAGGCATATAAAATAATGTAAATAATTATTTCTAAGTTTATATTCACCTGTTTTATATTTATTGAATCTCCTGCGATACTTGTAACTGATAAAATTAAAAGAGGTGACTTTCAAATCGAATTCAAATATTTTTCCAACAAGTTTTTCGGAAAGGAAAGTTATAATATCTTCTTCTGTTGGAGTATTGAACCTATTTTCATGAATTTAATTAATTAAATTTTGATAGAATTAATTAGCTGATGTTGTTTTACTTGAATTGAATTATTAATTAGTATTTAAAATTATATGATTTACTTACATAATATTTAACCAAGTCAGTTGCAGATATGTTCAACAGCTTTGTTACATCTTTGTTGAATAAAATCATTGATGCTATTTCTGAATCGTCCTCTACTATGATTTCTAGCCGATACCTGTTTATATAAATATGTATATTGTGTAATTTATTTTTTAATAAAGGACCGAAATTATATTTATTACAAAACAAAAGGGTATAATTACCTTAAAATACCAATGACGTCTTGCTTCATACAATTATTGCAGGTTAGTTTTCCTTCATTTTTTAATATTTGGAATGCATAGTTATGATTTATTCTCAATGTTTTTTCAGGTTTCACGTCTACGCTTGCCTCTAACAAAGGGTCCGGAGCTTATCAATAAAATTGAAAATTACCTCAATAGAAACAACACATGTCCTCATCAACAAACAGAGAATTCAAAGACCTCAACTTTTCTTAAGAGTTCTGAGAAACTAAAAGCTATGAATTTCCCAATCTCCATGATCGAAATTGGAACATGGACCCCTGTTGCAATAAACCCTGATGATATTGTGGCGAAATTCTATTTTGCTAAGAAAAAACTTATATGGGAGTTTCTCTTTGGAGAACCAGACACTAACATGCCAAGGCTGAAGAGAAAGATCGAGATTCAATGGAATGATATCTCATCTTTTGAAGAGCGTATTTATACACGTGATGAAACTGGGATCCTCAAAATCGAGGTACTAAACATACTCATGTACATTTTGTAATTAGTTATGAGCCTTGGTTAATGACCTTTGAAAGTTTATGTGCAGTTGAGAAAACGTCCAACATTCTTCATAGAGACTAATCCACAGGCAGGAAAACACACTCAATGGAAACAGTTGGATGATTTCACCGACAATCAGGCTTCTACTTGCAGGTTTCCTGCTTTAACTTGGATCATTTTTTTCCTTTGAGTAACTTTGAAAGAGAGTCAAAGCCTTACGTTTTCTATTTAACAGGAGACATACAATTCATTTTCCTCCCGGAGTTCTGCAAAAGAACTTGGAGAAGCTTCTGACTGATAGCTTCTGGTCCAAACTCTATAACGTCCCTTTCCCGGTAGAAGAATCTCTTTTTTTCGATATGGGCTTTGAAAACAACAACTCATCTCGCAACAGCCACAACCAGACAGTTAGCTTTAATGTCAACTATGGCCTTCAGCATCATCATTATTCTCAAGGTACTTTACCTTGGACCTTACGCTCTAATCATTTTTTATTTGAGTGAGAGATTTAAAAGAAAGAAAAAACCATTACTTTGATAGGAATTGGTGGCGTGGGAGTGGGAGTGGGAGACAGAAACTTTAACATAGCACCGCAGTTCAGGGCTAACGGTGGATGGCAAAGAAACTCATATAGTCAAGCCAATAGTCTGAATTATAACACTGCTAATGAGTTGCCTCGGATGCAAGCTATTATCACACCATCGTTTCAGGTGGTTAACGAGCATCATAACATGCAAATGGATTTCACCGGTTCACAGTATATTAATCAGATGAACCAAGACGAGATCCGAAAGATGCAAATCATAAGGGAGATAGCTGAGAGCCAAGCATATGCTGCAGTACCAGATACACAAACTAACAATGTCCCAATGTATCCTCCGGTTGGATCGCATGTAGCAACATTGATTGAAGAAGAGGAGAGACAGTACAAGGACCAGAAAATTCCATATATACGCAGCAGCAACTGGGAAGTGCTTCCTGGTATGGACACAGAGGAAGATTGGTAAACATTATTAGGGTTTTGTTGATATATGGATCAGTGATGTATGGTTTCAAGTCAAGTCTGTTTTCGGATCTACTATTTGGTTTATTTTGTTATTAGGCTGGTTCAAGTTGTGTCTGGAGCCTGCGGGGCTTTAGCTTCAGATTAATGACCTCTCTTTCCTCCATAGTGCCTTGAAGAGCTAAAACATGTTTTTTCCTAACTTAGAATATACCAGAGTTAATATAACACACAAACTAGTTCAACATCATGCAAGTTTCTTGCCCAAATTATATCGTTCAACATCATGCAAGTTTCTTGCCCAAATCTTTCGAAAAGTTGGTAAATGGTCGTCGACAAAATTGATACCTCATGGACCATTTCCAACCTTTTCGTGCCAGTAAGGTAGTAAAACTTAATTCGTTTGACATGAATACTTTTGCAGAGGTACTGTATATGACACCACCTGTTCGATGATTTTACTGGCTGACTATTTTTTTTAGGCTCAGCTTAATTAATTTATTTTTAATAAAGTAAAAGCTGATGTGGCTAATAAGGAGGCTGACGTGTACATTTGTATTCCTTTATATTATATAAACGGTACAATTTACAAAATCTTCGTCTTCCTTGTCTCTGCTTCATCTTCAAGATTTGCTGGCTCAAGAAAGTTAACCACTTGATCGCCATTTTCGTCAAGTCATGTCTCATCTTCTGTTTCTATTTGCTCTGTTGCTCATCAATTAGGTTATTTTCTAACTTCTTTTTGATATTTTCTTTTGTGTTTTTGTTTCTTCTTTGTGATCTTGGTTCTAGATTTTACGTTTGTGTTGTTTCAGGAAACAGAATGAACTCAAAAGCGTTTACTTGCGAAATCTCGAGGATTATGATTGGTTATTGGACACGCATTGCAACGTACCCCGAAGATCTGTTAGCCAAATGTTATTTCAAACACAACAAGAAACTTATCTGGGATATTCTAGAATTAAACCTAGAAACAGGAAGGAGACTCAAGAAAAAGATGGAGATGAATTGGGATGATGTATTGTCCTATAGAGCAATGCCCCATAACGGAACCGGAATCTTGGACGTAGAGGTAACCACTTACTTATACCTTGTTTTAATGTTTTAGTATTCGTTTAAACATTCTGATTTATGATGTTCTTAATTGATGTACGTACGTATGTAGTTGAGGAAACGTCCTACGTTTTTTTATGGAGAAGACTACCCTACACCCAGGAAAACCCACTCAATGGGAAAATAGTGATCAAGATTTCACGTTGAATCACTCTGCATCATCTTGCAGGTTTTCTTTTGGATCCTATATACTTTTCGTTTTTATAACTACTACCATATATTGAAAAGTTCGACATTTACATATAACAGGAGGCATACATTGCATTTTTCCTCTGAAGTTTTGCAAGCGATGATGGAGAGGCTTGAGTCTGGTGATAACTTCTGGAAAGAACTCGTCAAAGTGCGTTTCCCGACTTTACCAGAATGTCTTTTCTTTGATCAAGACGGCCAGATACCTAGACATTTCTGGAATGATGATGGAACGCATAAGAGGACTATAGTTGCTGGAGAAAATAGCGATGAAGAACAGTCGGAGAATCTGGATGGCAACAGTGTGTTAGGTTTTGGCAATCTACATAGAGACAGAGATGCAGAAGAAGGAGAACTGAATGAAGTTATATACTTGGAAGATTGAATCAACCAATCATTGGTGGGATTTTTCTTTATGTTTTAGTGTTGGGTTTTGTATTAGCTTTGTTTTGATGACTATGGAGGTTGTTTTATACCCAATATTATTATCTTAGACAAGAGGGCCTAATAAGAATTCACAGTTGAGATGTTCATATTTTGTTTTCTAGAATTAATAACCCAAGTCAAAGACTTGTCTAATGGTCATCAGCGTTGAATGCTAGCTCGAATATCTACTAATATTCATCCGCAAACTGAACATGGATCCCTTCTTTCAAATTGTTCGGCAGCTCATCAAAGTCTCTCCGGTTAGCTTCCGGGAATATTAGAGTCTTCACTAGACTTCGTCTCGCAGCTATCGTCTTCTCTTTCACCTAGCAGAGAGAGAGAGAGAGAGAGAGAGGTTTTGTTTATAAGGACTCCTACATGGCTTATCAGGAACTTAATTAATCATTAGCTGAACAGAGTATTATATTGTAGTTTTGTGACTTACACTTCCAATTCCAAGAATTTTCCAGTTAGAGTGAGTCTCCCAGTCATTGCAAAATCCCTCCTCACAGGTTTCTTCATGGCAACTGATATAAAGGATGTGATCATGGTGCAGCTTGCGCTTGTACCGTTAGTTGTAGGCAAATCATGGAATACGCAAAGAAGGTGTTCTCAGGTTGTTTCTGGAGCAGGATTTGATATTAGATTCTTGGGACACAAGTAATACATTAAGCATGCTTGAGAAATAGAATAAGTTATAAAAGAATTACAGCTTTGCGTATAATGAAATTTCAGCTTCGTAAACTATGACCGGACCAGTCCAAGTGATATATTTCTATGATCATCAAAACTTTTCCACAGCTCAACAAGTTATAAAGTAGACTAACCGTTAAGGGGAATAACCGCTGGATCAGACTTTGTCTCAACTACTTTAGTCTGCCCCTCCATTGTCGTGTCTCTCTTATGACACGGTGAGTTGACTCGGGCTCTGCTCTTAAACCCTTTTCTCCCTTGTACTATAAATCAAGTTAAATATGTTTATTTTTTATTTATAAAAAAAGATAACAGATTTATATGATATTGGCACGTAGCGTACTATCTCCGTCCTTATCTTTTTCTCCTTTTTTTCTGCAATAATACACATCAACGTAAATTTGCAAAATAAATGAAGAGAAAAAGTCAACTGTAAAAGTTAACGTTGACCAACTAATGAGAAAGTGACATGGATGGTATTTTTCTTTACTAGATCCCTCTGTTACATGGGATGCAAGCTATCCCACATAATGAGCATTATAACATGGGAAAGTTATTCAATAATCCGATGATCCTAAAACGAGAGCCAAATGAGACAATGTTGGACCCTTGAAGTCCATCCAAGAAGACAATGTTGTGGTTTTCATATGATGATTTTGGGTAACACCTTCAAAACCTAAGGGAATTGAACCTCTGTAGATGTCGTGGTCACAATCAAGATTGAGGATGAATGGGCCATCACACATGTTTGCGCTTGTCTGGTTCTAACCAAAAGCATTAATGGTCCTTTCTTGTTGTGACCATAACCCGGTCAACTTTGCTCCTCTCGATCTCATCTTCCATCAATGGCTGGCCCCTTCTCTGTTTAAAGAATGCTCTGTTTCAACAGTTTTGTTTGTATCATGGATGGTTAGTCACCCTTTTGAACCTTGATAAATTGCCATCAAATTCCTCTTCTTGCACAACGAAAAAATATCGTTATGTGATGTCAGATTACAAAGTTCCAAAACTTTGGATCAAAAACGCTACAACACAAAGATACAAGTGATAATAATATAAGATCATGATTTTTTTGAAGATCCAAAGCCCCCAAATCCCATCATCTCTGCAACTTCAGGATCCATCTCAGGCTCTTCTTCCATCACCTTCCCTTTCTGAAACCAGAAAATTTGAAGTCAGATTTCGAAAAGCCAATCACAATAATCAATCAAAGTAAAAAAAAAGAGAGCTCTAAGACAGATATATATATGAAGACTTGCCTTCTTCTCCTTCTTTTTCTCTCTACGCTGCCTTTTTAGTTCTTCCTCTTCTTCTTGCTGTTTCCGGATGCGTTCGTCCAGATCTGTTCCCAGATCAGGATCAAAATTCAGTTATCCGAAATCTACCATGCGTTAGATGAAGACTAAGTCACAACCTCAATGTTATTTTCCAGAGTGTAGTTTCTGATTTCTGAAGAAACATCAAACTACATAACTCAGAGATGGGTCCTCTCAGAAGTCTTACCTTGTTCTGTGAAAGTTCCTGGTGTTTTCCGCTTCTTTAAAACCTCGAACCTCTCTTGGACCTAATGCATTCAAATCAGGAGCACTCTTGTCTCAGATTCATCCATAAGCAAAACCCCAAGAAAGCAATTAAGCATATGTATAGAAGAAAATATTTTACTTGTTCAAGTGACGATCTCTCCACCCGCATAGACATCCCCAATGCCCTTTGATCTGTGTGAATCGAAAACAAAACCGTCTAGTTTAGTTTACAAATTGAAAACAAATTGGATATTCCATCCAACAATTCATAGGCTTCATAGTAAAAGATGCCTTCTTTAGTTAGACTTGTTAGAAATTTGGTGAGTAAAGAGTCACTACGTACGTTTTTTCCCATTTATGTGATCCAAGTAGTTTGCCGAATCTTTAACAACACAATCACAGACTCGACAGAAATAACCGGCCTGTGGGAAGACAAAGATCATTAGCCGCGTGATTACAAGTTTTTGCTTAAGTTAATATTAGCAGTACAGGTAGAAAAGAGCCATTACCTGCTGACTTAGAGGAGCTACCGGTGTAACGACCTGGTAATATAAACAAGAACGTTAGACTCTTGAAGAAACCTTAAGTGGAAAGACTTCCATATCAAAAGAATACTAGATAAGATTGAAGTCAAACAAACTAATCGTCCAATATATAAAAACAATCATGCATTAACCAGTTCAAACATCAATGCCGTTTGCTATAGACTAAGGTATTCACAAAACTTAATCTGTTTTCAAGTAAAGAGAAGAACTGAGATTCCAAACGTTTATAAAACCAAATAAAGTAGCAGCTACTACCATATTATAAACAACTATCAAGCAGGATTGTTACATTTCTGTGTCATAAAGAAAAGCTTGCAAATTTATATTCAATGAAAAGAGATCAAACGATACCTGTGTCTTGCCCAGACGAGATTCTAAGTCTACATGATAATCTCTATGCTTCAAAGGGGCTCTTTGCACAGGAGGACCTTTGGCTGCAAAAACAAGCTTAATTAATTTCATCTAGATTTCACAAAGTTTCTTCTTATAAGCTGAAATTCAGACAAGTAACCCTACACCGAGACTTAGAACGATCCGATTCCTGCATCGAGAAATAAACCCATCATGATTTTAGCTTTCAAAATCGAAAAATCAACAGATCAGATGAAATTGGAGAGAAAAAAGCAACCTTCTTTTCGCGTTCACGAGCACGCTCCTTAAACTCTTCCTCATCGAACTTCTTTCTAAACGTATTATCAACCCCAGTTGTCTACAAAATCGACACAAAGCAATCTCAGAGTCGTGTCCCAATAAACCCTACGTAAAACCAGAGAAACTAGCGTATTGCTTACCGTGTTGCTCGAAGCCATTGAAGAACAAAAAGCTGAAAGGGCTAAGCTTTAAGACAGGAGGAGGAAACACTGATGATTCCAATTTTTTTCCGTCTCCGATGAACAACTAGAGAGTCTCCGTATAAACACGGTGATAATGTTATTTTATAAACACTTAAGCAAATTGGGTGTTTGGTCTAGTGGTATGATTCGCGCTTCGGGTGCGCGAGGTCCCGAGTTCGATTCTCGGAACACCCCATTTATTTTTTTATTTTCAATATAAGACACTTTTGTTCATGTGCCTATCAGACTTGTTAACTATTTGCGATTTCAGAGATCAAAAAGGAATGCTCTATAAAATTACACTGTGAGGGAATGTAGTCGAGCCTAATCTTGTTTTTAACAGATAATCCTAGAGAAAACAATTTCACTCTGATGTTGGAGAGAAGAAGACCAAGGGGTTGTTGTCAAAAACACATGATAAGATCATTAACTAAGTCATCAACTAATTCGGACACAATCTCTTCTTCAATCTCAACTCCTTCTTCGTACGTCTCTCTTTTGTAATCAAGCCATTTCCCTTCACAACTACTCATGTCATTGTCAACTAGCTCATCCATCATCATCATCTCTCTCATCTTCTTCAATCCTTGAACCTCTTTCTTCACTTCTTCTGCCAAAATCTCTCCTCTTTCAAGAAAAATGTCTTGTTTCCCCAACAACACTCCTTTGCAGCTTCCCATGAACATCTGCTCGCATTTGAGTGTAAAGCACTGATTCACCAAGTCAAACAGTGTTTTTCTCTCCATCTTGCCCCGAGCATCTCTCTTGCCTTCGATTTCATCGAAAAGGCTCAGAGGTAATATATCAGTAGCCATCCCCAAGGAGAATTCTTTAACCATCAGTTGGCCAGAGGCTATGATCTCGGTTATGTACTCGACCTCCCAGTCATGTCCTTCTTCAGATTCTGAGAGTTCGGTTTCTTCAATTCCATGGAGATATTCATTGCGTGAATTTGAGAAACTCGTGCTGCAGGAAATTTGGAGATTTTCGTCATTGCTGAAGCTGTCAACTTCCTGATCTTCTTCTGCCTGTGTCATAGGAAATAAGAAATTTTCAAAGGTCAGTGAGCCATAAAACCTTAAGGCAATACATATTTAGCGAATTATAGAACAGTGCTAAGCTACTAAAAGTAGACCTATCCTTCTGCAGAGAAAGGGATTGGCCATATGACTAACCTGGAATATTTTATTTTTGTAGAATGAACTACTATAGTCAGAAACAGATTCGCTCTCTGATAAACCGTTATCCAGATCATCTGACGGCAATGATATCGTCCCATTCACCCAATCCTTTGTAATGGAACCCGAAGACTCTTCTTCTTGGGTCAGACTACTGCAAGATGACTCAATCTTAGAGGTTAGCTCTCTGAGCTTTTTCTCCAACAGAAAATTTAGAGAATCACTGTCTATCTTATTGAAACTAAGTGCTGATTCTGTATCTTGATCAGTCTTTTTAATGGAGGATCGCGAATCGGATGATAGACCTTTGATCGGGGATGAGAAAGTGAACGAAATCACATCCATGTCCTTCTTTCGATCATCGTCCCCTGACTTCAACCCGCCATCAACGGTGATGTTACATTTTATCAACTTCTCACCCTTTTTCATCCGTTTATCACTGTTGACTCCAGCTTCTTGCACCCCATTTGCAGATTTTTTATTGCGGGGAAGATTCTTTTTGCGGGACAAAGATGAAGCAGTGCTCTTTTCCGCTGATATTGCTGTAAAACCAGGCTTCTTAGTTGTAGTTCCGCTTTCCACCAAAACCTTGTTTACTTTCTTCATCACTTTGCTGCCTCTCTGATTTGAAACAGACGTTTCAGCAAATTGGTTCTGCTTCTGGTTATTTGGCTTATCCACGGTTTTCCTAGTGCTAGCAGAAGATTCTTTGAGACCATTTCTTACTATGCGGTTCTTAGTTTCCACCTTCTTCTTTTGGTCTCTGTTGCCACTTGAGAGCATTGAACTGTCCCGCTTGTGAATAGTATTGGCCTTTGCATGTGCAGATACAGAGGGCGGCTTCACTTTAACCTTCGAACCACCAAACCTGCTTTCTCCCAATAACTTATTTAGCTCTTGTGTCTTGAGTGATAATGTAGTTCTCTTTTCATCTTGCTTTCCTCTGAAGCACTTATTGTTGCAGGTACCATTAGAGACTTGAGGACTTTGTCCTTTCTGTGAAGCTTCTAGTTTCTCTTTCAAATCTCTGATCCTCATTGGAAGTGATGAAGAGGAATCAGATGATGAAAACCGTGTTTTAGCAACTATCCGAGGACTTGGTTCAATCATTCTCGAAGCTGCTTCCATTACAGAAGCAGGGTTCCTGGACTGAACAAATCCAGGACTTCGGATAGGAGACAAGAGCCTATTGTGAGTGACAGGGATTGGTTTAGCCGACCTTGGAGGTAACGTTTCGGTTTGAAAGCGGTCGATAGGCCGGTTACACTCTTTATTCATTCTTGAATCCAAATGGTCCCAAGAAATACCATCATAGTCACTGCAGAGATTTACATAACCCAAATTCTCATATGCATCCCATGTGCTTGTCTTGCGTGAGGATCTGAGGAAGTATGGATCAAAATCAGGATTAGACCGGGGCTCCAAGGCATTAGGTACAGGTAGAGACTCTAAACCCATGAGCCTCGCAATCACACTCGGAGCTTTGGACCCTTGTCCATCATCACTAGTGGCAGTGGATGTAGAACAACTCGAGTCACTTCTCGGATTGTAAGTTGAATTCTTTCCAATCTCATCCCCCTCAATCTGTTCAAAAAAAAAAGAAGATCAAATCAAAGACTATTGGTTCCTGTCACTCACTGAATTCGTAGATAAGCCTTACCGGAGAGGGCCATGACTTTGAGGGGTTTTGAGCATTTTGTTTTTCTTGCTTTGATGCTTCTGATACAAACAAAGAAGACAACAGGTTGAGTCTATTGAACAAGATCCCAAAGTCGATAAAAAGTGAAGTTCTTTGAATCAAGAAGTGGACTATCTTCATCCACGTAAATATATACAAGACAATGCATCAAAGATCACACACAAGCGAATCAAAATCTTCGAAAAAGATGCATCGATGAGACCCGAAATTTCTACATATCAAGGAGAAGCTTCAAGACAAGAACCATTTGAACTTAAACCAGAACTGATAGAGCATTTAAGTTTTGCAGACATTACCGGAGAGTTTCGAGCTGCTGTTAGAGGAGAAGAGCTTCTTCCGGGATTTACCAGGCCAATCAAACATATTTAGAAAACCTCCTCTGGATCGTTTCCTCTCAACAACCTCCATTTCTACCATCTACATAACACAGAAATTGAATTACTTCTATGGAATGCCTAAGATATCCACCACAGTGGAATTTGATTCTAAGACTCTAAATTTGTACTCAATCTCAGCCAACTATTACAGATGAAATTTTTGTTTGGCATTTCGATCAAAAGGACAAAAAGGACCAAACTTTGGACAGTAACATTAACAGTCTACAACAAGATAAAATAGGAATACAGACAAATCAAATGATTCAGCCAAAACAAAACTCAGAAATGAGTAGAATGGTACCGAATTCGAAATTGTCTAAACGTTAACAAGAAAATGTAGGCACCGAGACGAAGACCCAGATGTGAAAATCTGAGATACTGAAGATGGAAACCCTAAAAACAACGAAAGTCTTTCATTTTCGTCTCTCTGACACTTAATATCGCTGAACTAAAATAATTCACAAGTAGAGAAATCAAATCAGTGGAAAGAAGGAAACGTTGAGATTTTTGAGAAATGGGTCAGAAGAAGAGAACGAGTTTGGCATTTGGAATTGGCGGACGATGAAAATAGATTCGATTTGGCATTTGAAATGTGGAATTTTGGGGATTTGGGTTAAGAATAGAGAGACCTAGAGGAAGAATAAGAAGCGGAGCGGAGAGGGAGCTCTTGTGGAAACGAAGAGATGCAGAGAGTGTGTGTGTATTGATGTGACAAGAAGAGAAGAAAAGAGAGAGACTTTGAATTTTCCACCTCTGGATATTAAATGTGACATTGTTTTCTGTAAATAAATAAGACATTTGATGAATTTTTTGTTGGTTTACAGATATGAATTTTTAATGCTTTTTTTTTGTTCTAAACGAATTTTAATGTTATTGTTAGAGAAAATCGAATAAGTAAAGATTTTTGATATTTATTGACCAAAAAATACAAAGCCCAAAATTTCCATCAATTTAAATAATTTATCTTTATCGCTAAAAATGTAACTTCTATATTGCCACGTGGCAACCGTTATATATATTCATGAGCGCAAAACTTCAACTTCATCTTCTTCATTAATCATCGTTCTTCTTCTGGTTCAAGAATTCAAGAATGGAACAAGATTCCGATCACGAGGTTTTGGATTTGTCATTGGCACCGCCAAACTCCGACGCAGCAGAGACACCTCCTCTCGGCCCAAATCTCCCGGTCGCTCCGTCGAGTTCTTCTTCCGCTGACTCGAATGTGTCACAAGGTCTTTCAAGCTGCACGAATCTTCCGGTTGCAACGTCGATTTCAGCCTATGGATGGGATTTATTATGGAATCTTCCTATTGGAGCGTCGAGTTCAATCGATGGATTGGATCTTTCATTGGGTTCAGCCGCCGCTGGGTCTCCGTATCTCGGCACGGATATTTCTCCGGCCATTACTTCTGGATCGCAGGTTCTTGCTCTGATTCAACATGCTATGTTCTTTGTGCACATCTCTGTTTTGTTCTTTTCTTTTAAAATCTTTCATAGGGTTTGTTCTTTAGATTTTGATACTCGTGTCGTGTGTAAACTCAGGTTGCAAGTTCAGCTCAAGACTTGCCTAAACCACCGAGAGCTATCAACTTTCCAATGACCAAGATTACAATCGGAGATTGGACCCAAGTTGCGGTCATCCCCAATGGTCTTAAGTCTAGGTGCTACTTTGGAAAGCAACAATTTGTCTGGGAGATTCTTGACGTGGTAGAAACAAAGACAAAAACAAAAAGGCAATGGAAAAAAATGGAGATCGAGTGGGGAGATGTCTTGTCCCTTAAAGCAGATGTTCAAACTGGATGCCTGGATATCGAGGTAATATATTAATAAGCTGCTTAACACATTCTTCAAGTCATGAACCTAATGTGTCTGTGTGTGTGTTTCTCTGCAGTTAAGAATACCACCAAAGTTCTTCGAAGAGTGTGATCCAAGTGTTCTTGGTCACTGGCAAAAGATCCCCCATTTCACTGAAGATCATCCTTCTAATTTTTGCAGGTTGATTTTGAGTCCCATGACTTTACCATGTTCTTTAATTTCCTTCTGTTACTAATTCGTTGAATGATTCAGGAGACATGCACTACATTTTGATCCGGAAGTTTTAAGTATGAACTACAACAAGATAGTAGCAGACAGCTTCTGGACCAGAAGAACAGTGGAAGTCCCTTTCCCATCGTTACCAGACTCGCTTCACTTTGAAGATGGCGATGCAAACTTAGCGGTTGGAGACAACAGCCAGAATGCCTCTGCAAATCAGTCACTTGTGCCGCAAGTTATCCCACCGTCTCAACAAATGAACGTACGTACCTTCACCTGATCCTCAGGTTGGACCGAATCTAAGAGGCATATCGCAACAAAACCCGCAAGAAGAAGTATCGAAAAAGGGTGAGAAAAGGAAACGATAATTAGGGAATGACTCAATGCTTTCATGAAGCAGTGTTGTTTGATGGCTTTTTAGATGTAGTTCTGCTTTCCACCAAAAAACTTGTTTCCAATTTTGTTCATCATTTTACTGCTTTCTCTGGTTTGAAACAGCAAATTAATTTCTGTTTCTGTATATATGGCTTAACTACTTTTTACAGTTTTGCTTGTGAGTAGTATTGGCGTTTGCGTGTGACTTGAGTTATGATTACTAGGAAAGAAGGCTTTATTTGTTTCCAAAAGTAATCTGCTCTTTAGCAAGCGTGGTTTGTTTTTTCTAAAACATAAAGAGGGACTTGTCAAATTTCTATAAAAAAGAATGAGCCCTTCTTTTAAATTATCCGCCAGCTCATCAATGTCTTTCCGGTTAGCCTCCGAGAATATTTACCTGTATTCACTTGACTCCTTCTTGCACCAATAATCTTATCCTTCACCTGGGATGGAAACAGAGTGACATTTTGTGCATTATACTCAACTTTGATAGAAATCTATTATTCAAGTTTTTTTTTTAAGAAAAAAGAAACCTTTAATAATGTTAATTTTAAAATATTTAAAACCATAAGAAAAAAAAATTAAAACCTTTAAAAACAAATGAAAAACTTAGATATTATATCTACAAAAAAATGCGAAAACAAGTTGGATTTGTGGAATCGGCTAACGATCAATGACTAGGTCAAATGACAGGATCCAAAATCCGGTTAGTTTTCACATTATTTTGCAAATCCATTATCCAAGAAAAAAAAAACTTTAAAACCTTTCTAAAAACAAATAATTAAAATTTTAAAAACTTTAAAACCATAAGAAAAAAAAAATCAAAATTTTAAAACTTTTAAAAAACAAATGAAAACTTAGATATTATATCTACAAACAATGCGAAAACAAGTTGGACTTGTGGAATCGGCTAACGATCAATGACTATGTCAAATGACAGGATCCAAAATCCGGTTAGTTTTCACATTATTTTGCAAATCCACTATCCAAGCTTTCATATAAAAAAAAAAAATTCAAAAAAAGATCAAAAATAAACTTAAAATCGGAAAAAGGAAAAAAAAAATTGAAAACCTTTCTTTTTTTACTTAACGTATAAATATTTTAAAGTCTATTAATTTTCTAATTATAAAAGGAGGAAACATTAAATGGATAGAAATTGACCTGTGGGTACTCCTTTGTTCATGGGCCTCCGAGTTCTTTATGGGCTGGAAACACTTTTCTTTGTTGTGCAGTCCAATGCTTTCCTTCTCCTCCATTCCTTATCACTGGGAATCAAAGAATCCTTTAATGTCCTCCTCTCATAGTCTTCTCTCTCCGTCGCTGATTTCTGTAAGCGAAGCATTCATCGTGGTCGTAGAAGAGTCACCATCATCTTCCATCCATCACCGATCTGGTTGGCGAAAAAACAAACCAAGCGTCGAACAAGTTGGAGCCAGAGATGAGGGCAAATCCATGGAATTCGAAGAAATCAAAGATGAAATAGTAGAGAATAGAGATAAAGAAATCAGAAATCGAATAAGAGAATCAAAATTTTAGAGAAATCGCGCATCAACACTCTATAACTCGTGTTTCTTCCTCTCTGTTTTTTTTTTCTCCGTGGTTTGTGTCTTTGTGATTTTGAAACTAAAACGATTAGAGAGGAGAGGAGGCACAAGAGACTATTTATAAACTCATCTTCTTATGTGTTTTGAAGATTCAAAGTTTCCTTTTTTCTCATGTTATTTCCTTTTTTTTTTATTCTTCTTTGTTATTTCCTTTTTTCACACTTCTGTGTTATTTCCATTTTTTTCAATTTGGTCTGGGAAAATCCAAAGCCCAGTGGTCTCTAATCTCTATCAAGGCCCAGTGGGCTACATTCAGCGTAGGGTAAAAAGTGTTTATTTGCATAATTAGATATTAGGTTTTGAGATGATTTAACGTAAAAGTGAAGAAACCGAAGGGGAAAGTGGAGAAGGGCAACTGGGCAAGGCCTGGTTTTGAGGCTAGTTGAACTGTATGTCAAAACTCCGATGAGGGCTCCAATCACCGGAGTAACTTAGCATAAAGTAATTGATGTAATAATAACTTAGCATAAAGTAATTTCATGTTTATATTTATTTGAATTGATGAAAAAAAAACAAAAGAAAAATGTAAGAAATGTGTGTCTCGTAAATTATAGATTTTAAAAAATAATGATGTAGATAACTTAATCTAATGAAACTAAATAATGGATTTTCTTCTGTTTTTTGTTAAAAACTAAATAATGATATCACAAGGAGATATGTCACATGTCAACTTCTTAGAAGATGAGTTTAGATTTGGAGGAAACTTTACTTTATTACCTAAGATAACTTAGCATAAAGTAAATTCATGTTTATATTTATTTCTGTTGATGAAAAATAAAATGAAGGAAAAATGTAAGAAATGTGTGTCTCTTTAACAATAGTTTTTAAACAATAATGATATAGATAACTAAATCTAATAAAATTAAATAATGATTTTTTATTTGTTAAAAAACTAAGTAGTGATATTAGGATCAAATGAAAGAGGAAACATATCACAAGGAGAGATGCCATATGAGTTTGGGAGAAAACCTTACTTTATTATATAAAGGTTTATATTATTGTAATTCACTAATTCACTCTTACTATTTTTCTACACACACAAAATTCTTTCACATCCAAAGCAGGCAATGGGTATTTCTTGCATCACAAGAAACACAAATTGTATCCTCCCTTTTCTTCTTCTTATTCTAATCATAACTCCTTCGTCCTCTTCCTTGTCCCCCAAAGACATCGTGACAAAAGAGCTCCTCAACAAATTCTGTTCAGGTTCCGATATTACCAATCCTAACTTATGCCTCAAATGGCTCAATAGAACCACATCAATAAGCATCAATGGCCTTATAAACCTCACAGTAAAAGAAACTCGAGAGTTTGGTCTGAAAAACCAAGCACTGATGAGCAAATTAGCAAGAAGCTCTGGTAAGGACCCGAATCTCAAGGGATCTTACGAGGCATGTGTGGATAGTCATGGCCAGGCAATCAAAGAGCTTGAGAAAGCTCAAAAGTTTTTGAGCAGTAGCTCTTTCAAGCAAGCAGTTTCGGCTATTTCTAACGCATTTGATAAAGCTTCTGATTGCAAAGATGCGTTCGAAGGACCTTCTAATGAGCCACCTATGGTTGCGAATCGCATTGAAGACTTTACCTTTATGTGTTACATTGACTGGAGTTTAGCTTCACTTGTCAATTAAATTCATAAGTATATGTTTCAGTTACAATAATAAAAACTCAAATACAGTATCTTTTAACATAATGTTTTGTTTGAATAGTTCATTTCTTTCTTTTTTGTTTCTTTTGGTACATATCAATCTTCTACGACAAAACCAAAATTGACCTTGAAGAATTGCAATGAGAACTTATCCTTGGAAATGCTCGAATTTACCATATATCAGAAGGAAGAGAAAAAAGAAAACTTACTATTACAACATCATAAATTGGTTTTACTAGTATTAATTAACTCAGGTCATGTGAAGAAAGCTATATATTATCAATAACAGGTCAAGTCATCGAAGATTTGATATCAGCTTTTTTCACAGTTATCACACGGGTTTAAACTGCTTTTACAAATCCTCCGGTCGAATGACTCTCCAAAGTACTCTAGCAACATCTGTCTTCTGCATTCTGACTGAAACATTCATACATAGATTAAGACTTAGTAAGGATGAAGTAAAATCTTGGAACATATAATCTACAATTGAAACAGACGATTAATCAGCGTTTGCTTTTCCATTTTGCGGTTTAACGATATTACCTTGAGCTCACAGTATTCCTGCATCTTCTTGGCCTGAGCCATGGCTGATTTAAATCTATCCATGTTTCTGCCTTGTCCGTTTCGTAACATGCAAACGACTCTGCTGAAATCTTTCTTCTGGTACAAGCAAATGCACTGCGCTTGAAGCCCGTCCCTTCCTGCTCTCCCTGACTCTTGGTAGTAACTTTCCACAGCTTTCGACAAAGTGTTGTGTATAACGAAACGCTGCAGCTAATACGATTAAAAAAAGAGGATCGTGGCAGAAAATTTGCAACCAAACAGCTATGAATAGGCTTGACTTACCACGTCTGCTTTGTCTATTCCCATCCCAAATGCGATGGTTGCACAAACTATTCGGACTTCCCCTGTTTGCCATTTCCTCTGGACATCAACTCTCTGTTTTGCAGGCACACCGGCATGGTAATAAACTGTCTTCACCTTGCATTTCTCGTTCAGAAACTTGGCAACATCCACACATTCACTTTTGGAGAGACAGTAAACAATCCCAGATTGATCCTTGAACCGATCTCTTAGCAGCTCTTGGAGCTGTTTCAGCGGCTCCTTCGTTTTGACGATCACCTCGTATTTTAAGTTGATTCTGTCAAAGCTCATCTTCAGAACCGAAGCCCTGGGAATTCTCAGACTTTTTAGTACGTCCTGTATGTGGAAAAGAGGATCAAAATGGCAATATAGCAGTGTTCAGATCATAAAGAACCACAACATATGATAAATTGAGATTGTTCACTGAAGCTAAATTGAGAACCGGAGCAATGGAAATGCTCAGAGCATTTAAATCTGTTCCCAATTTCAGGAGGATCTAACCATGGTGATGGTTATTACCTGACAGACTGATTCAGTTGCCGTTGCTGTAAGCGCCATCACAGGAACACGGGGAAAGTTCTGCTTAAGACATCCCAGTTCCCTGTAGTCTGGCCGGAAGTCGTGTCCCCATTGGCTGGAAAGAAAAAATAACATATTCATGTAGATCACAAGGAGAATTTCCGCAGGTGTAGGCAGAAATTAATATTAAGGTGTTGGTGATGAACAATCAGAGAACATTTCCGTAGACCACAAGATATAGTGTGAAAGAAGGGTATAGGACAGTATTGTACCTCACACAGTGAGCCTCATCAACCACAAAACCTGCCAGCAGTCCCTGTGGTTAATAAAGGAAAATGTTGTTAGAATTTTGTTGTTATTAACAACAACAAGAAAAACTGAACAGGCTACCTTGCGGTCTAAACATCTTAGTGTCTCCAAAAAGGATGAACTTCCAGCGATTTTCTCAGGTGTCACGTATAAGAGTTTACATGACGGATTATCTCTTCTGCAAGTAAAAATGTCAATGCACGTATAAGCTTTTTAAGAGCATTAAGGTGATTCAGCCTCCATTAAAGGAAAAGAAAGGGAAATGATGCCTAAGATACTTGGATACTGTGAAAATGAAAGAAATGTAGAGAGGATTTTCACCTAAGCTCTTGTAATACAGCTGCTGCTTGGGAAGCTGTTTGCTGAGAGTTCAGAAAAGTCGCTGGTATCCCGAACTTAAGATTCAGGGCAACTATCTGATCCTGGATGAGGGACAACAGAGGAGATATAACTATGGTAACTCCAGCTTTTAGTGTCGCAGGAAGCTGTAAAACAAACAAAAGAGACAAAATTTAGTATGCAGACTGTGGCAATATAAACTGATGGTTCTTGGACTAACTATTCCTAAACAAGATTCAAATCACGCCTTTAGGAACATAGAAAGCTAAGGGATCATAACCTGGTAACACAAACTTTTTCCCCCTCCTGTTGGCATTAGAACAAAGCAATCCTTGTTTTCCATAGAAGCTCTACATGCTTGATGCTGCAGGGGCCGAAACACCTTGTTCCCAAAAATCACCAAGTTTGCAAATTCCAGATCATCCAATGCCTGCAACTCTTCGTAACTCGGACTTTCATGGTCCTTGTCTGATATCTGTACAGAAGGTTTTCTGCCTGAAATTGTTGAAACTGAATCCTCCATGGAATAATCCTTCAAAGCAGAACAAATCAGAAGTTACAGTTGAAGAAGAAAGTACAAATTTTTCACTGAAAACAGGGTTCAACATGTGAAAAGAGATAGCAAACCCAGAATAATCTCTTTTAACTTGGTCATAGGCACCAAACCCAATGAAAGGCCAAGTCTTTGTGATAAAAGCTGTTCTTTTGTATACCATTAATCTCAGTTCTCACCATATATATTTTGTAACTATACATAGATACATCTCTCACCAGTATTTGCCAAACAAAACGCTTGTTTTTTTCTTCATCCAAAAACAATGAAAACAATAACAGGAATGTTGAATCTTACCATAGATCTGGAACATGTTTGTGATCTCCTTGGATCTTTGAAACGTGTCTCAACATCTTCCAAATCACTAGAAGAATCCAACTCCATTATCTCCGGTTTTTTCTTAGGCTCAGGAGAATCCTCAATAACATGAACTTCAACTCTTGAATCATCATCATCATCAGTCTCGAATCCGTTATCACTAGGATTAGATTTATCAAACATTTCAGCCAAATTTCCTTGAGCTTCAGACTCTATAGCCTGTATATCATCCCATTCCTCAGTTCCTTCCTCAAAATCAGCTAACGCCGCAAGAAAATCATCTCCACATAACTCAACAGTGATGAAATCCCGACCATCATCACCTTTTAAGACCAAACCCAGAAAAAAAAAAACAAAACTTAAGTACTACCCCAATCGATTACGAGAGCATAGCTTTTAAAATCTAGATTTGAATTTTGGTACCGTAAAGATCGACGAATCGATCCAAACATTTCTTCGCAGAATCTTCGTCGAATCCGAGCTTTGTAGCTAGGCTTATCAATCGAGCTTTCTCCAATTCGAGATCTTGACCTTTCATCTTCAACGACGAGTGCTCAACTCCGGCAACGGAATTAGCGATGTTTCCCGACGCCGATTAAATAATTTTAGATCCCTTCCGCGCAATAAAACCTCAATACTTTTTCCCGCCATTTTATGAAACGCTGCCGTTTTACTTTCTTACAGATGAGCTTAAGGTGTGCGATTCAACAATCTCCATGATATCCGTTTTCCTTTTCTGGTTCAATTGATTTCTATTATACGCGCCGGTTTGATTTCTGGTTCTTACAATGTAATCCGATTGCCTTTAAATGTTACGTAAGAATAAGATCTATATATACATTTTTGGATGACTTTTAGCAAATAAATTCTGGAGTTGGAATGTATTTACAAAGAATGCCATTGGCATTTATTATTTACTTTTACAAAATTTAAATAAAAGATATGAACCAAACAATATCTTGCCTAATTTGTTTTTAAAAATCTCTACACAATCTTTCCATATATCTTCAAAAAACTTTTATAGCAAATATTTATATTAACATTTTGCATAGTAATAAAAATACTAATTTATAATAATCAAAATATTCACATAGAAAAATTATATACACATACAAGAAAAAAACTATATATGTCATCATTTAAGCCGTTGCTTTATTTAAATAAATTAAAAACACAAAAACCTGAAATCATATATTTTATATGATAAATTTAAAATATATATTAGTAATATAAATTTAAAATCATTCAAAGAACGGTATACCACGGGTGAGATCCTAAAATTATTGGATTTTATTACAATAATAATTTATTTTCTTGGATTTTATAACACTAATAATTTAGCTAATGGGATAATATAGACGGGTTTATATGGAATGACGGGTTTGGGTCGATATTAATAACGGTATATTAAGGATGAAATCCTAAAATTAACAATCAAAATACAATTATACAATCGTAAACACAAAACAAAAGAAACAATATTAACAAAACAAATACAACTTAAAATTTTTAGTTATTAAAAAACCGACCCACGGTATACTTCGGAGTCAAATATTCAAAATTTTAAAATCCACCATACATCGTTACTTAAAAAAAATGTATGTTTTCGTATCTATACTTTAAAAATTGAAACCTAAACAATAGTAATCATACACTAGATAATAATACATAGATAGATATCTATATTTAAAAATACAAATTAATATGATATATCTTCAGTTAAACTTTAGAAAATAACATTATATTTTTTTAAAAAATATAGCCACGCGGTGTACCGCGGGTTAAATTCTAGTATGGTTGAAAACTTGAAATGGGTCCAAATTAAAAAGACAAATAAAGAAAGTTGGGGTCCTTCTTTTTATTTGGGGGCAAAATTTTAAATTCAACGGTGTAATTTGAGCGATTTCTTTATGATATTTATTTAAATTTATACAAGTCATTTTCCTAAATCTGTAGAGGTCATTTGACCCCATTACTAGCTTCGTAGCTCGGGCCATATGACCACTTGATTCGTATTGAAGGTCCACTATTCATCAATGTCTCCAATTTCACCTCTAACATGTTATCTGTCTTGGGCATCTTTTTTAGAGCTTTTAAAGTCAAATCTTTCTCCTCTTTTATTTCGTCTGTCAAATTCGACTACCTAAAGATTAATATTTAAATTTTTAACACTATTCGTGCAGAAACTTACAAGACCTTTTTTTGGAAAAAATGGTCTATTTCCCCACGAGAACTATCGCATCACGACAGATAGAGCCCAAAGTATGACCCCGATCTATATATCTCTGAAACAAAAGTTATAAACCTAAATCTCCCCGACACAAAAGTTTTGTATCTAAATCTCCCCGAATTAATAGTTCTAGATCTATTAAACCATAATCCTGGGTTTCGTCGGTTTATTTTATATTTAACCGATTATTACAAAAATTAAACCCAATTAAACCAGAGAAAACCAAATTTCTCAAATACATTATCTCCTTCCTCTCTCTCACGCCTTTCTCTCTCTCTTTTGCTTCATCTTTCTTCTAAAATGGTGAGAATCATAAAACCCATCACGTATTCTCTCATATTTGTCAAAGATTTTTGTTGAATTCTTAATTCTAATGCTTCTTCTTCTCAAACTTTCTTCCTTTTACCCTTTCAAAAAAGTATGACTTCGATGCCTTACGTGACTTCATAGCCAATCACAAACAAAAACCCGGTGGGTGAATCAATTTTTCTTCTACTGATTGCTGCAATTTGACCGGAATCACCTGCAATTTAACCTCTATCAATCCAGACACCGGAAGGGTTACTAAATTGGAGCTCGTGAACAAATAGTTGTCGGAGAAATTGACTGAATCTCTCAAGAAGCTAGTTGAGATTAGGTTCTTAATCGGTCTCAGAATTTCATCAAAGACTCGATCCCAGTTCCGATTTTCAACTTGGTGAATCTACAGACTCTTGATTTGAGTTCTAATGATCTCTCCGGCGAAATCCAAAGAAGTATAACTCTCCCAGCTTTGCAAAGTCTTGATCTTTCCTCCAATAAAACCAGAGTTCTCAACTTTTTTTTTTTGTTTCTCTAGCATATAATCTTTGAATTTCTGTTAAAATTGATGTTTTTATGTGTTTACCGGTGATTGGAATCGGAGAATTATCGATTCCATGTTTATCAAGTTTCAAAGACGAGAAGCTATACCAGAAACCTTCGTAGACGGAACTGTTCAATGGAGCGAATTGAAGTACGATTGGTGGGGTTTCCTTCTCAGCCAATGCCCCGATCTTACTCTCTGTGTGCAATTCTCTGGGAAGAGAGAGATATTAAGAAAATTTGGTTTTCTTTGGTTTAATTGGGTTTAGTTTTTCAATAATTGGTTAAATATAAAATAAACCAACGAAACCCAGGATTATGGTTTAATAGATCTAGAACTATTAATTCGGGGAGATTTAGATACAGAACTTTTGTGTCGGGGAGAAATAGGTATAGAACTTTTCTTTCAGAGATATATAGATCGGGGTCATACTTTGGGCTCTATCTATCGTGATGCGATAGTTCTCGTGGGGAAATAGACCGTTTTTCCCTTTTTTTGTTGTTGTAAATTTCCATTCGGCTAAGCTCTATATGTACTTGTTAGGAATAAAAGTGCCTAAATGAGTGTACTAAAACAATCATAATGAGAGAAATAAACCAAAATAAACTAAATGAGTGTACTATCTTTCTTTTTCTTTTTTTTTTGAGTGTACTATATCTTGCTATGTTGGCAAATATATATATGTCTTTAGACCGAATTGGTTGCCTCAATCTTTCTTTAAGTGAAATTTATTAACCAAGAAAGAAATAAACCAAAACTGAATGAGTGTGCATTGATACTTTCATTTTCGTATGTCATTTTGTAGTTTTAGTCATGATATCTTAATTTCAGTAATCGACGTAGAAGAACGAAAAAATTAGTCACACTTATAAGTGTTTTTTTTTTTAAATTTCTATAACGACCAAACTTAAAAGTTTAGTGTCACTAAACAATTATAGTGTCACCATAGAAAACTATTTAAGATAATCAAATATTCAAACTCACTAATGCAACATCCCAAAACACAATAAAAAAAAAAACTAACATGTACATTGTACTCCATCTGTTTTAGTTGTTTCACACTTTTCATACTTAATAGAAAAGGTTAATGCAACTCCTGATATAACGCTCATTGGTTCATTTATTTTAGATAACTTTAATTTTTACATTGAAAATATAAAACATTTATCTTAATTTGTGAAACAATTTCTTACTAAAACATCTAACAGACTAACATTAAGACATGGAGGAAGAAATATCAAATGGTATTGTGAACGGAGACCATCAAGACGAGGATTGTATGTTTTGATCTAAAAACTTTAATAATCAAATTACGTAGACAAATCACAAAACAATTTTATTATTAAAAGCAACGCATACAAGATGATCTTATTATAGACGTAGAGAGAAGCCGCCATTAGCTTCGTCCTACTGTTTTTAACAGAAACAAACAACTTACACACATACCCTTACATTGGAACGAAACCACACTTACATTATAGAGATACAATCTTATTTGTTATTGGATACGAGTTCATTTGTAAAATATTTCAACGACCGTAGCAGTGGCAATGCTCTTCTTCGTGGGTATGCACTACGTGGTCATGATGCTCACACTCTCCTCTACATGAGTGCGGGTAATGCTCATAGCATTTGGCTTCACACTCTCTTTCCCTCCCTACATGGGTAAGACACTGTGGCTTCGCCTAAATACGTATCACAATTAGCCTCAGTCTTCGGGATCTCTGCAGAAATATTGAACATCCATTATATTCCAAATTAGACTAGGTTGAGACTGAAAAAGAAGAAGTTACATTCAAAATGATATGTTTCTTAATTGATATATGTATAAATTTATGCATGCATATGAACAACTTAGAAAGACTAGCTAGAACCGAAATTAATTACCGGCCGAAATGAACAAGAGAACGAGCAGAAGAGTGGTGGCAGATGAAATTGAGGTTCTTTGCCATTTCTTTAGCTTTTGCTTTCTTTTCTTTGTATGCTTAAATAAGTGTTTCTCTACTGTTTTCAGAAACTTGGGTGATACTACTTAATGGGGGTTGTAATCTATTTATAGTAAAATTCCGTTGACTTTCAGTCTCACGTTATAAGCCATTTCGGCCCATTTGATAATATCCCTATCAAACAGTGCTTTGTATTGAACGCATTTGTCTTTTTACTAAGATTTTTTTACTAAAAAGTAAAAACGAGATAGATAACATAATGCTACAAGAAGTGAAGTGAAAGAAACTCTCAAAAATACAGGTTTGTGAAGGTTGACAAAGCTCAAAGGCTTGAGAGAGTCCTTCTTAACTGAGCACCATTCACGAAAGATAAAGGATTCAATACATAAATCACTTATGATTTATTCAAAGGCTCTCGAAGTTTATAACACTTTTTAAAGACCTCAAACACAAGAAAATAAGTCAAATGTGAAGATAAGAGGTTGAAAAAGGATTGAAATCGGATAAAGAAGATTCTTTGCGGGAAACCACCGCCCATAGTGGTTCTCCCGTAAGATAAAGTGTTTGAGAGAAGTTGAAGGAAGAAGTGGTTGTTCGAGGAAGAAATGAATTAAGCAGGTAAAAGGGTGGGGGTGGTAATGGCGGTGGAAGCCTTTGGAAATTGGTCGAAATCTTCAAAGGAGAGCAGCAGGAGCTTGTGGGGTATTATGCAAATGTGGAATATTTTTAAAAATGTTGGGTCTCAACATTTCGTTTTATTGAGGGGTAAAAAATTAAATTCAAAGTTACTGTTCCTAAATCTGTAGAGGTAGTTTGATCCCATTAACTGTTTCCTAGCTCGGCTCAATGGCCACTTGATTCTAGTTCTTAATGAAAGTCCTCTATTCATTAATTTCTCTAATTACTCCGGTGAGATATTTTCTTTGGACTTTTTTCAAAAGCTTAAGGTCAAATCCTTCTCCCCTAACTCTTGTAATTCTAGAATATTAAAATAGCCTTTCTTAATTTTTATTGTTTTAGACATTTGGTTAGAAAAAAATATTTTTTTCAGTTTTGTCCAGAACTAATGATTCCTAGCTAGTTTTTTTTTTTAAAATAATACTAATGATTATTTTTTAAGAAATATATATATAAGATAATGCAGAAAAGTACAAGAATTACCAGCAAAAATATTTTGAATTTTCTATATATTTCCATTAGGTTAAAAACTTCTAGATATTGGAAAATGAGTAGTGGCCAGAATTGGTCAATGATCTTTCTTAAGTTAGAGTTATTTAGTATTTACCAAAACAAGAAATAAAACAGGTAGTGTATTTGGAGAGTTATATAATCTCTATCTTTAATTTGTGAAGCACTTGTTTCTACAAAAAATTTAGTATTGAGAACGGAAGAAGTAGTAAATCATCAAGACGATGATGGTATCAGTGGTATGTTTTGATCTAAAATGGTAAAAAATTAAATTGAGTAGACATAACATAAAACAAGTTTATTATTAAAACGAAACAGGATACAACATGATCTTACTATAGAAGTATAGGGAGGAAGCAGTCATCGGCTTCGTCCTATTATTTTATTTGAAAGAAAACAACTTCTTACATTATATATAGAGACACGATCTTATCTTTTCTTTATTGGATACACGAGTTTATTAGTAAAACTTCAGTGATAGTCACCGTAGCAGTGGCAATGCACTTCGCGGCCATGATACTCGCACTCTCCTTTACATGCGTGGTGGTAGTGCTCCTTGCATACGGATTTACAAGCTTTTTCCTTACATGGGTATACAGGGGCTTCGCCTAAAAAGTGATCGCAGTTGCCCTTGCTCTTCGGGATTTCTATATATAACATCCATTCAAATTAAATTAAGATCACATGTTTGTGTAAAGTTATGCATGCATTTGAAAGTTTAGGAATTACCGGCGGAGATTAACAACACAACGAGCAAAAGAGTGGTGAAGCAGATGGAACTGAAGGTTTTTGCCATATGTTCGTAGCTTTTGCTTTTTTTTTTCTTAAACTTAATAAATTGTTTCTTTCTGTTTATAGAAATTTGGGTGATACTAATCAATGGGGGCTGTAATCTATTTATAACAAAATTTTGTTGACATTATATGCACTAGATTCACAACGTCGTCGTTTCGTTCTCACGTAGATAGATAGCCTTTAAGCCATATCTCTTAAATCCATACTTGCTTTTAAAACCCACTTGATCATTTCCACATTTTTTTAAAAAATTGTGTTTAATTAAAAAACGAACAAACAATATAAATGTAGTCGTATTTATTTATTTTCTGGATGTGCAAGTTAATTGAATGTCATAGAAATACACAATGAACACAATTATTACAGAATGAATAAAATAAATTAAATTAGATACATGATTTAATACTTTTTCAAAACAAACTTCTAAACAGATAAAACAGAGTAGAGAGAGAGAGAGAGACCTATATTCCATGAATAATCTTCGAGCATTGGATCTTAATCCATTTGTAACTCTTTCTCAAAGGTATCTTCATCTTTCCTTCGGCTGAATAAAATTTGTATTTAGCCACTCGTCTCTTTCTCTTTAACTCCGGATCGTTCCACCATCCTCCGATCGATTATTACATAAACAAAACATTCCATAATATTAAAAACATTATAACACCCCATATTTAACATTAGGATTATTATATAGCAATGATTCTTTTAAACGCAAATGACTTGTTTATATGTTATACCACTAGAATCATTATTTGTAACTTTTGCAATCAAACGAAAACACAAAATTTAGTTGTATTCATCAATAATCATATGATTCATTTTTTAGTTACCCTTAAACGATGTTGAATGAGAAGAGGATCTTCTGGGTCTAACGGGCAAGTCTTTGTAAGACATCTTGCGCCATAAATCCGATGTCATCGGAGGTCGATTACGCCTCGATTCTCTAACAATATAAATCCCTCTGACCGCTCTTAAATCTACAGGATTAACCAGTTGGAGGTTCCTATCTCCTTCATACGATGTGTAAGATCGCATTCTAGGAGATTGGAAATCCTCCATCTCGGTTTTGTCTTTCTTTTTTTTTTCCTTTTTCCTCTCCTAATTCTTTTGTTTTATTTTTTCTGCTTTTATATTACGAGTAAACAGCATCTCTCTATAATGCTTGATTAAAAAGCTTGTATTTCGGAAGAGGTAATATGCGGTGGAAAATCAAAATAAAACTTTGTTACAACAAAATGATCAAAAATAGAAGAAAAATAACTTTTGACGAAGGATAACTTTTCAACTATATATCTCAATACAAACTATAACACTTTATCTTGACCTTAATTAGAAATAGATATGGTCTCTCTTTTTTTTTTCTCGTTCAGTAAATTTCTCTTGGTTACGGGTCAACACAAGGGTCCGACCCATATTGCACTGCAATGTGCACTATGCGGATAATGCAGGATCATGGACTCTGCACACTAGTAAGATGATTGTCTTAAGATTATATTTACATATTCACACAATTAGTATACAAAAAAAAAAAACTTTAGCAAAGGCTATTTGCTCCAATTAATATATTTTCTTCTTTTTTATGTATTATACGAAATCATCAAACTCACCATAATCACAGCAATGTGTATATATATCATTAACATTTGAAGGTATTTTACGCCACAAGACATTCATATTCCACTAAACGTCGATTGTTAAAAACTGAATAATCAGATGATGATGATACACGTTTTTTCGCAAAGCTAATGTAAAAGCGGATCATCTAGCACGAAAATTCGTACAGAACCGCTTCATATCACATTTGTAAACAACATTCCACATGAATGGCTCTTTTGAACTCTAATTAATTTCGGATGATAAAAAAAAAAAAAATGATACACGTTTCCAATTTACATTTGTTATTTGTCCTATAGTATTGACTCAATCGTAGATTCCATATTTAAAATATGAACTTTTTAAAAATAATCGAAGCTTCTATTAACTTCGTGCCACTTGTCTATTTGCCCAATTAATTCCATACGATATATATCACAACAAATAATAGTAAAATTTTATACATTAACTAGATTTTAACCCGCGGTACACTATGGGATGATTTAATTTTAAAGTTAGTATAAAAATATTTTGTAAATTGTATCTCCTTATAACATATTTATTTATATTATAGTTTACAATTGTTATTAAATAACGGTATACCACGAGTTCACGAGATAATTATTAATAAACTGAGGATTTAACCCGTATTAAAGCGGTATATAAATATTGATTCAAATTCGTCCACCATATAAATCATTTCCGAAATATAACCCGTTCCGTAATTTCTTAACCCGTCCTGTGATTTGTATTAAAAAAAATAAGAAACGGCGGATTAATGATATTTTAATCTTTTTATTATTGTTGATTCAAAAACCCGTCCCGCCAAACCCATCCCGCCAAAAAACTCATTTATTTTATTAATGTTCTTATTTATGATATGATTCTGAATCATTGTCTAAATATTTTAATCGATGTAGAACGTTGAACACACATTTTTGTCAATTGGATAATATATGTCCGTTTTTAAAATTTCGAATCACAGTATATGCAGAAAAAAAATTGATTTTTTTTTTTTACTTTATGTATTATATGATGATTCAAAACAGTTAAAAACAAATCAAACAAAGATGATAGGAGAATCATAATTATAAATCTTAATAAAATCTTCTAAAAATCTAAATTATTAAATATGGAATATCCGGTGTATGAGTTAGGTTAAATATAACCCGACCCAACAAATTTTTTGTGAAGGAATTTTTAAAATGGGTCGGATATCCGATATACCCGAAAGCTTTTTTACCCACCCGTCACAAAAAGTGCTGCGATTATACTAGTATAGATATCTGTAACAGAATATAGGCGGGAACGAACGCTTTTTTTTTTAATTAATATTTGTTCTCCCTAACTTGTCTTACAAATTCGAATTTGACCCCCTAATGTTTTTAAATAACGATTTTACCCTAAAAATTAAAATTTAGTGTGTTTCTAGTGTGGGCCTGTTTCGTTGCTTTCGTGGGAATTTGATTTTGGTCGCATAAAACCGTCGAAATCATTTGGTAGGGAAGCGAGAGATCAAAAGATGAAGGGAGGAGAGACGATGTCAGTACGGAGGAGCGGGTACAAGGCGGTGGTTGACGGAGTTGGTGGACGGCGGCGAAGAGAGGATGACATGGTTGAGATCCGCAAAGCTAAGAGAGAAGAGAGCTTGCTTAAGAAGCGTCGCGAGGCTCTTCCTCATTCTCCGTCCGCTGATTCTCTTGACCAGAAGGTCAGTTTGGCATTTTTAACATTTTGTATTTTCGTCGCGGAAATCTGGAGATTGATGAATTTGGCAGATAATTTCTGGAGATTGATAACATTGATTCATAGATGCATGCTTCTGGTGTTACAAGTTTTGAAATGATATATACAGTTCCGATCGATTTTGCGTTTCTAATTGTGTTGAATTTGGTGTTCTTAATTTGTCGATTCGAGTTATTATGTCAAATATGGGATTTCGGATTTCTTGACCTGTTGCGTTGTGAAATTTGACTTTGATGCTTGAATTCTCGATATACGATTTGGATTGCCTCCTGACATTTTGAAATTCTCAGAGTGAGCTACTAATTTTTCATGATTGCTTTTGGTTTATGAAGAATTTGCATGTTCTGAAATTTGGTTTAATAGTCCTAGAATTATCAGAATGAGCTACATAGCTTTGGTATTTTGTAGTTGACTTCTGAAGGATCTAAATGCTATGGAATTCGGTTAATGCTTAAAATTCCCAGTATGAGCACTTCAAGACTTTCCATATTTATTTTTGAACTGAAGATTTTTCTTTTGCATGTTCTGAAATATGATAATGGTGACTGAAATTTTTGGAATGGGAGATTACATTTTGTATATTGGATAATTTTTTCCATTTTTGAGTAGTTTGTATGTTCGATTGGTTACAGTTGATAAGCTGTATTTGGTCTGACAAGAGGGATCTGTTGATTGAGGCTACTACTCAGATCAGAACGTTACTTTGTGGTGGTGAGAGACATCCCATTAACTTATTTACTAACAGATTTGATACATCGGTTGCTAAGACATAAACGAGCTATTGCAATTGCTAAATGAGCCACAGCAAAACTTTCCAAATTTATAATGTTAGACTGTAATGTAGTTTGATATGAAACTAAAGCTATAACGATGTATTCACTCTCTCTAATGCTATTTTATGTTATTTTGGTAGAAATGTTTAACTTACGCGTTGAAGAAGTTATACAGGCCGGTTTGGTTCCACGCTTTGTGGAGTTCCTAACATGGGATGACTTCCCCCAGCTTCAGGTTAGCTTCGATACACCTGTACATTCAATCTAGTTTTATCCCTAGCTTCACAAGGTCAATGAGTTTCGGTTTGTGGAACAAATTTTATAGTTTGAAGCGGCTTGGGCTTTAACAAATATTGCATCTGGAACATCTGAGAATACCGAAGTGGTGATTGATCATGGAGCTGTTGCAATACTAGTGAGACTTCTCAACTCGCCATACGATGGGGTCCGTGAGCAGGTATATTGAAGTGGTGATTGATCATCATGCATGCTATGTTGTTCTCAAAATATTTTGACTGCTAAGAGCCTGTGGTTGGTTCTGCAATTGATAAACTTTAAAGATAAAGAAAATGACCAAGATCAATAAATGGAAAGCAAATTTCTTAAAGAAGATACAAGTTTAGACTACATATAGTTGTAGGTTTAATATATATTGTCGAGTATATTGTTCCCCTCCCGTAATCCAGTTGCAATTCTTTGGTATTCTTGGACAATCAGGTTGTTTGGGCATTAGGAAATATTTCTGGAGACTCTCCGAGATGCCGTGATATAGTCCTTGGACATGGAGCTCTACCTTCTCTGCTGTTGCAGTTAAACCATGGAGCCAAACTTTCTATGCTTGTAAACGCCGCTTGGACTTTGTCTAATCTTTGCAGAGGAAAGCCTCAGCCTCCATTTGATCAGGTGAGGTTTGAATCAAAGTGAGCTTTGTTATAGCACCTCCTTCTCTTGCACTCTCAATATATTGTGGTCCAGCATATTTAAGAGATGTTATCCGGCTGTAGTCCAAATTATGGTGATCAAGGCCTGTTTAGCACTGGAATATTTAATACTGTAAAAACTCTGGTAACAAGGTTTGATTCTTGGTTGAGGACAATCCCCAAGAATTTTTTTTTGTCATATGATCATTGTAACCAGGGCACCTGAAGGTTTTGTTCTGGCAGTAATAAATACATCTTGAAAACCTTTCACGCTCTCTTTATGGTTGCTTGACCTTAACTTTGTGATCCACACTGCTGTAGTTATCCTGCTAATTTTCTTTGCGTGTTTAGTTTTTTTCTGATTGGATTTGATGAATGTCGTATTCTTTTAGACATCTTACTTATTACGAAATGTTCACAGGTGAGTGCTGCATTACCAGCTCTTGCACAACTCATTCGATTAGATGACAAGGAGCTCTTGGCTTACACGTGTTGGGCGCTGGTGTATCTTTCTGATGGTTCAAATGAAAAAATACAAGCCGTGATAGAAGCCAATGTTTGTGCACGACTTATTGGTCTTTCGGTGTGAGTGTTCAGGACTTTAGCTAACCAAAAAAATCCAGAGTCATAGATTCTGATGGCTTTTTGCTTTCTGAACAGCCACCGTTCGCCTTCAGTTATCACTCCCGCTCTTCGCACCATTGGAAATATTGTAACTGGAAACGATAGTCAAACTCAGGTAGTAAACAAACGGCCAGAGATACAAATTTAGTATTAGTATCGCTTTTTAATATTATCCCTGCTCTTTTTCCTTTTTGCGCTGGATATTCTACTGTTACTGGCTTTTTTCTGTTTATCTTTGTCAACTAAAAATTCAAATTATCTTTGTCAACTAAAAATTCAAACAATATTTGATTATTTATCACAAGTGTGTTCTCAGAAAGTTTGTTCTTTGTGATTTTCTTAGCATATAATTGATCTTCAAGCGCTCCCATGCTTGCTAAATCTTCTAAGGGGATCCTATAACAAGACCATCAGGAAGGAAGCTTGTTGGGCAGTCTCTAATATCACTGCTGGTTGTCAGTCACAGATTCAGGTTAGCCTATATATCGACTCTGAACTTCTCTTTTTAATCGCAAGCCTAATTTAGATGTTGCTCTGAATATATGTCTGCACTTGTTTATTATCTTTCCATAGGCTGTCTTTGATGCTGATATATGTCCTGCACTTGTTAATCTGCTCCAAAACTCTGAGCACGACGTCAAGAAGGAAGCTGCCTGGGCTATCTGCAACGCCATAGCTGGAGGCTCTTACAAGCAAATCATGTACGTAGAACAAAACTCTATACAAAACTAGAACTATATAGACCATCAAATATTCAGTAGTCTAGATGTAGTCATGAAAAGAGTTCAAACAGCAGAACCAAATCTTATGGGTCTCATTCCATTGAATTTATTTCAACTTTTCTTGGTAGAGTTTTCAGCAGGTTGTTTGATACTTCTCTAATGCATGTGGGTTTGTTTGTTTCCTTCCAAACCTCTCATGCGATCTGCTAATGTCTGGATAGGTTTCTAGTAAAGCAAGAATGCATCAAACCGTTGTGCGATCTTCTTACATCCTCAGATACTCAACTTGTCATGGTTTATTTAGAAGCACTCGAGAAAATACTGAAGGTGGGAGAAGTTTTCAGCTCAAGACACGCTGAAGGTATTTACCAATGTCCTCAAACAAATGTAAACCCACATGCTCAGCTAATAGAAGAGGCAGAGGGACTGGAGAAAATCGAGGGCCTGCAATCTCATGAGAACAATGACATCTACGAAACGGCGGTGAAGATTCTTGAAACAAGAAGAAGAAGAAGAAGAAGAAGAAGATCAAGGACAACAAGACATGGTATATTTCCCACTTGACAACTTTGTAAACATGCCAACACCCTCAGGCACTCTAAGTGAGATGCACTGCAGACCTTAAGAGGTAACACTTATATTTCCTTTTGGTAACTTCACTTGGTTTTTTGCTTGCTCTTTATGGACTAAGTAGGAACAAGCTCCGATTACCTCCGTTTTGTTTTAGATCAGAGAGTATGGTTTGGTTTTGTTTAGCCTGCGTCCTGAGAGAAACTTAACAAAACCCAAACCAAGCAATTTTGTTTCGGTTTTGTTTGATGAATTTTACTTTAGTTCGGTGTAGTCTCATATAAAAGCTTCATCTCTTGTTTAATGTCTTACTGATGATTCAGGACAAGGGGGTGTGGCAAACATACACTCAGCTCATCTGTTCATAACACTAAGTCACTAACTGAAAATCAAGGTTAGAGACTAAATTGCTTGCTTTATATAGTAATGACAATGTTGTCAGTACGTAGTAGTAGTTTGTAATCAGGAACAAACTTTACAGTTCTATCTGATCTCTTCTCCATAGATTCTTAAAATCATGGTTAATTTCTTTACATGTAAATAAATCATTATAAACTCGTAAGAAGCCAAGTTACAAACACTCAATACAAAAGTGATAATGTTCTCCTATGTAAACGCCATAAGAAGTAAAAAAAAAATCCAGAAGAAGCTGCAGTAAATTAAAGCCAGCGAGCCAGATAGACAACACAGTTCGTTTTTCTCTTCGGACCAATTTGTGGATAGAGAACACTCCGCAACGCAAAAATGTGGTGTTCTTGTTTCAAAAGAATAAAAATAATGAGGGATCTCCTTGTGTCACAAGAGAATCTCCTTGAGGATTAAGAGTACCAGCATGATGAAGCAGAGAATGACAAGAACAGATGCACACATCACCATACCTCCTTGTCTCTGTGTACGTTCCGCCTGTGGAGATTCACAAACGATTCCACTTAAAAATTTAGGCATTTTATGGTGAGAGAGAGAGTGAGTATTATTATACACACTGATCGTAAAAAAAGTTTACCTTTTGCAGCTGTTTGAGACCATCGTCGACGGTACTAGCAACGTTCTGGATATTATAGTCAATCCGATCAACTATCGTACCCTGTCATGACAAGTTTTGCTCTCAAGTTATAGTATTTCTAGAATCAGTGGCTCAGAAGCTAGACAACAGTTATAGTGTTATACCTGGTCTATCACAAGCGCGGAAAGATCCTTCATGATCTGAGCAAGCTCGCTTACGGATTCGACAACCTGTAGATGAAGCAGAACAAGAAGAAAGTGACAAGATTATGATTGTGTATGAAATAGGCTAACAATTAAGAGTTGCAAACACTAACCTGTTGAATCTCTTTCTCCCTCTCTACTGATATTTCCTCACTCTTTTTTATCTTGCTTATTTGATGCTCACTAAATACCTGTAGTGAAATTCACATCTTGCATTATTACAGACATATATAAAGATGAATTATGGGTATAGGATTGTGACAAAGGCATCATACCATATCATCAAAGTCATCATCTTCTGCATTATAGCTGCTTCCGTTCAGATTCATCTCTATATCCGATCCATCCTGATAATACACATCACAGCCAGGAGTCAAAGTTTCTTGGAAATAAAGAAAATATAATTGTCCTGAAAATCGTAGAAATAACTAACAAGAGAATCTAGAAATTCATAAAAACAAAATATATTAGAGTGCAGCTGCAGAACAGATCGAGAAAGTCCAGAGCAACTCAGAATTACAAATAGTGAAGCCTTGAGGCTTGAGCATAGGAAATGTAAAATGCTCATTGCATACCTCTTTTTGTAGTCTCAAACGTTTCAAATATGTAGACTGTTTCTTGCGTAGCTCCATAGAAAGGTTTTGGAGATCAGTAGCAAGAGATCGCTGTTATTAAATACAAGAGACTAAAAGTTGAAAATGTTGATGGAAAATAAAAGGACATGCGTTTAAGAGACACATCAAGTCAAGTACACCAAACCAACCTGGACGTTTTTTCTGACATTTGAATCTTCAGAAGGTCCAGCTGCAGAAAGCCTCTGAAGTTGCTTCTCAGATTTCTTCAATAGGAAGGTGATCTCTTGTGTCAAAGACTCGATTTGATGTTGATCTTCTTTACCATCCCCAAACGAAGGCATCAACGCTTTCGCATGAGCCTTTCCCAATTCAGCCATTTTGGTTCTTGCACGTTGAATGTAAACTGAAATCTCCTCAGATACATCAACCCAATCTGGTGGTAATCCCACTGTTATTGTACCTCTACTAGGACATTGGAAACAAGAAGCAAAACTTTCAGTTTAACAAATAAGGCCACAAAAATATATTCAATTGCTATTATCTTCATACTCAATAAGTAGCTGAAACAACAAAGTTGAACATCTAGCTACCAATTCCAAATCCATAAGAAACATTCGTGCTCAGGATGACACCAATGTTGAAACTCACACTAGCAACTACATGAAGTGATTAATTTCTTATGCAATCACCAAATTTATAACATTTCAATGGCAGCGAGAGAGAGAGAGGGGAAGAGAAGTACCTCGAATTACCAGGATCCTCGGTACTGACTGGAGCATAAGACCGATTCGGATTCAATAGAGACGTGCTCGCCATCTCGATCACCGGGCCTAAGCCGGATTTAGCTCCGGTCAACGAAGTGTGCTCCGTTACCGTCGACGACGAAGACGACCCCATTGGAGCACGAACGCTCCTTAGAGAGCTTCTGTACTTCCTAAACAACAGCGTACGATTCCTAGTCGCCATAGCAGCTCAAATATAAACCCTAGAAGAATCTCAGTGATAAGTAACCAAGATCTCGGCGTCTAGATAGATTTTAGCTTCCCTTCCGATCGAAAGCTATAGATCTGAACAGGATCGCGGTTTCATCATAGACAAAGCAACGTAACAACGCGCGAAAAAAGAACGAATGTGACGGCGGAAACCGGCCGATTACCGGCGGGATCAAAGTTCTCCGACGGAGAAAAACAGCTCCGAGATTCACAATATAGAAATGTCTTCTTTTTTCGAAAAATTCATTAAAAAAAAACATCCAATCGAGTATCGAGTGAATCGATAATCAATAAACAGTTGACAAAAAAATAAAATCTCCTGCTTTTGTGTGCATCTTTAACTGCGAAATCTTATAATAAAAACCAATTAAAATACGTCACGTGTCTAAAGAACAACAGCATGACGTTTCCAAATAAACGTCATGTTTCTGAACGTAGATTACACGTCGGGTAAAAGTGATAAAAACGGCATGCATTTTCGTAGACTTTACAAAAAGAGAGAGATAGAGAGAGTGGCCCAACATTTTTTCTATTTTTCCGCGAAAGATTCATCATCATTGAAAGCAAACGTTTTTATTTTTTTTATAAATACAATAAATAGGTAACGAAATAAAAGAAATTATTATAGTACTCGTCTGTCTCTCACTCTCTATCCAAAATAATTAAAATGAGGAGAAGCCAAAAAAAAAAGAAAGACAAAACTTTGTTTAAAAACCGACCCAGAATCGTGGTCTTTGTAATCTGTCTTTTACCATTTTCGTTGGATTTCTTCAGACAATAATCAGACTCCGACGCCAGAATCATTTTCTTTCGTAAATCGATTCATTTTCTTCATAACTTTATTTGTTGAGTTTTTTCTTTCCGGGTTTTGATTTGGTTAGTTTTGTCAATAATGGATTCTGATTCATGGAGTGATCGTCTTGCTTCAGCTACAAGGAGATACCAGCTAGCTTTTCCACCACGATCTGGTTAGTTTAAAGGATGTCAAATTTTCTCCCTCTCTTCTAAAAGATTACTATTTGGCTGATAATTGATTCTAGAGAAATATGAAGGAAAAAGGTGGCCTTTTGTAGCTGATTTTATTGATTGATCAAGTATGGTTTGGTTATGATAAGAAAATTTTCAATGTTTTGTTGATTGTTGTTGGTTGGCTTCGGCCTTTGCTTGATTTCTGAGAAAATGGATGAAAAATATCCAAAGTTGCAGTCTTTGTAGCATTTCAATTACTCCTCATGTGATGCTACTATATATGCTCAGTGTTTGTGAACATGAGAAATTGAAAGATATTGTTGTTATTCTCAGAAGAGAAAGATGTTTCATATACTGTAACCACACAAGTAGAGTAGGGGTTTAGCAATTCCAGTTACTCTCTTTGTTTTATTATAGCTTTGCGGTATCTATTTGATGGATGTGCTTTTGGGATTGCAGATACATTCTTAGGGTTTGAAGAGATAGATGGGGAAGAAGAGTTCAGGGAAGAGTTTGCTTGCCCTTTCTGTTCTGACTATTTTGATAGTGTGTCTCTCTGCTGCCACATAGATGAAGATCATCCTATGGAAGCCAAGACCGGGGTAATTTTCTTTTTATCTTTTAATATATCCATTAATCACATTTGAAGCCAAAAATGTGTTTATGCAATTCTGTTCTCACATGATTCTCAAAGTTTCGACTGAGCTGTGTTGGTTCCTCTGTTGTTTGCTTCAAGGATATGACAAAGGCAACTGAATATATTGGCATGTTTATATCCGACTCACGAAGGAATAATAGGATCAGCTGTGTCTATTGGATCTTTTTTTGGGGGATTTTGTTTGGATTCCTTGACAACTGAGTGTTTAATCTAGTGAACATTGTTATTGCAGGTATGTCCAGTTTGTGCGGTTAGGGTGGGTGTTGACATGGTTGCTCATATAACCCTTCAACATGCTAATATATTCAAGATATCCTTTTCTTCTTCTTAATTCATATATAACAATCGATTTTCTATATCAGTGTTTCTATATTCCGCTGTTAGGTTGTGTTGTAACATCCTTAACGAGATATTACATGCACCGCAAGAGAAAATCAAGAAGAGGCGGGTCACATTCCACGTTATCGATCTTAAGGAGAGAGTTTCCTGATGGAAACTTTCAGAGCCTATTTGGAGGATCTTCGTGTATAGTATCTTCTTCCTCATCATCCAATGTAGCGGCTGACCCATTGTTATCGTCGTTCATTTCACCTATTGCTGAAGGGTTCTTCACAACGGAGTCATGTATATCTGCAGAAACCGGTTCTGTCAAGAAACCATTAACTCAGAGTATACCTGAAGGGTATATTTCCTCCTTCTCACATCATTTGCTTTGCCTAAACTCTTATGGTCACTCTTGTTAGTTAAAATCTGACATGTGCCGGTATTTCAAAAGACTGTTGAATCTCTAAAGATCTGATTGAACTTTGCATTGGATCATTTGCTCATCTGTTTTCTTCTGGGATTTATGAGCCAAACTGAAACTCTATGATCAAGTTGAGTCTTATACACATACATGTATGGATCACTGATGAAGTTTTTTTGTGGATGATAGGAATGCAAAAATACCGTCTCTTTCAGCTGAGGATCATAAGCAGAAGTTGAAACGCAGTGAGTTTGTTCGAGAGCTGTTGAGCTCTACGATTCTTGATGACGGCTTATAATGGAGTAAAATGCTTCTGGTAACTTGTCAGCAATGAGGAAACTCCATGTTCTGTCTCAGGAGAAAGTAGGAAATTATTGTTTGTGGGGAGCAAATAAAGGAGAGAGAGAAAGAGATTATGAATGAGTGTAACTTATGAACACATTAATAGCTTCTGCGGTTAACGCTCCAATTGCCTGTAGGTCATGAAAAAACAAAATGTATCTATTTCACGTATTTGCATTCAATCATTCGTTTCCAATTCCTTGATACAATCTGGTTAGTCAAAGTCTTACGTTTCATTGCTTGTGAAAGTTTGCATTGTACTTTCCTTAACAGAGAAATATCGGTTCCTACTTGTCATGGCAACGATTTCAGATTTTGTAGAGGCACATTTCTTCTTGAATCAGATTTTTAGCTTGTACAATAATTTCTGAAGCTCGTTAGCTGCAGTATTCAGAAAGTAACTAAAGACGAGACAAAATTAGCCCAATTACTATGAAAACAGTAAGCTTAAGACTGAAAAGATGGTAGGGGCTGCGCGAACGCAAACCCCCTCTGCCACAAATAATGACGTAGGCTCTTCCTCAAGGGAAGACCTTAAGCATAGCACCCTTCCGGTATGTGCAATGGAAGTCACTAGCCTAGGCCACTCGTCTTCTTGATCGCGAGTTGACCCCGTCCAGGTAAGTGATTTTCTCCGAGGCATGGCTCTCTTATTTATACTCTGTTTTAGAAGCCTCCTTTACTTCTTGTTACCGATGTGGGACTTTTGCTAAACTCCACATTTCCCACCGTTCTAAATTTTAGATTCTCTACTGGGCCGGTCTCTTTGGTGGCCCAAATTCAATTATTTTTACAAAGATGTAAATTGACCCACGTTTGGATCCAACTAACCTAGAATTTATCAAGTTTTGCAATGAGTTATTTAAAATAAAACTTTTTTGAAAGAAAAACCGTATACAGTAGTTCTTTTTTTTTTTTTTTTTTTTCGTATACAGTAGTTCTTTCTTCTCAGTCTCAGCGGTTAATATTTTTTTGTGTGTTAAAAGAATTTTGTTTTGTCAACGATCAAATCGAGCATTGAGGAAAGGAAGTGACCTAACTAAAAGCAAAGGTTCTTTAATTCCTTTATTACTGCCGTAAGCAAAGGTTCTTTAATTCCTTTAATACCCATAAACTGATACACGTACACACTCGACTTCCACTTGAGTGTACTTAGTTCATGCATTCAAGTGGAATGCATAGGTAGCTCTACTTCATTTTTATACTTCGTTATTTCGAGCATATTCAAAAGTTGGATTGTCAATTTCGTATATTTTAAAGCTTTTCTATACTATTATTTTTTTTTGGAAAAAGGCAATATTTTCTTAAGAACATATAACAGAGTTGGTGATATATTAGTCATTAATCGTGTTTTTTGGAAGCTTATGAACAAGTGGAGCCTTTGAGTGACTTACAAATATATCGCATAGGAGAATAGGATGAACAATATCTATTGCGACTGGTTTTTTTAAAAGCAAAATCACTTTAAGAAAGCTAATGGATTATATATATATATATATATATATATATATATATATATATATATATATCTTTTCTATACTAGCTTTATGATTATTTACTAAAAAATATTAATAAAATATTAGTATTAAACAAAAGAAAAAATGATTTGAAAATGAGTTATTCATGTTGTTTTTCTATCAAGTCAACTACACTAAAACCTCAGATCACTAACCAAAAAAAAAAGATGTGCTCTAGATATTTAGGATAAACTAATTAAAACTAGAATGAGCTTCTACATATTTAATTAGTGAAAGTAGATATTTTTGTTAGAATTACTGACTAACAAGTGCATAATACAATTAATTATCGTGTTTCGGAGGAAAGAAAAGCTGGTAGTGGGGATAAGCTTAAGCACTAGTGCACTACATGTAAACCAAAATCAAGCATTAAAGTTAACCAACTAAACTACTCCTTCTGTTTCAAAATATAGGATGTTTTAGAGAATTTTTTGTTTCAAAATATAAAATGTTTACAATTTTCTATGCAACTTTTTAATTCATTTGATATTTTATGACCATTAGTATTCGGTAGTCTTTTGTACTATAGGTTTAATTTTATTAAATTAAATATTAAATGATAGTTTTTTTTAAAAAAAAAATCTTAAAGTGTATGCATATAGCTATATTTTGATACAGATGGAGTATAATTTAACCTCTATTCCTCGTAAATTTTAGTCAGTTAACTTAAGTTTAGTTAAGTTCAATTAAACATCTAATATAAACAAAACTCTTAAAATCTTAAGTTAACTTCTTAGGTCAAGGAAGCTAATCCATAATTTTCCGAATCAAGTCCAAAACTAAAAGCAAAGCTACTATATAATCTCTTACAAATATATAACACATGTTAATGTATTCGGAATGATATTTATAGAGCTAAACTATTATAACACATGTACGGTCGGGTTCACAAAATAACTAGAACTATTTAAAGAAACATTACAAAAGAGGAAACAAAAGGACAATTGTGTGAAAATCATTTGGAAACCTAGTTAAGAATAACATCCTCAACAAGTGGAAATGCTATTGTGATATATGTGTTTGGTCTATTTACAGACTTTATACAAGGTTGATTCTAGTAGACTTCATATAATGTTTTGGTAGGGAATGAGTCACGAGCTTATAATAGCAAATATTGGCATGTCATTGTTGAAGATGTCAGAGTGTTACTTTATTTTTATTTAAATTATTTAGTATTTTTGAGTGGTGATCCTTTTTTCCGTATGACGCATATACAAATTTTTAATTAAAAGCTTACAAGGACCACAATCATAATAATAAACGATGCAATTGACAAGCCAAGCACTACTCTTACCTAATGGAAAAAAATGAAAATGAAAAAAATGTTATTTAAGTGGGATCATTGTAGCTTTTTTTGTCCTCAAGGCATCATTGTAGCTTTTTTAAACAAAGCACGTCAAGCCAACGCTATAGTTAAAATAAAAACCAGAGCAATTGTTTTTAGTTGTTTTAAATTAATATCTCCAACTCCAAATAAAGTAGAAAAAAAAAATAGAGCAGCATAAAAGTTGAAGGTGATTGGTTGATGAACCTATAGTTGTCATCTACACTTGTAATATTCATATATTGGTACGTCTCTCTCTTCTCCTTTCTCTTTCTCTCTCTCTACTCATGTGTGTGAATGAATCTCTGTTTCTTGTTTTGGAACCGATATGGCTTCCTAACAATTGGGCTTTTCTCTGCCTCTTCCTAGGAATCTGAAGCGCTTCTCTACTCTCTACTCTATCATCACTCCATCTGTGTAAGTTTTACTCAATCTCTCATCTTTTTTTCTTTGCTTTATTCTTTTAGATTCACATAGGTTTTCGTGTGTTTGATTTTGACCAACATTTGGGATTTTATTTTACTTCTTTTGGGAGTTTGTTTGCTATTGGGGACTCTTGTCTGTAAAAAGATTTCAGTTCTTGTGTCTTATCTTCTCGTTTCACACAAGCTTTTTTCCTTACTTTAGACAACAAGTCTGTCTCTTGATGATGATTCACATATGGGTTTTGTCATTCGTGTGGTTTTGCGTAATACCCAATCCCAAAGTTCTTTCCTTTTTCTTCTTACAAGTTTTCTAAATTGGGTTTGAAATTTGACAAAGATTTCACATCCAACTCTTATTTACTTTGTTGACTTTTGTTTTGTTATCTATCTTCCATAGGAACAAATCTTTCTTCTTCTCAGCAATATCCACTTTTCACTTTTGTATCGGAATTTGGAGATGGCTATGCAAACTGTGAGAGAAGGTCTCTTCTCTGCTCCACAGGCTTCTTGGTGGACTGCTTTTGGATCTCAGCCGTTGGCTCCGGAGAGTCTCGCCGGCGATTCTGACTCGTTCGCCGGTGTTAAGGTCGGATCTGTCGGAGAGACAGGACAAGGTGTGGATAAACAGAGCAACTCTGCAACTCACTTAGCTTTCTCACTTGGTAAACTCTCTTTTGTCTTCTCCTTTCAATGTCCTCAAATACATGGTTCTAGTGAAAATTTCTGAAATTGTCAAAAGTGGCTTTTTTTGGAAAGTGCTAGTACATGTTTTACTAGTTATTTATAGGTATGAGAGTGAACAGGACTGAGCTAAATTGTCTGAAAAGAGAATCTAAGATTCTTCAAGATATAAAGATGTTACGAAAAGTTTTTTTTATGGTTCAAATTCTGGATTGTAAAATGTCATTTGTTTTGTACGTATTTGTGAATCTAAAAGAATGCATTTGTGATTTGATTTGGACTAATTTTCATTATGTATGTATTAGGTGATGTAAAGAGTCCAAGACTTGTGCCAAAGCCTCATGGAGCTACTTTCTCAATGCAATCGCCTTGCTTGGAACTTGGATTTACTCAGCCACCGGTAAAAACTTTTCCGCATTGAAAAACATATAAAGAAGAAGCCTATCATCAATTTGCTTTAATTAGTTTCTGAGTACTTTAGTGTTTGTTGGCTGTTTATTTTGGTCATTTAGATCTACACAAAGTATCCTTATGGGGAACAACAGTACTATGGAGTTGTTTCGGCCTATGGATCTCAGAGCAGGGTAATGCTTCCTCTAACCATGGAAACGGAAGATAGTACCATCTATGTGAACTCAAAGCAATACCATGGAATCATAAGGCGACGCCAGTCCCGTGCAAAGGCTGCTGCTGTTCTTGATCAGAAGAAATTGAGTAGTAGATGCCGCAAGGTATTTATAACATATAGAAACTAGTTTGATACTTTTGTGCAAATGATTTCTAATTAGTGTGTTTGCCTTGTTATGTATGTTGCAGCCATATATGCATCATTCGCGCCATCTCCATGCATTGCGGCGTCCTAGAGGATCCGGTGGGAGATTCTTGAACACTAAAAGTCAGAACTCGGAAAAAAGCGGAACCAATGCAAAGAAAGCTGACGGAAGTATGCAGATCCAGTCTCAGCCTAAGCCTCAGCAAAGTAACTCTCAGAATTCTGAAGTTGTTCATCCGGAAAACGGGACCATGAACTTATCGAATGGATTAAATGTGTCGGGATCAGAAGTTACAAGCATGAACTACTTCCTAAGTTCTCCAGTCCATTCTCTTGGTGGCATGGTAATGCCTAGCAAGTGGATAGCAGCAGCAGCAGGAATGGATAATGGCTGCAGCAATTTCAAAACCTGATCCTTTACCGTTTCACAGTCAAACGGAGAGAGATAAAGAACTCTTGCCTTGAAGAAGGAAAATGAGTTTTTTTTTCTTGGTATAAAGGATTTTCCTTTTTGCCAATCCGCTTTAGCTGTGAACAGGCAAATCATCTTTGGCTCATTCTCTATTAAGGTCACTTCACTGTCAGGTGAAAAAACTTTGATTAATCTTCTGTGTGAAAGTAGTTAAAACTGGTGAAGAACAATGATGGGTTTGGTCACTAAACCCACTTGCTCCAACTAGTAGTGTGTGTGTGTGTTAAGAAAACTCTGTTATCTGATTTTTGTAGCTCTCTCTGTCTCTGTGTGTTTCTCAAACAACTGTAAGAATTTTAAGTTATGTGGCTTATGTAACATATTTAAGACGTGTGTTTTTGTATAGTTGGTCGAATTTATGTTATTATTTGCTTATAATCCATCACTTATACAGCAAAGACAGATTAAACAAACTCTGTTCCAAATCCAATTAGGTTTTCTCTTTTCTCATAATGCCAATTGTCTAGGGTTTGCTCCGGTATAATCAATGGACCTCAAAGAATACGTAGCAGAGACGAAGAATACGTAGCAGAGACGACGACAGAAGGAGACTCGAGCAAATTGATGGAGACAACATGATACAGTCAAACCACGCAGCGATAATGAATACGTTGACTCTGAAGAACCCGTGGATGAAGCTTTGGCCTTCGCTCTTGCGATCCTTGCAAAACGAGATGAGAGAAACCTAGCCATACAAGTAGAGAACGACTATGAGGTTGATGAGAGCGGCGATGAAGAAGAAGAGAGTGACTCTGAATTCTCTTACTCTGGAGAAACACTCATCATAAAGCCCAAGTGGTGGGTCGAATTGATTCCAGACTCTTCTTATTTTGCCACTTGAATCCGCACGTGCCAACCCACACGTGTAATACTATATCACAACAGAACCCACGGAAGACTCGAGCGGCGATGAGGTTGAAGAGAGCAGCGATAATGAATACGTTGACTCTGAAGAACCCGTGGATGAAGCTTTGGCCTTCGCTCTTGCGATCCTTGCAAAACGTGAGACCGATCCGGCGGAGGAAATAGAAGAGAGCGACTATGAGGTTGATGAAAGCGGCGATGAAGAAGAAGAGAGTGACTCTGAATTCTCTTACTCTGGAGAAACACTCATCATAAAGCCCAAGTGGTGGGTCGAACCTGAATGGGATTTGGACAGCTTCGATGGTCTCGAGTACGATTCCTCCGAAGAGGAAGATGAAATGTCCAATGAAGAGGATGAACAAAAGTGGCGCCGCTTTAAACGCCAGCTCACCGAGAGCAAGGTTTGATAGAATTTTTAACTAAATTTATGAAAATTTGTTAGCTGTATAATGAGTTAATTTGTGTAACGTGTGTGCTTTGGTTTTTAGGGGTTTTACGTGGAGCCGGAGCTTATGCCAATGTACAACTACTCACGATTCAAACCAGTCGAAGATTTGGAACGTTCTGCAGGTTGCGGCCAAACCTACCGCGAGTTTTTTGCAGAGATGGCTTGTCTCTGTCTCAAAACATTCAACCAATACAAGGTTTATTAGTTCTAACATTTCTTTTCTCTTGCCTGTATATACATTTATGTGTAAGCTAACATTTTAACTAATTGTTTTCGAAAAGCGGTTGAATGTGGAGTTTGTGGAAGTGTTGAGAGGTGCATTTACAGCAGGATCCAAATCAAAGGTGTACATTTCATTCATGGCTAAGGAGAAACCTGATGGGCCTCTTGTCGAGTACCAATGTAAGGTTTGTTGTACGGTTGTTCGAAACGTGAACTATCCCATCCTCTGTAGACCAGCTCATAAAACGGGTGAAGAACAATAATGGGTTTGGTAACTAAAAACCCACTTGTTCCAGCTACTGTGTGTGTCTGTGTGAGATAGAACTCTACTCATGTTATATACATTATCTCTCTCTTTATTTGTGTGTTTCTCAAGCAACTGTATGGTCTTCAAGTTATGTCGCTTATGCAACATATTTAAGACCTGTTTTTGTATATCTTGTCGAATTTACTATTTGACTATCTCATTAATAAAACCACCGCCAGATACTTCTGTAATTTGTAAAGGATTTATCAAATATCTTTGTAAGACATTTAGGGTTTTCACTTTTCTTATTACAATATTAACCCAACTAGATTTTAATTCATGGTACATCGCGGGATGATTTATTTTAAAATTAGTATAAAAATATTTTGTAAATTGTATTTCCTTATAAAATATTTATTTATATTATAGTTTAATGTGATTTTGTTAAGTGTCAGCGGTCCAATGTGATTTTTGGCTTCCCACTTTGCTTTTATTAAGCTTAGCGTTTTTGAAATGTTATGCTATAGTTAGCGTTTTTGAAATGCTATGGAATAGTAACCAAATTCTGAATACCATTTTTAATAGCAAATACGTAAACCGTGCTATCGTCATGTGCTATCAATGCTCATATTTTTTTGTAGTACAATTGTTATTAAGTAACGGTATACCACGAGTCCACGAGACAATTGTTAATAAACTGAAGATTTAACCCGTATTAAAGCGGCATATTAATGATATTTATAAATATTGATTCAAATTTGTCCGCCATATAAACCCGTTCCAAAATATAACTCGTTCCGTAATTTCTTAACCCGTCCCATGATTTATTTTTATTTTAAAATTTAATGATTATTTATTATATATAAAAGCTTACAAATCATATCATTTTCTAAGACATTTATATTTTAATAAACTGAAGATTTAATCTGTATTAAAGCGGCATGTTAATGATATTTTAAAATTTTATAAATATTGATTCAAACTCGTCCACCATATAACTTCGTTCCAAAATATAACCCGTCCTGTAACTTTTTATCACGTCCCGTGATTTGTTTTCTAAAAGTAGTAATTTTTAAAATTTAACGATTATTTATTATATAAAAGTGTGTAAATTTTATAATGTTTTAAGATATTTATATTTTATAGTTTACAATTGTTATTAAGTAACATTATACCACGGGACAATTTTTGGTTTTATACAATCTTTTCTAAATGAGACTGATTTAATATGTCTAATATTGGTGGTATTAGAAAAAAAAAGGATTTAATCCGTATTGAAGTGGCAGATTAATGATATTTTAATCTTTTTATTATTGTTGATTCAAAAACCTGTTCCGCCAAACCCGTCCCGCCAAAAAACTCATTTATTTTATTAGTGTTGATCTTATTTATGATATGATTCTGAATTATTGTCTAAATATTTTAATCGATGTAGAACGTTGAACACACATTTTCGTCAATTGGATAATATATGTCCGTTTTTAAAATTTCGAATCAAAGTATATGCAGAAAAAAAATTGATTTTTTTTTTGAGAAATTGTTAAAAATGCCCCTTTTTCAATACCCCTTTTCAAAAATGCCCCATTTGAGAATCCATTTTTAAGTTTGCCCTCTTTTAATTTTTAATGACCATTTTACTTTATTTGAAACAAAATTAGGTCTACAAATTGTGGGATCACTTTTCCCGCCAAAAATTATTTTGTATTTTGTGAACCTAATTTTGTTATATTTTCTTATATATTTGTGATATCTTTTATTAAAAGAATTGTAATTTAGTCATTTTGTACATAAAAAGGGGTATTTTTAAAAATGGACAGCCAAATGGACTATTTTTGAAAAGGGGTATTGAAAAAGGGGTATTTTTGTGAGTCTCCCTTTTTTTTTACTTTATGTATTATATGATAATTCAAAACAATATAAAACAAATCAAACAAATATGATAGGAGAATCATAATTCAAAATCTTAATAAAATCTTCTAAATATCTAAATTATTAAATATAGAATATCCGGTGTATGAGTTGAGTTTTATTTAATCCGATCCAAGTATTTTTTTGTGAAGAAATTTAAAAAACGGATCGGATATCCGATTAATCCAGAATCATTTTTACCCAACCGTAATCAAAGTGTTGCAAAAATACTAGTATAGACCGTCCATGGTTTACTCTCATAAAAATTAAATCAATGGATCTGAAAGAATGCGCAGCAGAGACGACGGAATCGAGCAAGTTGATGGAGGCAACAGAACCCTTGGAGAAAATAGAAGAGAGCGGCGATGATGATTACGTTGACTCTGACGATGAGAATGATGAGAGCGGCGATGATTACGTTGACCCTGACGATGAGCTCTTACATCCGACGTGGTTTAAAGTCCCTGAATGGGATGTGGACAGCTTCGGTGGTCTCGAGTACGATTCCTCTGAATATAAAAATGAATTCCCCAAGGAAGAACATGAAAAACTATGGCGTCGCTTTAAGCGCCAGCTCATCGAGAACAAGGTATAACTAATTAATTGAGTGTAACCGCTAGCTCCTAATATGTTAGATTGATAAAGAGTAAATCTTGACTGTGTGTGCCTGAATTTAGGGGTTTTATGTGGAGCCAGAGCTTTGGCCAATGTACAACTACTCAGATTACAAAGTAGTCCCTAATTTGGATTTGCCTGCCAGTTTCGGGCAAACCTACCGCGAGTACTTTGCAGAGATGGCTTGTCTCTGTCTCAAAAAGTACAACCAAGACAAGGTTTAGTTATTACATGTTGTTTCTCTTGTCTATACATACATTCAGTACGTGTGATCTGACATTTAGAAAAAAATTGCTTTATTGTTTTTTAAAAGAGATCGAATGTAGAGTTTGTGGAAGTGGTGAGAGGTATATTTACAGCCGGATCTAGATCAAAGTCGTACATTACATTTATGGCTAAGGAGAAACCTGATGGACCTCTTGTCGAGTATCAAGCTAAAGTGTGGTGTACTGTAATTAGACACGAGAACTATCCCATTCTCTGTAGACGGGCTCCTAAAGCAAACCAAAAATAGTAAAGGTATGGTTTTGGACCCAAGCTCAAACATGTAGATTTATGATGTTTTTTCACAATTTGGTATTCGGGGACTGAGTCAAGAAGATAGGCAGAGAAGCATCTCGAGGGTTTGTCTTGGCTGACCATTTTTGTCCCTACAACTACATGCAAAGTGGGGGTTATCAATAGCTAAAGTGCAAGTTTTTTTTCAACTATTTGGTTCCTTGTTAGTGAGATTTTTTAGTTCATCTATACAACCTCAGGGATTGATTCACTAGTAAAGATGTGTTAAAGATAGAAAAGAAGCTGTTGAATATTCAAGTCTATTTGAAAGTGTGTTGTGTGTTCTATGATTTCAGAGTAACTGAGAGATTTTCATGGGTAGATATGAAGAAGTTAGCTCTTACAACCTTCTAGAATCTAACTTGTTCTGTTTTTTTTTTTTTTTTTAGATGGATGCATAGCTGGAGTTTGCAAAAGGGCATCTAAAACATGGCCAGTTTATGGATGGATTCTTAGGCTATTCGAGAGACTCTTCTTTCTGGTTTCTAGACGTCCTCTGTTCCTGCCTTGGGTCTAAAGGAAAGACATGTAGCTTCCTATTTGTAAGAGAGACATAGTTAAATATACACTACAAGAGATTTAATAGATAAAGTCACTTTAATTATGTCATTCTAAAAAATAACGCAAGAACAAAACAAAAAGGAAGCGATTTGGAGTCGGTTATTAATCCACAATCAAAACCGACGTACATATAATTAAATTAACTTTCTTATTCACTTAAATTTTAATGGTTATAGTACTTTATATATGATACTTGATAAAAAAAAAATTCAGAGAAAGTACAGGTACTCAGACCTCGTGATTATAATCGGAAGTTTATGGAGGCAACAGAACCCATGGAGGAATCTTTGGCCCTCGCCACTACTTCCCTGGCAAAACGTAAGGCCGAGTCTGACCCAGCGGATGATATAGAAGAGAGCGGCGATGAAGAATACGAATACGTCGACTCTGAGGAGGATGAGAATGAAGAACCCGTGGATGAAGCTATGGCCTTCGCTCTTGCTTTACTGGCAAAACGTAAGACCGTGGCCGAAGAGAGCGGCTATGAGGTTGATGAGAGCGGCGATGAAAAGGAAGAGAGTGGCGTTGAATACTCTTACTCTGGAGACATGCTCGTCATAAAGTCCAAGTGGTGGGTCGAACCTGAATGGGATGTGGACAGCTTCGATGGTCTCGAGTACGATTCCTCTGAAGAGGAAGATGAAATGTCCAATGAAGAGGATGAACTAAAGTGGCGCCGCGTCAAACGCCAGCTCATCGAGAGCAAGGTTGAATTTTCTAACTAAATTTATGCAATTTGTTAGCTTTGTAATGAGTTTGTCTAACGTGTGCTTTGTTTTTAGGGATTTTACGTGGATCCGGAGCTTATGCCAATGCAAAACTACTCACCAATCAAAGCAGTCGCTGATCTGGAATGGTCTGCGGGTTTGGGCCAAACCTACCGCGAGTACTTTGCAGGATGGCTTGTGTCTGTCTCAAAACATTCAACCAATACAAGGTTTACTTGTGATAACATTTCTTTTGTCTTGCCTGTATATACATTTATGTGTAAGCTAACATCCTCGCTAACTGTTTTATTGTTTTCAAAAAGGGGTTGAATGTGGAGTTTGTGGAAGTGGTGCGAGGTGCATTTTCTGCAGGACCTAAATCAAAGTCGTACATTACATGTATGGCTAGGGAGAAACCTGATGGGCCTCTTGTCGAGTATCAATGCAAGGCTTGGTCTACGTTTGTTCAACACGAGAACTATCCCATCCTCTGTAGACCTGCTCCTATCACAAAGCTCTCAAACCAAAACTAGTAAAGGTATGGTTTTCGACTCAGCATTTCTTTTGTCGTGGATACTTTCTATAGCTTGAAGTTGTGCATATTTGGATATACTTATGTCCTAGCTCAAACATGTTTAGATTTAGGTCATCGGGCATTCAGTCTCATGTTTGTTAGAAAGATATAGTCAAAGAACCATCTCAACAAATTATATTGTCTTGGCTGATTATATATCTGTCACTACAAGTATCTTAACATGGAGAATATCATGAACAACTAAAGTGCATGTCTTATTACTATTCGTTTCCATGCTAGAATAGGGATTAAAGGTGACAAGTATCTTCTGACTGTTTAGATCTATTTGAAACTGTAAACTGTCTCTGTGCATGACTTCAGAATAAGAAATCTTTGAGGGTAGATAAAAAGATATTTACCTCTTCTAAAGTGATTCTAGAAGGCCATTGTGATTAAGGTCTAAGTTGCTGATGACTTGTTTATCTTTGTTCTCTTTCGTCTGGAAGATGAATATTAGACTGGCTGATCGAGAAGATGGAATTCGCTGGCTGATGCAGAGGATGGAGTTCGCACCAGGTCATCTAATATGAAGTCGTATGTGTTAAAAAAATTCAACTTAGTAGTACTAAAGCACTTTTATTGTGTTGCCAATATCTATGTTTTAGGTACTTATCTCTATGTTAGCTAAATAACTTGTCAGTGTTTGTGTCTTATATCTTAAGAGACTTAAAGTAAATGTTTGTGTTTTATAACTTTGGAAGCATGACATGTCTCCTTTGATGCAGTATCCTCGTTTTTGGGATTTTTTCTTTTGTTATGTTTCATGTTATGTATGTCACATGAGTAAAAATCAAACATATCCATCCATATACCAATATCAATGAAAAGGATCTAACAAAATGTTAAATCATGGTAGATAGAAAACAATAACTTTAACATACGCTTGTTAAGGGCAAATGGAACAATAGATGAGAAAGGTTACTACAATGTAAGTGGCGACGATGTAGAGTATTTTCACGGCGAGGTGCTTGAACACTTAAAAAACATTGTGTGTGTTTCTCAATTTCATTTTGCTATTATCTGCGCGATTAGTTCAGCTCAAAGATGCGAGGGATATTCCATTTGAACGTGAGTTTGTTTGTTTGTATGGAAAGTTGTCAAACATTTAGCAGTTTGTTTATATGATTGTGTCAAATACCGAATCGATTGTGCAAGGAACTCTACTTCTCAATTCTCATCAGAGCCACTTCACCAACATGGGACTCTAAAATGATTAATAAAAGAATTTAGAGAGCAATTTTATTATTATTTAATTATTTGATATTGGTTTAAATCGAGAAGAGCCTTTTTCGTTAAGCATAACCGGGCCAACCCTAAAAAGCTTAACGCCGGTTAAACAAAAAAAAGAGCCAACCGCCGGATAAACCAAAAAAAACAACGGCGTTTGTTGTTGTTCTTCTTCTCCTTCTTCAACCTGCGTCGTACTCTCTCGAATTCCCAGGTAAGCTACTTCGATTCATACTCTTATTCGCATTCCTCTTGTGACTTCGTTTCTAAACGCAGATTTTCTCCTTTTTCTAAGGTCTGTGTCGATCCCAAAGTAGAGAAATTAAACCTAATTGTTCCCGTTTTATTGTAGAACTACTTTTTTTTTTTTGATAACTACTTTACATATAGATTTAAGTCGTGATCTAGCTGTCGAGAGGCTCTGTGCAGTTGCATGATTCGCATACCCTTAGAAACGGGCTTTGCTTAGTGATGTTTCGGATGTGAGCTCTATATGCGAATGTGATAGAAAAATTTTGTGGGTTAGTGAATTTGTTTTAAGTTGTGTATTTGTCTCTGATTTCTCTATTTCGGAAGCATCATTTGATAATCTCAGATTTTAGCAGTCAGGCTGAATCAATTTTATGTTGACCTAAGAGACTTACGCAATTCAAGAAGACCACCAATCATTCTGGAGGCATGGTACGATCTGAGCCTTGTGTTCTGTTCGCTCAGACCTTTGTTCATCCTCAATTGGACGAATATGTCGACGAGGTAACCTTTATCTTTAGTTTGTGATACACTTGGAATACTGCCCTGTTCTTTTTGCTGAGCTTCTAGGGAGTATCTATGTTGAGTTGGATTAGGGTTCTCTTTTATCTGAGTCTCTGAAACCTGGTAGAAAATGCTTAGGTGAATAGTTATTACTGACTACTTGTACGGGATTGGTCGGAACAAGTATTACATGTGGTGGTTTTGTCATTCGATGTCAGAAGTTACTTGTTTGGTTTCACGCTTCTGAGGATTTGTTTTATGTTTTCTTTAATTCTTATAGGTGATATTTGCTGAGCCAGTAATCATCACAGCTTGCGAATTTTTGGAGCAGAATGCTTCCTCATCTTCTCAAGCTGTTTCTCTTGTCGGGTATGTTCTTTTTTGACTTTGTATTCTTCTATTTCTTTCTTGATCTTAACTATTGAGGATCTTGAAGTAGTAATACCCACCATTAGAAGTCTTGTTGAAATGCATGGTCCTATATTCTCGACTCTGTATCTGTGATCTCTATTGAATCTTTGATGTTAAGCCTTGTTTTGGATGTAAGAGTACACGATTAGCTATTTTCTTGTCACTGGAAGGGAGAATGATAAGAAACCTAAATTTGTGTAGAAATTCTGAAAAACCCGAACTTGTAACTGCAACAAAAAACTGAACTTTGCAGACATGATATTTTGAAACAGTGGTTTAGTTGAAATGTCAAGACTCTAAAGTTCAGCTCCTTTTTCATTAATAAACTTCGGTTTTAGTCACTTTCAGAGAAATCTAGATTTCGAGTCAATTCGTCTTATAGAAACAAAAATAGTGAAGGGGTATTGTAGCTGAACCACTTGTAGTTAGATTTTCAGCTAAAATGCCAGCTTTATGTTCTTTGTGAGTGACTTAGAGTCCGACAACATTTCTTGAGCGTGGGTGATGTCTATGGTTGGTTATCTAAATGTTGACAATATTTTCGTTAGGGCAACTTCACCTCCTTCATTTGCATTGGAAGTGTTCGTTCGATGTGAAGGAGAATCAAAATTTAAGCGACTTTGTAATCCTTTTCTTTACACTCCTTCAGCGCCCTACCCTTTGGAAGTGGAGGTAACTGCTAAACTTGATTTATCTTCAAATTGATTTTTGTTTCTTTTCCCTTTCATGTCTTTTCGGTTCTTGGAATTGATTAGTTTGGTATTCTGCGACTGATGCTGGTAACAACATTTGGGAATGGTTCTTATGTACATTTCCTGTCCTTAGACCATAGTTATTGGCTACCATTAGGAACAAGGAGCTGTTAGCTGGAAATATGGCTTATAGATGTACATACTCCCTTAGAGATGTGTATATATGTAAATTGCTAGATCTTATATTTGTCTTTTGATAAAAGGGGTGGCATAATAGAGGGAGTCAATAACTTGTTGTAGGTGATAAGGGGTTTAGTTTGGGTTGGGAATGAGCGGGGTTTAGAGTTTTGAATACCTTTTAATTAAGCCATCTTGTGTGTCAAAAGGCAGACGTTCAGCCTCCCTCTATGCTACCAGAAAAGTGGTCAATCATTCCCATTTGCAGGTTTCAGTTCCTTGCATTACTTGACTTTTCTCATCAAAATTGCAGGCTGTTGTAACAAACCATCTGGTGGTTAGAGGCAGCTATCGAAGTTTGAGCTTGATCGTCTATGGGAACATCGTGAAAGATTTGGGGCAGTACAATATCATTCTTGAAGGTCGTTCTGTAACTGATATTGTGAGTTCCACTGAGGGTAATCTTGAGGACTTGCCATTGGTACTGCACTCAGTTAACAGAACAATAGAGGAATGTCTATCCTCTCTAGACATAGTATCTCTCCCCCTCGCTACTGTAGATGTGCCTGTGGAAGTAAAGCGATTGTTGCAGCTGCTGCTAAAAGTCTTTGATAAGCTAGCTACTAGTGATGTAGTAAATAAATTTGTGGATACGGTAGTGTCTGGGGTCTCGTCTTATGTCACAGACAATGTAGATTTCTTTTTAAAGAATAAGAATTGTCCGGCCGTGGCCAGTTCCGTAGATTCTGGGTTATTTCATGATATAATTGACAAGGTTAAGAAAGATATTCTTGATCTCAATGAAATTCAAGAATCAGATGTGGCACTAGGAGTGTTCAGTTTTCTTGAATCAGAGACTTGTTTGGCTACTTCACAACAATTGGTTGATATGTTGAGCCCATATATTCAGTTTGAAAGAGATTCCTTATGTACTGTCCTTCCACAGCTTTCAAAGGTATTACATTTTCGTTTTAGCTCTCACACTCTGGTGATAGAAGTTTCTAATATTAATAGATTAATTGTTGTTAATTTTCTCATTTCAGGGAAAAGCCACTCTTTTGGGTTTAAGTTTGGCCTTCTTATTATGCTCTGGCCGAGAAGGCTGCCTCCAATTTGTCAATTCCGGTGGGATGGATCAACTTGTATATTTCTTTGGTCATGATGTTCAGAATTCTACCACCATTACATTGTTGTTGCTTGGAGTTGTTGAGCAGGCTACACGCCATTCAGTTGGGTGTGAAGGATTTTTAGGTTGGTGGCCTCGTGAGGATGGAAGTATCCCATCTGGGAAGAGTGAGGGCTACTGTCTTCTGTTGAAATTACTTATGCAGAAACCATGCCATGAGATTGCCTCTCTTGCAATTTATATTCTTCGTCGTTTGAGAATTTACGAGGTTATATCAAGATATGAGGTACTCTCCATATTAAGAATCTTGTGTTGTTGGCATTATGTTGATAGGCCCTTTATGTTAATACTGTTACTAATATTCTGTCTATCAGTTTGCAGTGTTGTCAGCATTGGAAGGTCTCTCCAATTCTCATGCGGCTGCAACTCATAATCTGGATATGCTATCTGATGCTAAGTCACAACTTCAAAAGCTCCAGGTTTGTTTCTGCTTATAATTTCATGTGATTTGCTCGCTTATAAAATCAGTAAACCAACCATTTAATATTCTGACTGGTGTTACTGCTGACTATCAATTCAGAACCTGATGAAGTCACTTGGATCAGTTGAAGATCCCTCACCATCAGCCTACGCAGAAAGAAGTTTGGTTTCTGATCATTCGGAAGGCTGGTTGTCATACAAAGCCACGAGTAAACTAACTGCTTCATGGGCATGTCCGTTTTATAGCTCTGGAATTGATTCGCACATGTTGGCACTTCTGACGGTAAATCATTTGGTTAAATTAGTCTTTGACTTAGACATTTTAGCACTATTTTAGTTGCTAAATATGTGGCGTGTCAGAAATCAAATTTTTTTAGAGGGTCTAATTAATAAACCTTACTTGAAGCGTCTGACAATGCACAGGAGCGGGGTTTTCTTCCTTTGTCAGCAGCACTTCTCTCAATGCCTGGATTGCATTCTAAAGTTGGAGACCTTATGGATGTCTTTACTGATATCGCAATGTTTATTGGCAACATAATTCTTTCATTGATGTTTTCACGCACAGGTATTCTTATTTAACTTCCCCACTAGCACAGACTTGAGGATTATGTGCATTAGAGTTGTAATACAGCCTGTATCTTCTGTTTTCCAGGATTGAGCTTTTTGCTACATCATCCTGAACTGACTGCTACAATAATACAATCTCTGAAGGGATCCGTCGATCTGAACAAGGAGGAGTGTGTCCCCCTCCACTATGCTTCAATTTTAATATCCAAGGGTTTTACTTGCAGCTTACTGGAAATTGGAATAAATCTTGAGATGCATTTGAGGGTGGTGGGTTCATTTTACCATAAAGGGCACATCCTTTACATTCGTAGATTTATACTTGTATCCTACTATTTCTTACATACTTTATTCAGGTGAGTGCGGTAGATCGTTTGCTCAAGTCGACACAACAAACAGAAGAATTTCTATGGATTTTATGGGAGTTGCGTGATGTTTCTAGGTGATAAATGTTTTGCTGTCATGTCTCGGTTTGCCAAAATCTGCTTTTGTTTGTCTTTGCCTTCTTTTGAAATTAACTGGAAGGCACCCTGCAAGTGCAGGTCTGATTGTGGGCGTGAAGCTTTATTGACGTTAGGTGTTTTTCCAGAGGTATGAATCTGGATCCAGGAAAAAGAATATACTTCTGCTCTTTTTCTTCATTGTGGTCTCTCACAATTTATGATAAACTTGTCTGAAATGAATTCATAATTCTCATTCCCCCCTGCTTTCCTTCTGAAGCTGATAAATGGTAAAACAATGGTGAAGAAATGACACACATTTGATTGTTTAAAAAATCATGTGTTTTTTAGCTACCTTCACAAAATTTAAACCTTTGGTTATAATGGGAACTTTCTGGGAGATTAGTGGAAGAATGTGTTACATCTGTGGTCCCCTATGCTGGTCATGTAAACTTTGACTATAACAAAATTGTTAATCTCTTTGTTTCTTGTGCAAACTCTGTTAGTGTTCTAATTCATTATTGTTAATTCACTTGTTCGTAGTGGTGTAAATTGTATTGGAGCAGGGATACTCGTGGTTTTCACTAATATACTTTATTGTTCTCTTTTAGGCTTTAGTAGTCTTGATTGAAGCTTTGCATTCAGCCAAGGATATGGAGCCAGCAGTTGAAAATAGTGGTATCGTTGCTGCTTTATCTCTGAATTTACTACCTTGGCATAGTCTTTTGGTTATCTTCTTTTAAAACCTCTTACTTGCTTAACGTTCTCATTCTCAGGAATTTCACCGCTTAATCTAGCAATATGTCACTCAGCTGCTGAGATTTTTGAGGTCATAGTCTCTGACTCAACTGCATCATGCTTGCATGCTTGGATTGAACATGCCCCAGTCCTTCATAAGGCCTTGCATACTTTGTCACCGGGTGGTTCTAATCGAAAAGATGCTCCTTCACGATTACTTAAATGGATTGATGCGGGTGTGGTTTATCACAAGCATGGTGTAGTTGGCCTTTTACGTTATGCTGCTGTCTTGGCTTCTGGAGGGGACGCCCAATTATCATCATCAAGCATCCTTGCACTGGATTTAACACAGGCTGAGAATGGTGCTGGAGAATCAACAAATGTCTCTGAGATGAACGTCCTAGATAATCTTGGAAAAGTTATCTTTGAGAAATCTTTCGAAGGTGTTAACCTTTCTGATTCATCAATTTCACAGTTGACAACAGCACTTCGAATTTTAGCGCTGATTTCAGATAATTCAGTATGTTATCTTTCCCCATATTTTTTTCCAGAAATTACTTTTTCTTTCAGATGCTGTAGTCTTCTTATTTAAGTGTTCTGAAATGCTGTGCTTTGTACAGACTGTTGCTGCTGCTTTATATGACGAGGGTGCGGTTACAGTTGTGTATGCTATCTTGGTCAACTGCAGCTTCATGTTTGAGAGGTCGTCGAATATTTATGGTAAACTACTGTCTATTCTGTGCTTTTATCCAACTCCTCTATTGCTGCTACCATTTGACTCTTAAATTTAGACGTGACGATAAGAGATGCTGGGAAGAGTTTAAATCACCCACTGGCTAGATATCCGTTTTTTATATTTATCCTTTCAAAAACTTTCTTCTTATTGGTTCACGATGTTTCAGCTACTTTTCATCAATCGTTTGATGATTATAGGTGACACTCAACTAGTTCTTTTGTTTTGGGCTTAGCAGATTATCTGGTCGATGACGATCATGGATGCAGTTCTATTTCTGACTTTTTGTCTGAACGTAATCGTGAGCAAAGCTTGGTGGACCTGTTAATTCCTTCCCTCGTCCTCTTGATATCTGTTCTGCAAAGACTACAGGTCTGTTGCTTTAAACACTATTAGTTTTTTCATCATGTATCAGCAACAAATGATTTGATTCTGCGGAATAAATTTGATTAAAATCTTCTCTCAAAAGCCATAGCTTCTTAAGTTCTGCCTTTATCTTACTTTGTTGAGACTCTATAATTGCGGGCTTATGCGTCTTCACTATCCCCTCTGGTCATTGACATTGTCTTTGCTGTCTAAAGGGAACTAAGGAGCAGTATAGAAACACCAAACTGATGAAGGCACTCCTAAGGCTACATCGGGAAGTCAGGTGAGTTACTTTTCTTTTGTTTTAGTAGTATTAATCACGTGTATGTTTTATACAAAGTTAAGCTTTGAGCCATGATGGTTTTTTTTCTTTCCAGCCCGAAGCTAGCTGCTTGTGCAGCTGACTTGTCCTCCCATTATCCGGACTCTGCTCTTGGCTTTGGAGCAGTGTGCCACCTCATTGTGTCCGCCCTTGTCTGCTGGCCAGTTTATGGATGGATTCCTGGACTATTCCACACTCTTCTTTCGGGTGTCCAGACGTCTTCTGTTCCTGCCTTGGGTCCAAAGGAGACCTGTAGTTTCCTCTGCATTCTAGTATGGAAATCTTACACTTCCGCTAATTATTTTTTACTTGGTGTTTGTGATGGCATGCACTATTCATATCATTGTGAGAAAATTAACATATATTTCCAGCCGAATAGATATGAATCATCTGAACGTTTGTGATGGAATTTTGTTCATGTGTTTTGTAGTCATTTAATGTAAACGGTAGCAACTGGAAGATCCCCATTTATTGTCTAATACTTTATTCTTCATGTATTTCTCATTGCAAGACCGATATTCTCCCTGAAGAAGGAGTCTGGTTTTGGAAGAGTGGCATGCCCTTATTAAGTGGTCTCAGAAAGTTGGCGGTTGGGACATTGATGGGTCCACAGAAGGAGAAACAGATCAACTGGTATCTGGAGGCTGGTCCTCTTGAAAAGCTGATAAACCATTTGACTCCTAATCTTGAAAAGATTGCAAAGATTATCCAACATCATGCAGTATCTGTATGTTCTTCTATATCTTGTTCGCTCCAGTGTTTCTCTGCTGCTTTTGCTTTTGTTATCATTTATTCAGCATGATTTGGACTGTCTTATTTTCAAACAGGCATTGGTGGTCATTCAGGATATGCTTCGGGTTTTCATAGTTCGTATTGCATGTCAAAGGGTTGAGCATGCTTCTATCCTTCTGAGGCCCATATTTTCATCTATCAGAGATGGTATTTTGGATCAGTCATCAACAAGAAACACTGAAGCTTATATGGTGTTTGTTCAGCCTCTCTAACTCGCTGTCTATGTTACTGCTGCTCCTAACCAGTCTCATTACCCTCTTTCAGGTCTACAGATATCTTAATTTTCTGGCTAGTTTATTAGAGCACCCGCATGCTAAGGTCATACTCTTTGCCTCACGATCATAGTTTTCTTTCACTTTTTTTTTGTTTCTTTTTTCACCTGAAATTTATTCACGTCAGGGATTACTCTTAGAGGAGGGTATTGTTCAACTCCTTGTGGAAGTTCTGGAAAGATGTTATGATGCCACTTATCCAAGTGAAAACAGGGTTCTAGAGTATGGAATTGTGTCCGAGTCTAGTGTGATTCAGTGGTGTATTCCAGCTTTCAGATCGATCTCACTGCTATGTGATTCACAAGTGCCTCTCTTGTGCTTTCAGAAGAAAGAGCTGTAAGTGTGTTTTCTGCAGGCTTGCTTAACATTACCATTTTTGGGTGCCATTTATAACATGGAACCTAATTGTACTAGTATTACCTTATCTAGATCACATTTTATCTCTATTCGATTTTTTATTTATATTAAATTGTACAGATTGGCCAGTTTGAGTGCAAAAGATTGTGCATTGATTTTACCCTTTGTGCTGAAGTTCTGCCAGGTATATCAAAATTTGTCAACATTGTTGTGATCTATGTTTATCAACTGTTTTACAGATGTTATTACGTTTGTGTTCTTCTTATGTTGCTCATCTAGTCCCTTGGAGATATAATAAAATTGCTGCAAATTATGCTACTGGTTATAAATTATGATTGTTTGTGGCAATAGATTCTGAAATATCGATGACTCTTCTAAGAGATATCTTTGTGATATTTCCTTACCAAACTATGATTACGAAGTAAGATTTTCTTTTTTTACAGGTCTTGCCTGTTGGCAATGAGCTATTATCTTGTCTCGGCGCTTTCAAAGACCTGATCTCATGTGGTGAAGGTCAAGATGGTCTGGTTTCACTTTTGTTTCAATTGTTTTCTGGTGCCGAAGAACCTGTATCTGAAAGGTGGTGTGACACTCATAATTTGAGTCTCGATCAACTAGAAATGAAGAAAAATCCCCCTTTTCTATCTTGCTGGATCAAGTTATTGAACTCAATTAATTCAAAAGATGGTTTGTCTAGTCTTGCAATTAAGGCAGTAAACGTTCTGAGCGTGGGCTCCATCAGATTATGCCTTGATGGTAAAAGGTGACTCCCAGACTCTTCATAATCTACTAAATTCCTGCTCACCCAATTTAACACGAATTTGATAGGATTTTTTAGTCTGATAGGCGACGTGTCCTTGTATGCCATCTTGACTACGTATGTGGATAGAAACATAATGTCCGCTGATGCCACTTAGTTTAAGTTGGTGCATACATTTTAGTTAATCTGGTTTTGCTCAATTGATATAAGCCTAAGAATCATCAAGTAGAAGATGTGCTTAGTAGTACTTCCAACTAGTTCAAACCATTCCTTTAACATATATATATGTATATATTTAACGCATCAATTAAACTCTAGTCTAATTTTCTTCATCTTTCCAGTTTGAACTCGAGGAAGGTTGCAGGACTAAAATCCCTCTTTGGCCTTCCAAGTGAGTTTAGTGGTACAGACACTTTTAGAGAGGAAAATATTGGTTTGATTGAACAAATGGTGACATTGTTGAGTTCAACGACTTCTGGATCTGATAGTTCCGAAACAGCTGAGATGAAGCCCTATTTGCATGAGGTACGGACTACTCATGCCTGCTTTTTCTTGCATCATTCATCCACTTCTTTTGTTGTTTTCCTCTTGACACTGACTTCCTATTCTCTTTGTGGATTTGAAGGCATCTCGGTCGTTGCTGTCGTTGCTAAAAGACGGGAATATTGATGATATTATCTCCTGCAAAGGTGTTCTTGTTTCTCCTGGGAATTTTGATATGGATGATTTGGACTCTGAAAACATTGAGGACGATCTCTATCAAAGAGGACTTGAAGACAAGTTCTGGTGGGAATGTCCAGAAACATTACCTGAGCGTCTGCCCCAGTCATCTCTCCCTGCGAAAAGGAAACTATCAACTTTGGAGAGCTCTAGCAGGCGTGCTAAAGGCGAAAACTCTTCTGTTGACATACCGACCCAAAATTCAGTTCACCGGGCGCTGGGTTCTTTATCCCTTCCTCCTGCTCCCACACGTAGAGATACCTTTAGGCAGCGCAAGCCGAATACCAGCAGGCCTCCCTCTATGCATGTAGATGATTATGTTGCTAGGGAAAGGAGTGTTGATACAGCTGGTAATTCTAATGCAATAACCATTTCTCGAGCAGGATCTAGCAGTGGTAGACCTCCATCTATTCATGTTGATGAGTTTATGGCCAGACAGAGAGAACGAGGCCAAAATCCATCCACCATTGTGGTTGGAGAGGCTGTTGTGCAAGTGAAAAATCCTACTCCTGCTAGAGATTCTGAAAAAGTTGCAGGTAAACCTAAACAATTCAAAGCCGATCCTGATGATGATCTACAAGGAATAGATATAGTGTTTGATGGTGAGGAGTGTGAAGGACCTGATGACAAGTTGCCATTTCTTCAGCCCGATGAGAACCTTATGCAGCCTTCTCCTGTCATGGTTGAACAAAACTCTCCTCACTCCATTGTTGAAGAAACCGAGAGTGATGCAAATGGAAGTAGTCAATTCTCTCACATGGGCACACCAGTGGCATCTAATGTTGACGAAAACGTTCAGAGCGAATTTTCATCAAGGATTTCAGTTTCACGCCCTGATATGTCGTTGATTCGGGAACCAAGCATTTCTTCAGACAGAAAATTTGTTGAGCAAGCAGACGAATCAAAGAAAATGGCCCCTCTAAAGAGTGCCGGCATATCTGAATCTGTGTTTGTACCTGCTTACAACATGCCAGGATCTTCAGGACAAAATTTGATTGATCCTAGAGTGGGTCCTCAGGGGTTCTATTCAAAGAGTAGTCAGCAACACACGGGCCATATTCATAGTGGATTCAGTGGTCGGGGGGTTTATGAACAGAAAGTGATGCCAAACCAGCCTCCTTTACCCTTAGTGCCACCTCAATCAGTCTCACCTGTGATACCACATTCCTCTGATTCTCTTTCTAATCAATCCTCCCCTTTTATTAGTCATGGAACACAATCTTCAGGAGGACCCATCCGGCTTACGCCACCCCTCCCTTCAGCAATGCCCCAGTACTCATCTAACCCATATGCCTCGTTACCACCAAGGACATCTACAACTCAATCTTTTGGATACAGCCAGGCAGGCGTAGGTACCACTGAACAACAACAGAGTGGGCCAGTCATTGATCATCAGTCTGGCAATTTATCTGTTTCAGGTACCGGAATGATCTCTTACCCTCCCCACACTTTAATGTCAGCCCATAATTTTAGCAGGCCATCATCTCTCCCTGTGCCATTCTATGCAAATCCTTCGCATCAAGGAGGTGATAAGCCGCAAACTATGTTGTCGGTTCCCTCCATCCCTCAATCACTAAATCCACAGTCCATCCCTCAGCTGCAATCGATGCAGCTTTCACAGTTACAACGCCCTATGCAGCCTCCTCAGCATGTTAGACCACCCATACAGATATCTCAACCATCAGAGCAAGGAGTATCAATGCAAAACCCATTTCAGATTCCAATGCATCAGATGCAGATGATGCAACAGACGCAAGTCCAGCCGTACTATCACACTCCTCAACAGCAAGATCTCTCTCAGGTGCAGCAACAGCCACAGCATCATGCTGTTCAAGGTCAGCAAGGAGCTGGGACTTCTCAGCAACAAGACTCTGGAATGTCATTACATGATTACTTCAAGTCTCCAGAAGCCATTCAGGTTTGTAATCCACATCCTTGGTAATGATACACATTTGTTTTGTTTAGTAGTATTTCGTGCCACAGCTGACCATAATTCTTTAAACTCCTCTTCAGTCTCTATTAAGTGACCGTGACAAGCTGTGTCAGCTTCTGGAACAACATCCAAAGTTAATGCAGATGCTTCAGGTTGTTTTCTAAACCGATTTGTTTACTTGTTTTTAGGTGCTTTTTGAAAGCATCATCAAACCTTTCGTGTGATTCTTGTAGAGTTACACTGAAATGGTTTTTTGTTCTTTGTTGGTTGTGACAGGAAAAACTTGGGCAGCTATGAGGAGATAGAGACTTTTCAGCAAATACATCACTTTGCTTACTAGTCGCTTTTCTATTTCTGTAATGTTTAATAACATGTACATTGTTTCAGTTAATATGTAGACAAAAGCGGTAATAGGTATCGCTTTCTGTTGTTGTTTAGTCATATTCATGTACATTAGCAAGAAAACAAACTCCTCCTTCAAGTTCAAGTCTTGTTTTTTTTTCTCAAAGCAACAAGCCTGTATTTGTAAGCCACGAGCATAAGACTTGATTAGGGAAGTAACACACATTGAGGACTTAACAAGCTTTATATTTATAATCCTTTAATGTAACATTAACATACATGATAACAGTAATTGAAGGAATTACAGTGACTAAAATAATAAAACCTTGAAAAGGCCTTAAAGCCCCAAAAGAACATTTGAAATCTACCCCACTAAATGACCCAACAAGATTTTAGCCGAATGTGAATTGAAAAAAAAAAAAACACAAAAAGAAGAAAGATTTGTCCTTTGAGCCCAGCAAATTTCTGACACACATCATCAAGATCTTGTACCAACGGGGAAAAAGAAAGAATATTGTAGAGAAGAGAGAGAGAAAGCGAAAGAGATCGGGTGGAGTTTGGATGATATCAGAGTTGTCCGTAGATGCAATAAGATTAATGCTCTAGTTTTTTTTAGTCCTCTTGGGAGAAGTACCATTGAGAATCTTACAGATTCAACATTTAGGGTACTGTTCTCTCTGGTAAATTTAGCAAGCAAAAAGATGATGTCTTTCTATATCTAGGGCTGAGTTCGTATACTAACCAATTCGTCCTAATTGAAAGTTGCTTGCTTTATGTACTCGTTGTTTAGTGAACTTGCATTTCTGTACTCGATCGTATTCATCTCTGCACTCGCTCATACTTGTGTGAAATGATGAATGTTTTGCTGAGTTTATGTTTGGTTTTCTGGGTTTTAGGCTGCAAATTTTTGTAAATGGATCTCATTTCTTGCTCTCTTTTCATGGTGATTATCTATTCAGGTGCCTGAAATACATAACAATCCAGCTTTTGCTCTATGGAGCCTCGTGTAAGTATATACTAAACAAAGATGATTTACTGATTTGTGGGTTTTTGTTTAATTGCTGAAAATGTTCCTTTTCTTTTTTCGACAGGATAATCAAGCCGAGGCTTCATATACATTTGGTGATCGATCGAGCAGTGACATAGTTGTTAGACTTAGAAACGAAGAAGGCCGTGATGATTGGATCTATTGCCATTCCAAGATCCTTAGTCAGAAAAGCCAGTATTTCGCTGACCGCCTCTCTGATAAATGGCCCACTTGCAAGATTCTTGATTCACGCTACTGTGTTGAGGTCATCTGTCAAGAATCAGACTATGATCATCATATCAATCTCTTAAGACTTCTCTATCTTGTCTCTGATGGTGTCCATGAGGATAACTTGTGTCATAATGTGAAAAGTGCGTTGGGGATTCTCTGTGTCGCTAAAGAACTTTGTTGCCCTCAGATTGTCACTGCTTGTGTGAACTACTTGGAAGCTGTTCCATGGGAAGAAGGCGAAGAGGAAGAGATTCTGCGGACTGTACCGAGAATTGGATCAGAAGCAGAGCCGATTCTTGCCCGTCTCCAACCAGTTGATCAGTCCGCTGTTACTGAAATCTTTGTATCGGCTTTTAGGTTTGCTACTTCGTCCCCGCCTTTGCCCTTGGGTGACATAAAATCCTCGGCTCAAGAACAGATTGAGTATATGATAACCGAAGATGACGATGCACCGTTGTTGATTGCTGATGAAGAAGTCAAGCTTGAAGTAAATGAATGTGTAAAGAGCCTGTTTGGTAGATTCTTCCAATGTCTAGAAGAAACCTCTTTCAAACCCGTCGAGTCTGAGGTTATTAACAAAAAGGGGTCTTTTAGGATGGTTCTTTCAGATTTGTCGTGGGCTTTTCAGATATTAACAAAGATGGAAGTGGTTAGAGATTTTGTTATAACATGGGTTGACATATCTGAGAAGTTAGTTAAGGTAGTTGAGCAGTTGGAAACAACAGTTGCAGAGACTGTTGAGATAAGAGTCAAGGTCATTGAGGTGACTGCAAAAGTCATAGAGGCCATCGGTTATGGAACAGTGATATTGCCAACAGCGAAAAGGCTTGAGATGGTAAAACTATGGCTTCCATTTGTAAGAAACACAAAGCCACTTGTTGACTCACCGGTTACTGAAGATGAGGAGAATGGTACTGTGAGATATAAAATTGATGGAGAGATATGGCAAGCTTTAGAATCTTCCTTTGTATCGATAATTCTGGCATTGCCATCTGCAGACCAAGCTGAGATATTAACTGAATGGTTAGGCAAGAACGGGTTGTATCCGGATTTGACAGAAGCTTTCGAGGTTTGGTGTTACAGATCAAAAGTCGCAAAGAGAAGATTGGGTTTGCTCGGGGGCGAGGAAGATGAGAACGGTATGTCTTAACTCGCTTCCTGGGCACTGAATGAAGAAAGAGTAACATTTAGTTTTTTGTTGTTGTGTAGATGTCTGTCTTTTAACCCTTTTTGTGTGTTCTCTGTCAAATCCTTCATATTATCCATTGGCAGTTTCCACAAATCTGTAAATACTGTTGACAAAGATCTTGTCTTCTTTTAATCGGTAAGAGGTATTTCCTACTAAAATTAAATCTGTAGAATGATCTATCGTCCTATCGATTACTTCTGGTTTTGCTGTAAACTCAGGTCCCATTTTGATCTCTAATAAACAACACTCTTGATGACAGTTTATATAGAGAAGAGGCGGCCTCAGTTAGACTGACTATTGTTTAGTTTAGACTGACTATTGTTTAGTTTAGACTTTAGATAAACATTTAATGATTGAAAAGATGGTAGGGGCTGCGCGAACGCAAACCCCCTCTGCCACAAATAATGACGTAGGCTCTTCCTCAAGGGAAGACCTTAAGCATAGCACCCTTCCGGTATGTGCAATGGAAGTCACTAGCCTAGGCCACTCGTCTTCTTGATCGCGAGTTGACCCCGTCCAGGTAAGTGATTTTCTCCGAGGCATGGCTCTCTTATTTATACTCTGTTTTAGAAGCCTCCTTTACTTCTTGTTACCGATGTGGGACTTTTGCTAAACTCCACATTTCCCACCGTTCTAAATTTTAGATTCTCTACTGGGCCGGTCTCTTTGGTGGCCCAAATTCAATTATTTTTACAAAGATGTAAATTGACCCACGTTTGGATCCAACTTTGGGCCGTTCTAACTTTGTGAAGACGCACAGCGTGTCGTATTTTTGTATTAGGCTTAATGAAACGCTACCGTTAAGATCTTTGTGGTGGCCCAAAGTCGATTTATTACTCTACTCGGATTAATGCTACAGGTTGGATCCAACTTGATAAGCTTTTCACATATTCAATAGTTTTTGTGTTTGTTGGACAGTGCATAGTAACAGTGGAACATAAAAAATAAAATTCTTTTTCATTGAAAGATTATCGCACTTGTATCATATACAATGCTAAAAATAAAGGTTCAGGATCTGAACAAAAAGAGGAAAGAAAAAAAAAATTCAATTTTCTAACGAATCTAATAAACAATTGAAGCAAGTGGTTTTAGTGGAGCCCTAGCCTCAACCAATGGGGTTGTCTTGTGTCTAGAATCATTTTAACTACATCTTCTACAAATGAATCAAAACAAGAATAGCAACACCCTTTCATTAGGCTGCTGCTGCTACTACTACTACTGCTGCCAGGTATCATATGATGGTGAGTACACGTCACTGGTGGCGGAACAAGATGGACTTCACTGCTCTCGTGTTCAAGTCCACAAGCTGCCAGTATCGTGTGCATTGAGCACGTGGAAATTTCGTCGAAAGTGGTTTGACCTGAACAAAACAGTGGACGAATACCGAAAAACTACAATCAGAGGGCAGATAAGAGTTAAACCTAAAACATTGTCTCAAGGGCGGAGTTATGCAAAGCAGAAACTAATCAAATAGTTAATGAGTCGTAGATGTGTGTGCCTAAAGCCATAGTCGACATCGAAAATAAGCTAGGCAAATATGTAAGCTACAATCCAAAACTATCTAAGAAGTGTCATGCAGAGAAGAACTAATCCAAGAAGGTCTACACAAAACGTCAATCAAATTGTGTCCCTAGCTCCAAATTTAAGCTAAACCACTAAATTAAAAAACAATACCTAAAGGTAATTCCACTTCACATTTAGAAACTGGAAACAAGACTATAATGTAAATCAAAGAATAGCAGAATATACTAGCCGGGTTAACCAAGAGCATGAAGAGAGAACTGGATTATGTGTACCTAAGTCGATTTGACTGGACAAGTTTTTGAGATGCGCTTTAACTCTTTGTGGCAGTCGTTCTCCTGCCATGGAAGACATTGTGTTTGGCATGTAGCTGTGAAGATGTTGTTGATTACCAAACAAGGGATCACCCTGAGCCAGCCCATGACATAATCCTAAATCGATAGGCCGCTCACCAAGAAATGTATTATTAGACAAACGTCTGAATGCTTCTTGGCTTCCAAATTCATCTAACTTTGGAGACAAAAGCTCAGGGTTATGGGCAGAAATCAATGAATTGTTGTCGGGTAGTCTTTCATCAGAGATTGTATACAATGACACACCTGTTACTTGGTTCGCTGCAGGCTGAGACGGGTCGATTGTTCTGCCATGACCTACTTGTGTAGTCACAAAACCATCACTCGAGTTAGCAATCGATGTTCCACCAGTTCTAGCACCCATATTAATAAGTCTATCACTGTTGATAATATTTTGTATGTGTCTGTGAAGCGTCCTTCTACTTGATAATGTGGTTGCCCCTAAGCCGGATGGAGAAGAACCTTGAACATCACCATTAGGAAGCCTTGGAGAAAATAGGTTCTCTCCATTGAAAAATGGTGTACGTGGGGAGACTAGCAAAGACGCATCTTGATATTGCCCTGAAACTACAAGAGGTGATGGTCTACTGTAAAAGCCACTAACCCTTTGTTGCTCGGATGTATTATGCGTTTGGGAACTAGCTGATCCAAGTGCAACGGGTCTACAACCTTCACAGTACCAGTTTCCTTCAGGTACTTCCCTCCCGAGACCAACACAGTACGTATGGGCAGATGAATCACAAAGATCACAAAGCAACATAAGCCCATCATCATCACCTTGGTGACATTCAGTGCATATTATATTTTCATAGGGATCGAGATAACTCCTCAACTCTTCTTCAGTAGGTTGATAGACCTGCACACAGTAAAATCCCATATAAGAAAATTTATCACACAAGAAGTGACATGGAAACACAACACAACCACGCCCATAGGTTCACAAAAGTTGATAAGGTCTCACTATCATGCATCTAAAGCGTCTAAGTGAGAAAATTGATGTTACTGGCAACTTTTATGTATTGACATGTTAAACCACGACAAGAAGGAATGTCTATTTGGACCTCAAATGTGGAGTGTTGAAAGACATAATGGACGTATTTGGAAAGAAGACCACAACCAACATTCATGGGGATACCAGTATAAGTAATTAGGTAGATCAACTAAAGACACTATAGGCGTAAACCAAGAGTAGTCAAAACAAACCTGATCACGTTCAGGTACAGTTATCACAACTTCTCTCAAATCTACTCCAGGTGTAGATCTTGCAGGCTTACTGATTGTTCTGAACCGCTGCTTGCAGAGCGGGCAGCGAGATTCTACTTTTGACCACTCCATTATGCAAGTGAAACAAAAGTAATGGCTACAGCAGTCCAATGTTCCCTTCAATCTCCGCATGTCTTCCTCAGACAGACAAATCCCACAAACGTTTTTTATCACCTCTCTTTTCACTAGCTTTACCTTCTTTTCACCTTTCTTCACAGGAGGTTTACGAAGCTGAGGCAAATCCTTATTGACTGTGGTTTGTCTTATAGATGATGCATGCTTCACACTACTTCTCAACAAACTACCAGCTTCTATTATCTGCTCTCGTTCCTCCTCCGAGATTGTGTATTCATAATCGGATTCTGCAGAGGATGCAATGTCTGAATCTGATGGCACGGTACGCCGACGCCTTGGCCTTGATGACTTTGTCTTCGCCTTCTTTCTTGCAGGTAGGCAGTCATCTACAAAATCATCATCATCTTCATCAACTCCTCTGTTTGTGTTTTTCCCATGTCTCTTTCTTCCCCTCGTTGAACGGGTTTTTGCAACAGAGCATTTCTTCCTTCTTTTACGACCTTCTCCAGATCTTCGCTTTCGCTTGTTTTTATTACAAACCTTCAGTGACTTTTTGTTACATGCAATTGTTTCTTCCTCCTCTTCCTCATCTAATGAGACATCTTCATCTGCGGTAAAATCTTCATCGCCATCCTCATCCTCATAATCTCCATCATCTTCCTTTTCTGTCTCGTGTGACACATTGTCCTGCTCTTCCAATGCCATCATCCCGTCTTCACCATCATGCAAAGAATTTAAATCCACATTTTCCACATCCCTCTCTTCCTCTTCCTCGCCATCCTCCTCTGGATAGTCTCCATCTTCATCCTCTATCTCATAGAAAACTCTCCTTCGCTTTCCTAAACCTATTCTACTGTGTTTCTCTCCATCCAAAGACCCAACTTTTCCAACAGCCTTCCTTGAATTCCTTATCTCCTCCTCTTCATCATCCGCATCATCAAGATCCACATCCTCGTTGTCAGACACAACTTGGTTCATCTTTCTTGACTTACATCCCGTGATTTTCCGGTTACCACGAGGACCAGTTTTCACTTTTGGCCACTCAACATTCCTCAGCATCACATCTTCCTCTTCCACCTCATCTAACTCCTCAGCTTCCACTGCATCAGACCCATCAAAACCGTCAACGGATGAGGCATACTCCTCCTTGAGATCAGCCTCAGACTCTTCTTCATCCTCGTCGGAAATCACATAATCCTCATCAGATTCATCAGAACCCTTATCCTTAGATCTAACCTTGCTATTAGAATTTCTAGCCCAAAAAGTGTTTCTCTTTCCCATATGCTCCTGAATTTGAGATTAACAATCGCAACAAACCACTAATCTAAATCTAAACCCCCTAAACTCATCAACCAAAACAACAATGATTCCTCTGATTGTTGATCTCCTAAAGATTTATATAGCCTAACCAAATCTCAAACCTCAATTCTCCAATTCAGAGCACCAGATCTGCAAATCAACCCAAAAACAAACAAGAAATCAAGAAACATAATTAAAAATCATAAAAGGTATCGATTTGATTCCGACCATAGAAATTCTACAGTTACCCAAAATTACTTAAATGCTAGTATTTAAATTCCGATCCTATTATAGAAACCAATATCTATCCAAAAGCAGAAACCACCCCCTGGGAACACATCAATTAAATGAATTCCTCAATCTCCCGAGAGAGAGAGAGAGAGAGAGAAAAAAAAAAAGTCAAAACACGAAAAAAACAAAATTAATTTACAGCTCCTATAATATACACAGAGATAGATACATACACAGAACAAGAGAGAAGAAGGGAAAAAAAGAACGAACCTCTCCGATGAAGAAGACGAAGCACTTTTGATATTTCCACTAAATTTGTGAATCGTGATCCTTTTCCCCGCCTTATTTTCCTCTCTATTTACAGCTTTTTTTTTCTTTTTTTTTGGTAATGAGCCAAAATTGGGGAAAGGTATATTGATTTGGTTTTAGACTTTTAGTTAAGAGGCTACGCGTTGGGGAGGTGAGAACTTTTATGTGTAATGACGATATTACCCTCGACCGCTTCTGGTGGCAGTTGCAGCTGCTATTGGGCTTTTTTGACTTTTAATATTTAGTATGATTGCGTGAGCATGTGATGCAGCTATACTCTGTGGTCGAGCGTACTGTATGTTTTGCATCCGACGGTTAGAATCTAATCCCTGGCTTTTTCAAATTAAGGGAATCAATGGGAAACAAACGATTATGAAGTTACTATTTTTAGCAGATATTGATTTTAATGTTTCAGATGAAAATGTAACGGCCAAATATATCCAAAAACCTAAAAGAAGACCAAAAAATTTTACATTACTAAAACCAGGTAATTTTCCCGGGTTACCTTTTTTCACATTCTCAATTTATCGCAAGTATTTTCCTTTATGTTTTCAGCCCAGTGATTTGGAGCATGGATTAAGAAATTCCTTACCTAGAATAGAATTTAGACGATACTAATAAATTTGGTAGGTTTTGAGTTGACTACTTGACTTGCATTTTAGTTTTTTAAAATTTCCATTGCAGTTTTCTATTAGAAATTATCATAGCCCATGTATTACAGAATCGACCAATGGATAAGAAGAGCTTTGGGCCTAAGGCCGACAATTTACTTTTACGAAATTTAATTAGCGTAAGGATTCATTTATTCCTTTTTTCGGCCTATACCTTCTGCCGAAAAAAAACATGTGAAAACGTTTCTTGATGAGTTAACGGCAAAGTAAAGATCAACTAGGTAAGAACTATATATGCAAGGGCTGATTTATGCTATTTAATTACAATAATTTTTTACTTTGTTCTGCAAATAAGAAACCCTAAAATCAGGGAACTGAAGAAAGAAAAACCAAGCAGGATTGTTAGGTGCATTCCGAATTGGGCTAATAAAATGGGCTTTCTTTAATTAAAAGTGAAATCACTTAAGTTATGGGAGGTAGTGCTTAGTGAGAGAGATTTCTTTAGAACAAGTTGTAATTTTCTATATTTTGTATTTTTGTATAACGTTGGAGTAACTAGTATGTCGGCGATTGTAATCAAGACCGAATTCTCAATATAATATTTTGTATTTTTGTATAACGTTGAAGTAACTAGTATGTCGGCGGTTGTAATCAAGACCGAATTCTCAATATAATATTATAGAAAATGATCACTATTTTCTAAACCGATTGTGTAATGAAAGTTCATGTATGTTTTATTGATTATTTTTTTCTTATCAATAAACTTTAAGGATTTGGCCATTCATTCTTTAGACCGAGCTGAAGAATCTTGAATAAGAAACTGAAGAAAAAAAGACAAAAACTGCATATCTCTAATAACCTTCAAGGATACAACAGCTTAGAGAGGAAGCAACCCAAGTACATGGTCATTCACTTATTCAGACAAGATTGAATATGAGCAAATATAAACTATCTAAACCTGTGTCGGTGTCGATGTAACTGCTAAGTAACATGGTAGCCAATATATGTGTAGACTATATCGCAAACTTAATGCTCACTTTTATTATTTGGTGTGATAAATCACTTGCAAGTCAGTAACCTCTACACTGGTTTTTGCAAAGTATATGCTCTTCTTATAACTCTAACCTCCTCTCCTAATTTTGATCAAACTTAATCGATGTTTCTCATTGTGATTGGATTGTTTGCAATTTTTGGTATTCTTCTATTTCGTGGAATTTTTGTTAGTTTATAATTTGGTTTGGACAAATAACATATGAACTTGCCAATAATAAAACCAAAAATGTATAGAAACCGACTATTCAACACAAAGACTTTTTACCCTCTCTGTTCAACGTCAAGAAGACTTGGTAGAAAGACAAGATGAGTGGATTTTATCTTTGTGGAGTTCAGAGTCTATTGTTATGTATATAAAGAGATTGGCATGAAACCATCTTACCACCACAATTCCTACTTTTGCTCTTTCATTATATTGATATTCAATAAAGTAAGATTAAAGTTAAAGGAGGAAGAAAAGCTCATAGCAGTCAATGAGTCTCATTCCTATTACTATTTATTTTCTCTTCTTGTTCTTTTATATTTTTCGAGATGTTTTAGCTGTTCCTAATAGACACTTATGTGACCCCGAACAAAGAAATGCACTTCTCGAGTTCAAGAAGGAGTTTAAGATTAAGAAGCCATGTTTTGGTTGTCCAAGTCCTCCGAAGACAAAGTCATGGGGGAATGGCAGCGACTGTTGTCATTGGGATGGTATTACTTGCGATGCTAAGACCGGGGAAGTAATCGAGCTAGACCTTATGTGCAGCTGCCTCCATGGCTGGTTTCATTCCAACAGTAATCTTTCTATGCTTCAAAACTTTCGTTTTCTTACCACTCTAGACCTTTCATATAATCATTTGAGTGGTCAAATCCCATCTTCGATTGGAAACCTTTCTCAACTCACCTCTCTCTACCTTTCTGGAAATTATTTCAGTGGTTGGATTCCTTCTTCACTTGGAAACCTTTTTCACCTCACCTCTCTCCGCCTCTATGATAACAATTTTGTTGGGGAAATCCCATCTTCACTTGGAAACCTGTCTTATCTCACCTTTCTCGACCTTTCTACTAACAATTTTGTTGGTGAAATCCCATCTTCTTTTGGCAGTTTGAACCAATTGTCTGTCTTACGTGTTGATAATAATAAACTTAGTGGTAACCTCCCACATGAACTAATCAATCTTACAAAGTTGTCAGAAATATCACTTTTACACAATCAGTTCACAGGCACGCTTCCTCCTAACATCACTTCACTCTCCATCCTTGAGTCCTTTTCGGCAAGTGGAAACAATTTCGTTGGAACTATCCCTTCTTCTCTCTTCATCATTCCTTCTATAACTCTTATTTTTTTGGACAATAACCAATTCAGCGGGACTCTTGAGTTTGGGAATATATCTTCACCGTCTAATTTACTAGTGTTACAACTTGGCGGTAACAACTTGAGAGGTCCAATCCCTATATCTATTTCCAGATTAGTCAACCTTAGGACACTTGACCTTTCCCATTTCAACATCCAAGGTCCAGTTGACTTTAATATCTTCTCGCATCTCAAATTGCTTGGAAATCTTTACCTATCTCATTCGAACACCACCACTACAATCGACTTGAATGCAGTCTTATCATGTTTCAAGATGCTCATTTCATTGGATCTCTCAGGCAACCATGTTTTAGTCACAAACAACATTTCAGTTTCTGACCCTCCTTCGGGATTGATAGGCTCTTTGAACTTGTCAGGATGTGGTATCACCGAGTTTCCAGAGATCCTAAGAACGCAACGCCAAATGAGGACGCTAGACATCTCCAACAACAAAATCAAAGGCCAAGTGCCTAGCTGGTTACTACTACAGTTGGATTACATGTATATTTCCAACAACAATTTCGTCGGTTTCGAAAGATCAACGAAACCTGAAGAATCCTTTGTCCCGAAACCATCTATGAAGCACTTGTTTGGCTCCAACAACAATTTCAATGGAAAGATTCCATCTTTCATCTGCTCGTTGCACTCTCTAATCATTCTCGATTTATCTAACAACAACTTCAGTGGTTCAATCCCTCCTTGTATGGGAAAATTCAAGAGTGCTCTTTCAGATCTAAACCTACGTCGGAATCGTCTTAGTGGAAGTCTTCCAAAGAATACAATGAAAAGTTTAAGGTCGCTTGATGTGAGTCATAACGAACTGGAGGGAAAGCTTCCAAGATCTCTGATCCACTTCTCTACTCTTGAAGTTTTGAATGTGGGAAGCAACAGAATTAACGACACGTTTCCGTTCTGGTTGAGTTCTCTAAAAAAGCTGCAAGTTCTTGTCTTACGCTCCAACGCATTTCACGGACGGATACACAAGACTCACTTTCCTAAGTTGCGAATCATCGACATATCCCGTAATCATTTCAATGGAACATTGCCAACAGATTGCTTTGTGGACTGGACTGCAATGTACTCACTTGGCAAAAATGAAGATCGGTTTACCGAAAAGTACATGGGATCAGGCTATTATCATGATTCAATGGTTTTGATGAATAAAGGTATAGCGATGGAACTGGTACGTATCCTAAAAATCTACACAGCTCTCGACTTCTCTGAGAACAAATTTGAAGGAGAGATTCCAGGATCCATGGGTCTATTGAAAGAGCTTCATATCCTCAACTTGTCAAGCAATGGTTTCACCGGACACATCCCATCATCTATGGCGAATTTGAGAGAGCTCGAGTCACTGGATGTTTCCCGAAACAAGCTTTCAGGAGAAATTCCGAAAGAACTAGGGAAGCTCTCGTACCTTGCCTACATGAACTTTTCTCATAACCAGCTTGTAGGTCCAGTACCAGGAGGCACTCAGTTTCAAACGCAATCTGCTTCGTCTTTTGAAGAAAACCTTGGGCTTTGTGGTCGTCCTCTAGAAGAATGTGGAGTTGTCCATGAGCCGACGCCTTCAGAGCAATCAGATAACGAAGAAGAACAAGTCTTGAGCTGGATTGCAGCTGCCATAGGGTTCACACCTGGTATCGTGCTTGGATTGACCATTGGACACATGGTGATTTCCTCCAAACCGCATTGGTTCTCCAAGGTGGTGTTCTACATCAACAACAGTCATAGACGCAGACGAACTCGTTCTGAGGTACCTTTTCCCTTAACGTGTGTTCTCTATAAATTGAAACCTTTATATAGAATCGTTGAATTTTCTGCTCATGCTTCTTAACTTTGATTTGCAAATAAGAAACCCTAAATCAGGGAATTGAAGACGT